CGCATATAGTTGATCAATATATCCCAGATCTCGAGGACAGAAATGAATTATCTCGCCAATTGTAAAGCTTACTCTGCTATTGCGCCCCAGTCACATCCAGCCGATCATTAAGCACTGACCAGCACGAGCCTAGCTGGATGTTTTCCTTTCAAGAACTACCCGAATAACTTAAATTGATGTCATGGTCATACATAAATATACCATGTATAATGTACATGAATTTCGGGGTATTGGGATCTGGCAATTTCTCAATCACGACAACCCAACTACTTCAATGGACAAGCTGAGTTGCAGGGCGACCTAGTGGGATGGGCGCGTGGGGAACAGGGGCGTGAGGCGTCCTGACCTTAATGCCTAATATACAACTCCTTCAGCGATGACAGTCTTAAAAAGATAGCAATTCACTGACCGAGCTCCTCACAGATAAGATCTGCTCCCTTCTCGCCAACGAGGAGCGCAGACGAGTAGGTGTTCGTGCCCAAATTGTCCTACATGATAAGGTAAGAAAGAGCCACTTGGATATTTCATGGTCGCTTACAGGACAGATACTCAAATCGACACACTTCAAGTTCTGGGTACCATAGACATTGAGGCGATGATCAACAACACCTCCCTCTGAACGAGGCTTCATAGCTAAGAGCCAATTTAGTGGTCTTTTTCGATTATTTGTAGAGAGACTGCCGTACCGCAGGTTCCTGTTTGAGAGTTTAGTATCATTTCGTCACAAGTCATTCTCGGTACGGTACTCACCTAGACTGTGCCAGGTAGTCTCAACGTGATCTGCACAGTTTTTGGAGCTCAGAGACGAGATCACGCAGAGTCTCCCAGAGTTTCTTACCTGCGATCCAATTGTCGATGGCCTCGTCGTCGTCCTTGTTGTACTTGATCTCATCATGCACCTTGCTTGCATCGTATGGTTCGCCAGGCTTGTGCCAGGTACCTAAGCATGGTGAGTCATTCAACAAAGCTCCAGTACAAGGAGAAGGTCAGTCACGAACCCATGTGGATTCCAACGGTGAAGCCGTTAGGCATCATTTGCTTGGCTGTCTTGATGTCGATGTCACGAGCAGCAGCTGGCGAAGCAGGGTGGAAGTGTGGGTGGTGAGAAGTAAGTTCGCCACGGAAGGCTAAAAAGAAAGGCGAGATGAGTTCACGAGGTGAAAATGTTCGGAAGTGGGCTTCGCCGACCATCCATGCGTCTCGCAACCTCGCGAGTCTTCTTGTAGCTCCAGCGGAGTGGGGCAAAGTCAGCTCTATTGTTCATGAAACCACTGTCAAAGAAGGGTTCGACGTAAGGACTGGGAGAAGTGATATGGATCTGGCCGCGCAACATGAGTTCAACACTAGATTGGAGATAGACGCCAGCTAACCTTTCCACGGCTGGCAGGGTATTCGAGGTACTGGAACATTGTCATGTACTTGCCAGGAGGAAGGAGGGAATGATCCGCATAAGCTAATATGCGTATTAGTTGTTAGATCACTGTGAATGACATCTTACTAATCTTACCTGCTGAGACGATGGATCCAAACCTACGAGGACAGTTGAGCCAAAAACTGGAACAAGCTTTAAATACCTACATGACTGGCTTGTCAGGCTTGTCTTTGAAGTATTTGTCCCAAAGAGCGTTGAACTCTGGACCCATTTCTTTCAGCTCCTCTTCAGTAGGACGAATCTACTAATGTGTTTGAACCCAGACAACTTAAGTCTAACAATCACTTTGAAAGCTGACCTTAAAGCCGGCATCGATGGCATTCGATGATAGGCGTGCCTTTTCTGGGCTCACCTCCCACTCGGCGAAAATCTAGTTCCTTGAGTGTCTGTGCAAGCGTCTGCATTATCACCAGACTTACCTCCTTCTGAGCCTGTACATCACCACGCAGGAAATCGTCCAAGGTTGTCGACTCGTTAGAAACGCGGTAAACTAAGATCACAGCCTCAGCAGTGCACCTGGATCGAGTGCTCTGTAGACTTACTTGACAGAGTTGTGTAATGATCTTGGTATTCCTCGCTGTGTCAAGTGTTAGCAGTGTCTTCACGAGGGCTTCGTTGTGCACGCACCCCACGCCCGGAAGGTCACTGACAACCTTGACATCGAGTTGTTTGAGCATACTTGCTGACCCGACACCAGATCGCTCCAAAATCTACACAAATATATCAGGTTCCCAAATGAAAAACACTTGAACATAACATCCTACCTGCGGAGTGCCCAAAGTTCCACTGCTCAAGACAACCATCTTGCGAGCCCGGACCTGTGGCTCTTGTTAGACATACATAAGCATGGATGAGAGTGAAGCCTACAATAGTCTCCTGAACCGCAGCGTTGTTCGCACGATTTCTGGATGGGACGTATGCGACACCAACAGCCTTGGTACCCTCAAATATTACGCGAGATACACGGGCATTCGTGCGCAAGTATAAGTTGCTCTGAGTGTCCATGACGCCGTGGACGTATGCTGGATTTCGTGAGCTAAAACAACCAAGTGGTCAGAGGTATACTCACCGGTGGCAGCATCACTGCGGCGACCAGTATGACGATTGATGTATTTGGCCCAGATCTCAGAAGCGTGAGCAGTGGTAAGATCTGTAATCAATGATTAGCAGGTAGAGATGCAAGTCAGTCATCCATACCCTGGAGGTCGTCTGTATAAATCACTAGTCAGTCTTTTTCCTCGTGATAGAGCCTCGGGTCTTACCGCTGAAGGGAACATCGATGGCATGTGCAGCTCTCAAAAAGTCCTGAGCAAGCGGAGTGACCTGCCCACCGTTACTGATGGCGATTGGACCATCATATCCGTGAGTATCGTTGTTGACCGGCTTCTGGTAATTTTCGAGCTACATAAGAGCTATTATTAGTACTACTTGCTCTTCTCTGGTGCAGGACACGAACCCGTTTCATGAGAGGAAGAAGGTCTACAAAAACCATCAATGCATGGATGATAATGATTGGTGTGATCACACAAACCCTTGGCTGTCCAACCTTCGGCCTTGAAGTCATCTATTGAGTTTATTTAGTTGTTTGTGATTTCATCTTGGCAAGACCATTTTGACAAACCCCAGTCAGATGCAGATGCCTGTCAAACTAAATTTAGCGCATGAACTTTTGGTTAATTTCTCGTTCTCACTCTTGTGTACATTTGGAAGTTGATGCTGTCAGAGATGTAATTAATTCCAGCGATAGGTCAGCGGATTGCGTAGCTTACCTGCTACCACCGCCTGTTCAGGTCCAAGAAACTTCGTGAGATATACAGCCATACAGGGGTAAAAAATGTATACCAAGGATGTTAGCACACCTTGAAACAATGGTCAGTAATCATTCGGATGATGATGGTAAACAACGTACGGTACAATGCTCTGCCTTCCTCTCAAGTATGGGGAAGGTTGAGTATCGGTGTAAAATGTGGCCTTGTCATTGCTGACAGGAAGTTAGCAGGACAAAACACTAGCATATAGTAAAGACCAACATTCCGTCACGTTGCATGTTCTTCACGTATATGCCAGGTCTGTTAAAAGTCAGGGCAATTTTGATTATTTGTGTGAAGAGCATACCTATAAACCCAGGGATCATCGCGGTTGTTGGCACCACCTGCAGCTCATGTTGAGCGGTCAGTAAAGAAATGCTTTCAGCAGACATACCTTCGATGAGCATGACCTTAAGGGTAGGGTCCGCATACGCCAACCGTCCGGCGACGACACATCCTTTGTAGAAAGTGCCTAAGTCAGTTGCATGATGACACATGTCCTACATGTCCACTGCACCTGCAGGGCCTCCACTATGATAAATTCTTAGTATAATTTCAAAGTACTAGTTAAACATGCAATTACCCAGCAATGATGACATCGACTTCTTCTGGGTGACCCATGTTAGTTTCAAGTGGAGAGCTCAAAGAATGTTGATGATCCTACCTAACACCCCATCTTTTATATGTCAAGTACCGCAAAGTCCCTGAGAAGGAGCCCCATTTGAATACACGCAAAACGGGCATGAGCAGTCAGATGATGATCATATAGCCACTCGTAGCTATTCATCTATAGCCGATAGCAGGCGTAACGAGCTTTTGAATTGCCCCCATCATGGTCAATGCGAATTTGAAACATTAGCCTCCGGACATTCACAGGAGATCATCTAAGATCTATCCGAATACTGGGGCCCCACATGATATTTTCAGAAACAACAGATACTGAGTAGGGGTAGGCCGCTTTGTTGACTGTCTCGACCAGCCGCCGATCAAAACGGCCAAGTCTCTGGCGATAGATAGGTATAAAATTTGAATGTGCTCCAAGTCTCGGCGTGGAATGGCCTTGCCAACATTCGTGACGAGAATTTTTGAAACCATTACACATTTGTACGGCACGGCGATCAATGGCTGTCATCTCAACATCGTTCTTGGGAGCAAAGATGTCAACTTACCTGTGTCGACTTGCTAAGTAATTTGCACTATGACAATGAACAAGTACTGACGATACGACTGCTACAGCGCACGGAGCATGTTTGTTTCTCTCCGAGATTTCACCGATGCAGACTCCAGACAGATAGACATGTGATTGGAACCGTGGGCTTCCAGTTCTTTAGAATACTACCTTCTCAAGCAACTAGTCAGGTGGTTCTGTTTATTTGACCACTAGATGCCACGTACCGTGGTTATAAGTTTTGTAAATACACCGTTCAATCCACATTTGATAGTCAGGGACAACCCAATTCGAGAGCAGACACCCAGGAGAGACTGGAATCCACAACAAGGGCGACTCATCGGGACAGTGCGGTGCAACATCAGCAGAAAGGACACATGAAGATCTTGAATATGATTTATGCGTTCGAGTCTAGACTCTAAACTCATGAGCCCGAATATCACATCGCTCTTAACTGCCAGCTCAGACCTCAGATATATCAGAAGTCTGCAAGCGAGGGAATTGCTCATTGCTAAGCTGTGCAATGATAGTGACGTGTAGAAATCACATGGCAAACCTCCAATAATATGTTGATACCAAACTTGAGACTACCCTAAGGAAGGGATGATTCGTCTACGTTGAGAACCAAAGTGGTGTAGAATCGGATCATCTCAACGAAGCTATTGATGGAGATTGCTGGAAAACAATTAGCCTTTCAATTGCCGAGAAACCAGTCTAAAATGTGTACCTTCGTTGATTGTGTGCACGCCAGAAGGAAGAGACCCTCCGCCGGCTACCCCAAGGTGATTATATCGGAAAATATGGTCAGTTAACTTCCAGTAGAATCGTGTATCTGTATTCCAATCGTTACCAAAGCTAGTGCGATGCGTGCTCAAAACCCCACCTGTGTTACCGGACATGATGCCTGGGCTCACGATGATTGCATCTGAACCAGAAATATTTCTATGGGAGTTGTAGGCTGCCTTGATAGTCCCAGATAAAAGCTGAAACGGCGCAGCGTCTTCGCCAGACGGAGTGACTGGTGCTGGCTCTAAGCCATCGCCAAACGCAGTGGAGAGAATCAAGGTGCCATATGAAGGCGCATCCTCATTGGAAATATGGCCACCAAAGGCCGTGTAAGACAGATTGAACTCGTTTGCGAGAGATTCCAACAATTCGATGTCGCGCGCTTTTGTGGCCACAATGGAACTACGAATAAGATTGAACGTATTAACCACGAGATTCGTTTGTATTAAAAATCCTACCTTTCTGTAGAAATCCGGTGATTCACAATGGCCCACGCCTGTTCTGGGAGAGCGTTTACCTTCATTCCACCGTCCACGAGATCGATAGCTTGAGTAGTACCGACAAGACTCATAAAAGCACGGTTCTTAAAGAGTTCCTGCTCAGCGGCACGAAGTGCTCCATCACAGTGCTCTGCACGTAACATATGTTCCTTTAGCGAAGAACTAATGCCTGGTGCGTGTTGAGCCATGCATTGAGCGTTCTTGTAAGTCGGTGATCCTCTTGTCTGCAGAAAAAGTATCAGTGCATTCATCACAGTTAGTCTCTTAAAGCTCACCAGGTGGACCTCAAAGGGTTTTTTCTCATACTGTACAAGGAGCTCTGCAAGCATACCGATGCTCTTAGAAATTCAGAAATGATTGGTGAAGAATTGAGCATGAGCAATCTCACTGTATGAGGTGGAGGAAGACTAGAATGGCCACCGGGAGATGTAACTTTGATTTGGACGTTCAAGGAACCTTTCTCGGCAATTCCAGGTACTGCAATAACACGACCATATACTTCACTGTACCCAGCTATCAACCAGAACCCCATTATTCATCGTTTTAGTTAGTCCAACAATAACTCACATCCTTCGTCGAGAAGCATGGTAAAGCCATTTTCTCCGAATCTCTCTAGCATTTCGGTAGCTAGGGAAGATGCACCCTTGAACCAGTATTCAATGTTAACGTGCCTGGGTGGCTGCGCAGAATTTTAGCAACTTACCCGCATTCCACTTACTTCCTCGTCGAATCCTGACGCGATCACAATCGTGCGAGTCGGCTTGAAGCCGTTCTCTAGCATAGATTCAATCGCAGACCTAGGGCAATCAGTATACTTTTCTTGAACATCTCAAGGACACAAACATGATCCCTAGACACAACCAATGAGTTCAGGAATAAAACTAGTCGTTGAAACGCTACCAATTAGACCGCTCTTATCATCGCACGACCCGCGACCCCCAAAGGCTCTCCCCTGCCAAAGTATCAGTTAAAAACATGCTACGTATTATGAAACTACTGTACAGACCATCAAAGTAACCGGAGAATGGCGGATACTGCCATTCATCAATTGTCGTTTCCAAGACAGGGACCACGTCTAGCGGCCAATAAGTTATCATCATAGAGATATGTATGATGCACAAATGAACTTACCCTGGTGAGCAGCGAGGAGGAGTGGCTTCAAAGCACTGTCTGAGCCTTTCCATACGTACAACAGTCCGTATGTATTGACTTTCGTAAGGTCCAAGTTTGAGTGACTGGCACACAATATAAAGTTGTGAACTGGGCAACTGGACAATGGCACAGTACAGAAAAGTACTTACAGTAAAGGGAACGAGTCTTTCAGATAATCATGCAACGGGAGGAACTTCTCCCAAACAGGTTCTGCCACTTCTCCCATGTCATCGAACGTTTCCGTGCTGTATGGAGGCTGTATTTAGCACAGACACCCAACAATTCGCGGGCGGAACAAACGCACGGAATTCGCACAGCTCCCCCAAGCCAGTCTATGGCTCTCGCTTTGAACTCCTCAGTACTGTACGCGAGTTGAAGACTTTCCCAGATCACCCCGTTCTTCTCGGGAACAAGTTCATCCGCCTGAGGACACAAATCTACGCCATCATCGAGGGTGCCGACAGGAAAACCTTTCGAGGGTCTTTTGACGAAGTATGTTGAAGCAGAGATTGCGAGTGCGGTGACAAGTGTGATCTTGAATGCGATAGCCTTGGCCTTCGAAAACTTCGTAGTGGAACTCCTGGCGTTGACGCCTGGAAGCTCGTTGGCCTTCTTTTCAACTAGGTTAGCTTGCGACATGTTATACGACAGAAGTCTGAAAAACAAGGAAATGATTGTAAGCCTGATGAGCGCTTAGTACTATATCGCTAACGCAGCACATGACGCAGCCATTTCGATGACGGGTCTTACCTACATCGCTGATTGGACACCGATACAGATCCATATATATAGCTCGACATACCTGTACTTGGAGATCACGTTACCGACGTGGCGGCATTACAATGATCTTCCTTGTCACTTCAAGCTGGAGACTGGACCCCCACTAAACTGTTTCACGGGCTTTTTGGATATCCATTAATATCAGCACAAGTCAGAAGGTCAAGTGTCATGTGAAGGTTTGGTGCCAAAAGGTTGTCATGAGTCGTCGCTACATATCTTATCCGTGGACCGTGGTATCTACCAATTTAATTCAAATGCTATAAAGCTTCCGCCGCATAAAACCTATTGTATAGAGTCTTAGACTCAAGGCAACTCCGATTCATCAACGTTGAGAATAAGTGTGGTGAAGAATCGAATCATTTCAACGAAGTTGCTGATTTTGATGGCTGCCATGAAATCATGTATCAAATACGTTTCGGGAAAGGGAAAACAAATCAAGTCTCACCCTCGTTGACGGTGTGTACCCCAGAAATGATGCTTCCACCCCTAGCACCATCTGTATGGCCATAGCGGAAGATGTGCTCAGTCAGCTTCCAATAGTACCTCGTGTCTATCAAGGGCGTAAGAACCACATGGTGATAGCCAAACGATATCGCTGACCTGTGTTGCCTGACATAATTCCAGGACTGATGATCAAGCTATCATCGTCTGAGAGACCTCTGTGAGAGTTATATGCAGCTCTGATAGTGCCAGATAACAATTGATAAGGAACGGCGTCATGTCCGGTGGGTGAGACTGGAGCAGGCTCGAGCCCATGCGTATAAGCCTCAGATAGTGTCAAGGTGCCAAACGCGGGAGCATCGGCATCAGTAATCCTAGCACCAAAAGCGGTATATGATAGGTTGAATTGGCTTGCTAGCGATATGAGCAGCTCAGTGTCACGCCTTTTCGTTGCAGTAACGGAACTAGACTCGGTGTTAGCATGCAATTGTGCGATATTGATTGATCGCCAACCTCTGCGTCGAAATGCGATGATTCACTACCGCCCAAGCTTGCTCTGGCAGGGCATTGACTTTTACCCCTCCATGAATGAGGTCAATAGCTTGAGTGGTTCCGACAAGATTTTTGAACATCGGGTTCTTGAAGAGTTCTTGCTCAGCGCGGCGAAGAGCAAGTTCATTGTGTTCTGCGTGAATGATATCTCTTCGCAGCGATGCAGGAAGGTCAGGTGTGTGAACAAGACATTGCGCAATCTTGTACGTCGGTGAACCTCTTGCCTGCGAGATTTGCGCAAAAGTTATACTATTGTCCTATTGGTGTTCCAGAACTTACAAGATGGACTTCGAATGGATTTCTCTCAATATTGACGAGCATATCCGCCAGTATGCCAATGCTCTATGCTGACATGAGCACCCAGCCATTAATTCTAGAGTAAAAACCTACAGTGTGAAGCGGTGGAAGACTTGAGTGTCCACCAGGAGATGCGATATTTATCATCACATCCAAATACCCTTTCTCGGAAATACCGGGAGTTGCGACGACTCGGCCAAACTGTTCGCCATATCCAGCTATAACCCAAAGCAGTGCCGGTTAAGAATGTTTGGCTGATGGCAAAGAGAGACCATCTTACAGCCTTCATCCACTAGCATAGCATAACCGTTTTCACCGAACATCTCCAGTAATACTGGTGCCAACATTTGAGCGCCCTATCGATGGTTCAGCCTAGTTGTCAAATTGTGGGTTGATGTCCTTACATGAAGGCCGCTGGTCTCCTCGTCGAAACCGGATGCCAAAACTACGGTTCGAGCTGGCTGAAACTTGTTCTCCAGCATGCTCTCCATGGCGGACCTAACGCAAAACATAAGTGAGAGTGAGAGAAAGGCTATGAGATATATTATACATGATGCCTGTGCATCCATGATTGGCCAAACGTAAAGCGTATAACTTGCGAAGAGCTCACCTATCAGCCCGCTTTTGTCGTCTTGCGAGCCGCGTCCCCATACTCGCTCACCTATCATGCTCATTAGGGGTTATCGGATAAATCATAAGAGAACACACGGACCGTCGAAGTACCCAGAAAAAGGTGGATGCTGCCATTGGTCAATTGTGGTATCCTCCACGGGAACAACGTCTGTATCACAAAAATTCTAAGGACTCGCCATGCAAGAAGGGCAGTAGGCTCACCTTGGTGGGCTGCAAGCAAGAGAGGCTTGAGAGAGCTGCTCGTTCCTTTCCATACGTATATCAGGCCATACGTATTGACTTTCGTAACTTCAAGGGAAGCATGACTGTGCAATTACAGGGATAATCAGTCTAGACACAATGAAATAGAAGTGCACCTACACCAGTGGAAAGGCCTTCAACAGATAGTCATGAAAAGCACCAAATTTCTCCCAGCGTGGGTCAGTCCCGACAGGACCCATCTGATCATAAGATTCTGTTCTAGTACCAGTGAGTGCTCTTGTGTGGTCCACAATGTGAATGACAAGCTCACGGGATTCTAACGGCCCCTGCAAGCCAGTCTATCGCTCTCATCTTAAATGCATCAGTTTCATAGGTGTCACCCAAAGACTTCCACAAAGCGCCGTTGGACTTTGGGATGAGCTCAGACACCTGAGGGCAGATATCTGCAGTGACTTCCTGGTGGGACCGGTACGGCCCAATGCTACATGGCGCCATCCATAGAAAAGTGGATGCGAATAGTACAGCCAGTACCACCAGACCCGTCCTCAGTGCCACTATCCTGCCGCTCGACAACGTCCTGCCCGTACGCGGTGGCAAGACACCAGGGAGGAACTCGTTTGTTTTCTCGTTCGTGGCAGACATACCCGGAAATCAACAAGGTATATCTTGGAGGACTCTCGCAGCCCAGAGCCGAAGTACTTATATCGCGGCCTGGGCAATACGGATCTTCGGACCCCGTTTGGCCATGAGACCTGCTCACGTTGTCGCGCGTAGATCGACAAGCGCGCAAACTTTACTTATTCTCGACCCGTCACATCACCTGTCAATGCAATGTCTACCTTGCAGTGGTCCAGACTCCAGAGTATGGAAGGAACGACACGTCTAGCGAATCGAACCTATTTCGTGTGACAGTCACACCAAGGTTGAGGTCAACGAATTAAAAGTGTGACACATATGGAAAAAAACATATAGAGAAGACAACATATGGCTAGATGGAAGTAAAATTAAAGACATAGCTCTGTTTCATAAGCATCTCTGGGTGAGTACAAGCATCATATCTGCACTACATGAGGAGATCACATCTGCAGCACGAACCTATGTGAAAATTGTCACATGTCACACCCTCCTTCGAACCCCCGAACCTAAGGTTCAGTTGGTCACTCCCAGATGAGGTCGAACCTAAGTGCGTATCTCTACAGTAGTTTGAATCTCGGGAGAAACATTTGACCGTCTTTTGGGAGGAGATACTTATACTAGTAGAAATGATAGACCATCCACTAGGGCTGCAATCTGCAATGCACTTATTTCCGCTACCATCTAGTAAGAGAAAAAGAGAAAAACTCCGCATCTGAAACCAGAAACGACGCCAAAAATAAAACAATCATAATACGGACCTCCGCACCAGAGTAGTATGAACCACGGAAAGATAAAATACAAAGCAGCAGCCTGCCAGCCCTCTATTCTCCAACCCAAGTTACATCCGATTATCACGACGGTGGTCGACACCATCGCTAGTAGTTGAACTCCCCAGCTCTCCTTCGCCGGATATTATATTTGAAAGACAAAGATCTATCATGCCTGCTCACCGCAGGTTGGCCTCTATCGGATGATGCACATCTTCCATGACCCAACCACAAGAACCTATGTTTGGAATAACAGCCTGACTGTCGTGTGATGCATCAAATGCTCTTGTCGTTTGTAGCGCCAGTCCCAGCATGATCACCGATGCAGATACAGCGAAAGTCAACTAGAACCATTTTCGATGAATAATCATCGCATATATACCACCACAAACTCACAGGAAGAAGGTTAATCTACAACATGCTTCATCAGTCATTTAAAAACAGCATCTGTGTAGTTCACTTACGTTGAGGCGTAGCGCAATGAACTCCTCGTTGACATAGGCTGTCCCATTGCCACGCTGAATTGCTCCATTGGATGTGCCCAATTGTCCCGCCAAGCATGTGACACAGAATGAGAGAAAACGGGGCGATGCTCAGAAAACGTCAGACACAACATACCCTTACCTAACCAGATGAGTTGTGCAGCTGCTTTCGCAACCGCCAGTTCTAGTTCATCCGGTCTCAAAGTGAAATTGGAAATCGGAAGAGAGCCGCCGTATTTGGATTGTAGGTGAGATTCAGGCCTACCAATGACATGATATACCTAAAAGTCAAGCCGTGCATGAGACATACAGAAGTGTAGTCAAGGAAAAAAATTGGCCTACTCGTCCGCAATAGAGGTTCAACGATTTGTGTCATTGAACCCCTCGAAATGAGCGCCGTATAACGCACTTGCACTGGCCAACTAGTATTCGACCACTCGAATTGATTCATTTCCCATCGCGTAGATGGTTGCGATATGAATATGGGACTCAGCAGACTGTTGGTTTGCATATCGACCGTCCTATCTGTAGTATTGGTGACAGCGAGCATAGTATAAAATAGACGTAGATGACATAGTCAGTGATAGTCGTAGTATTAACAGCTGCAAAAGGTTTTGCTATTATGATTGCAATACAAACAAACGTACGCACACTTATATGGCCAAATCATGTTTACAGCGACCTCATCCTGTACCGAAGGCTCAATCTCCAATAATGTGGAGACCATAAGACAGACACCATTGAGCTAGAGTCAATTTGTTACTCAGCTTCTACAGTCTATGCGAACTATCTCGGAGAATGCTTACCTCCAGGACTTCACTGGAAAGATCTTCAAATTGTACCCATAGAACTATATGTATCTGGTCTGGCCCTGTAGACCTTTTCAGCATGATAAAACATCAATCACCGACAGAAAGTGCTTGCATTAAGCGCGCGAGAAGAATCTGGGCCAAACAGAACGATCGCCGTACTGGTATTCGCAGAGTATGTCACATTTAGAATCAATCCGTAACGCGAGGTTACCGTCGTTGCATTCACAGTCGCATTTCCTGCTACAGAACTTATTTTCAGGGTGTCATAGTGGTGTTGGATAATCCTGTAGATACCAGTCCAATTAAACGATTAACAACTGGTAGGGATGGGATAATGAGTCCCAGGTTCGCGAAAGAGCCGTACAATGAATCGTCTAGCCACCCTAGTGTTGTTGGCATGGAAGTCGTCATAGAAGCATTAAAGGTTTGAAATTGTAGGAGAGTGGAAGAGGTGACATGCAACACGGTTATGCTCGCAAGGTAGGTTGCCACAGCGGGAGTCGTCCACCACGAGGCAGGGACATCAGTTTGTCGCTAGACGCTACTGAGTGCAGAACCGAGGCCAGCCCATGCACCAGAGATGTCGTGAATAGTAGTCAGTTTTACACGGCGCATAAGTGTTCTCGAAATCGCAAGCCGTTGGGTAAGGAAGAGTAGAACAGCTGTGTATATCTAAATTAAATCCTGTCACTGGTGTACCATAAAGACAACATGACGATGAATGCGTACGGTAAAAAATGTTTGCGGTGAGCCACTTAGCACCGCAGACCAAAATCCATCGTTTCTTGCTGTGAACGAGAGTCACGCGGTGTTCCAAGTGACAGACATGAAAGATAACAAGGACGATGTGGAACATGTCTAGCACGCCATGGAGGATGTAACATACACGTGCAGAGAACAATCCATCACATGTATTTTTTGAAGGATTTTTCGAGCGTGCCTTCCAGGAGGCGGAGGGGGGACGTAGTTGTCGGCAAGCAACAGGAAACAGTCAGTTGACATGATAACATACCGAACCAAATCCTTAGCCACTGAACAGTGCACCGTGTCATTTGCGGCCGAGATGAACCAGGGACCTAATGAGATATTAAGTATCAACAACGCACTGGGTGAGTGAAGATGGAACAGGGGATGAGGTCTCCAATAGTCACGGTTGTTCCTTCTTATAGATGCCAGTGGAGCATGCATCACCTTTCCAACGTTGCAGCTCTCGAGCGTGGTCGCTGGGCTCAGGTAATTTGTAAATTCCATCCGTGCAAGTCACCTTGAACTTGCTGCACCACTGACGCCTTGCTAACGCACCCGCACCAGTTGATTGTTCCTTCAAGGATCGGCAACTTGAAGCACTAGATTCTCGAAATTTGATGTGCTAGGAAACGGAGAAAACTCCGGCACAGGCACTTTAGACCGCTCATCCGGATGCTTCCGGTGTTCCTATGTACTAGAAAGTCAAGTACCCAACTCAGACATCGAATGAACCTTTCTTAGTACTTACAGGCTGTACTCGGTACAACAACCCCGGCACACCAGATTTGATTCTTTGTTGTGGCATATACAGAAATTCTCTCTCTCTCTCCTAGAACGTCAAGCTGCCAGTGTCGAAAATCGAGACCAGCCGCTAGGCCTTTTGACCTAGCAGTGTTGCTTGTAACACTCTTTATTGGCAAACAAATTTCACGTTACTAAGATGGCTCATGCACATGGTCCACGAGCCATCTGATTGATCACCCGTCGACGTGACGCAATGACCTATTCCCCGGCCCCGGGGATGCGCTGGGGTGCAGCAGTGGTGAGTGTTTAATTGAATTGACGGAAACAACGTCCGCCTCAATTAAGTGTTCTAATGCTCGTACACTTTGCATCACTCTCGCTTCGCCTGACCTCTACTGCAAACGCCTGTCCATCGGTTCCAGCACCACTCTTGTACCGACGTCTTCTCAGGACGATGCCTCAAATGCTGGCAACGACTGTGAATCGTTTTCTGATGAGAGCACTGTCCACGAAGTAAGACGCAACATATCCTCCATTTCCACATTACCTGACATTTGAGTTCTAGGACGATAGTTCTGAACCACAGCCTCGAAAGGAACCCGCACCAGAACCCACGCCCGACATCCTAATTGCGCGAATGAACGCTCTCACTCGATGATCCGCCTTGTCCTTCAAAGCTTTGACCACTCATTCTAGTCACCAACAGCGACACCACATCCGCCATCATCCATTATCCTCCGCTCCCTGAACCCGCCTACTCTACCCGACGTATGTAGGCGCGCTCTCTCTCCGATAGTCCGTCTACCGATCCTGGCGTCGCTCTTCCTGGATCCGGCTGCGCGATAGACGCCTTGGTTCGAAGTATAGAGGTGCTCTCTTGGTGATCGCCCGTCTTCTACCTCGAAGATGAAGTCTCTGATCTTCGTTGCTAAGCGTGCCACTGGACACTTCAAGCTGCCCCCTCTCACGACTACTCCGCTTCGACAGCCTAGATCCTAAATGACGACGCGGAGCCAAACGTATTGGCCTTTTTCGCCAAACCCTACAATCTGGACTCGCCCACGCCCCAAGTGACTCAAGGCTGTCTCCGCGCTAACACACAGCTACGCATAGCATATCCAGGTCCCCTACGACCCGGAGTTTCACCGCCCAAGAAGTCGAAGGCTACTTCCAATCTACGCATACTATACCACCTCGCGAGTCTTTGACTCCAGAGGTCCCCTACGACCCAATCTCGACGACACTCCAAACGGTCTTCTTCACTATCCTCCCTGCTACTGTAAGCCAGGCTTACCACGTGACGGACGCGAGCTGCTTACTTCTCACTGATTGGACACCGCGTACTATTTGTCCAGTATTTGGACCGACGACGCTGATTCGTATATATAGCTCGATGCATACATACTCGCATCTTATCTCTTTACCGTATCGTCAATCATACACTCTTCCACGTTACTGCTTGCCTGTTAGTGTATACCGTCAACGTGACGGTGCTTCCAGCTACACGACATTATATCATGGCTATGGTCATGCACACAGTTAACGATGACTGTGTCCGTACTTGGGCGATCTCTACGCTTCCAACCCCAGATGCCTTGCATCCTCTATCACAATGAGAGCGATCAAAGGTGGTCTTATCACTCCATTTTTACACCAGCTTGTTAAGAGTGTTGATCCGCAGCTGACTGGAGAACACATTAATGTAGCAGACTTGAAAATCTGCGCTCGACTGCGAGGTGTCGGAGGTGATCTTCCTGTCCCAGAGCCTCCAGCAGCACGCGATGGTGGGTATTGACTGTTGTGGACTATTGGCGGAATTGGCCCCACGTCTTTCTTGAGCTTCACTCGTCATATTGCAAACCTCGCTGCTCAGGGATTTGGCGTCTGGGATGCGACGCCTGTCCTTTCAACGCGGGAGCCGGACATTACGCTCAGCTTAATTCAAAAAGCGTTTGTGAACATGTCATCTAGCAAAGTTAACGGCTGCCACTCGCCCCCCGACCTTACATTCTCCATTCATGTCTAATCCCACACGAAGGACGTCTTGACAACTGCGAAACTCCTTGGCAATGTAGACGCAAAGTTTCGGGAGCCGTATGTATGCGGCTCGTTGTCTTTCGTTCTCAATGCTTTGAAGTCTCTCCAAGCTGCTGGAGTGAGAGCGCGTCAGATCGAGAGTAGATCAGCCCATGACTTTATAGGCTGCGGTGCGTACGGCACGAAGAAGTAGCGGAATGCCGCTAAGATTCTACGGGGGTGGGAGATTTGTGATATCTAATACTGTATAAGGATTGAACGATGATCCATAGACCACTCGAGCCGGTGTCCTAAAGCTTGTGTAGAGCTTACTTCTTGTCTGGCATTAGAACAATAATAGCAACACTGATAAACTATCTATGTACAGCGAATGAGATGATTCAAATTTTCCCAACGGTCAGATATCGATCAACCGCGAGCACGAAGACGCAGCTCTGTGCCGGGTCTGCGAGAGAAACCGTTTAACTGCTCAACCGATTAGACCCGACCAACAGCCCTATTGGAGTGCGGGGGCCCACTCCCAGCGACAGATAATGTAATGGCAGTGCAGCGTTGCATCGTGGAAGCGCGCTCATAATATTTCAACAGTTGATAATGAAATTACCCCTCATACGCGAAGCAGTGGTGGGAAGGAGACTGCAACATTCTCAAGATTTACAATTTGTCAACGAAGATTGCCTGGATGGTTCTACAAATCATGCTTAGATCAAGAGTTGATTTCTCCATTTAACACGGACTCGAGCTCAATTCACAAGAAATTCCTGCACTGTCTCCGAGTCAGCGGGACGAATGATTGCGAACAAAAGTTAAACCATACCTGCTCGAGCTGGGTGTCTTGCGCCAACACTCAAGGTACTCGGAGTGGTGCCTCCAACTTATTCATTTCCTCCATCCGGCCCAGTTCAGCATTCTTGGAGAAAGCAATTCGCCCTCCGGGATTGCTTTCAGATCTGCAAGCAGCAGGAAGAAAAATACGTCCGCCCAGCTCAATCTGCTTCCAAACACGTATCCCTCGTCTGCCATTAGTTCTTTTACCAAGCAATGTCCCAAGATACTCTACAGCTGGTTTGATTTGTTCGCGAATTGCAGAGTCTGTAAATTTTCCTGCATCGGTAGCGGCCACACGGGGTTTTACGACCCCTTTCAACAGCAGGGAAACCTGAAGCATGAAATCAGCATAATATGCTACATGTGTCTGACTGAAATTTCAAGTTTACCATGTGCTCCAGCGAGACTCGCAAACTCCCACATCTGTTCCTCGATGATGACCTTCTCATGACCTAGGGAAATATGCAAGTTGGGTTCTGGTGCAACCTTGTCAATGTAGCACGCAATGGCGACGCTCTCGCGCAAATTCAGGTTGACTGTTTTGCCATCAATTTCATGGATGGTCAGGGTGGGCAGAAACCGAATGAATGGTTGTCATATGCTGTGTCCGAGTGTGGAACACACCTAACTTTGAGTGAAGGGTATCTATCCCCATGTGAGTCAATCCGGGAGTGACAAATCGGGTGAATGTGCTTAATAGCGTCCTAATGATAGTGTAGAGAGGTGGGGTCATGGTTGGTGTTAGAGTGTTCGGTGGCACTACTCAGCTGACTTTAATCACCCCAGTCAATAACGACTAGTTACTGGATGTTCACTGGCAGCAAGCACTGGCAGAAGCTCGATTCGGAGTCCCGACATGACAGGAGGTCCGATGGTGGTGAGAACCTGGAGCCTAAAATACGTATTAACGACTTGGGAGACAAACGATTCGACCAACCAATTTGATGACAATCGTGGAATATTAATCTTGTGCCAGCGACGAAGGATGTCACTGGCACACGTGTATCACATCCAATGCGCTCCATCTTGGTGATGCGAGGGGATGACATAGGCATATGGTGTTGCGGTGGCCTCTCGCTGGGTTTTAATCTCCGATTAGCTTTTTCTTGCACGAACCTTATCCTCCTTCAAGTCTAAAGGCATCACGCAGCATCTTTAACTCGGAAACGCAAACCAAATTCTGGGTATTGAGTGGGAAGCAGTAATACAACGAAAAAATAAACCCCAGCCGCCAGCGCCTAGTATGTTACAGTTACAACTATTTAAATTTCAAACACTACATTATCTTTGCGACTCCGCATTAGGAAGGTATCGTAGTTCGAACTTCGCTGTGGAGATTAGTCAATTGGAGGAAACTTGACCGGGTGTCATCAGCTCACTTTTATGCGGCAATGACTTCGGAGTCACTGAGTTTGTCATATGGACACGGCGCCGGAACATTTTCATCCAGCAAGAAGTACTGCTTGGACTCCCGCGATCCTTCCTCGCTGTAGTTCTTCAGCTCAGGGCTGACAGGGATTGGATCGTACTTGGCGAGGAGGGCACGAACTTTTGCAAGCGCACCCGCGCGCTTTGCATCAGTGCTGAAGAGAATGTCAAAAATCCACTTTGGCTGGAAGACCATGGTCAGGCCCGGCGCATAACGCGTGCGCCTGACCTGGTGAGCAGGGGTTTGGATGACAGTAAAGAATTGTTCTCCGCCAAAGCAGAAGCACCATCTGTCTGTGTCAATGTCGCGGGGTATAGTTGAAGGCCAGGGCTTCTCATCAAGCTTAGCGAGACCGTTGAGGAGTTTCCAGAATAGAGTATTGTATTCCTCTACTGTTCGTGAGTTGTTGTCATTTTGCTTGGCAAGAAGAACGAGGGAGGTGTTCGGGCCAAGCTGGCGAGCTTGAGGGAGGTATGTGGAAAGTCCCTTGGCAAGAGTACGGATATGACGTGGGCCTGACAGGTCATCCGAGTCGATGAACAAATAGAGCTGTTCATCTGATTTAAAGCCCTTTGTGGCATAGACGCAGGGGAATATTAGTTCTTCATCGAGGAGAACTGCCTTATAGTCTTCGTAGGCATTACGCTGCCACGTTCCTTGCGGAAATGCTGCGGTGACTTGCGCTCTGAAACGAATAAAATATCAGACTACGGCCTCAAAGGGGCGCGCGCGTCCGTACCTTGTCAAAAGATTACCCTGTTGGTCGTCTTGTTCGCCACTAAATACAGCTCGAATGAAGCCCTAACCGTCGATAGTCAGTTCATCCATAACCGGTGACGAAGATGTCTAATACGGACGATGAAGGAGGATAATCTATCACGGAGCGTCTTCGGTATACTTCGAAGCTTGACCAAGGTAACATTGGCAAGAAGTGTAATCATAACGCCTCCGATGAACGATACAGCTAAAGCGTAGATGTTGAACATGATTGAAATTGGAGTGCTGAAAGTTGAAGTGTTGAGGACTATCTGATAATGTTGGTGGAGTTTTTATAGGTCTCAAAATCCAACTCTGACGCGTACGAGACCAAAAAAAACTGTGACCAACTGATGCTGTCCAACTGAGAAGCATCATCACAAATCAAGGTCAAATGATTGCCTTGTGAAACAGGTTGCGGGGGTGGCTAGGCCTCGGGTGCCGTCACCCAAACAATTTACTGGGCGTACCTCCCATACAAAGAGACCTAAAATGTTAGAAAATCATCAATGATGCCGGATTAGTGAGAATGTCGACGCAGTAGTAGTTACACCTTCATTTGGGAGATCTTGCTGGGTACCAGCCCTATAACGTACTAGTAAGGTTTCGTCTGATTAGCCATGCTTAAGACCTGTGGGAAAGATCATCGTGTGCATGTAGGTCGAGCATGTTCTACAATTTGTGAACAGCTGGCGTCTGAGGTTGTGAGTTACCTACTTTGTTCCAGTAGTCACGGTTCGTATATGATTTCGCCATTTGGAGGTCGAGCCGAGAGGAACTGCTGATCGCATGCGCCACGCCGGTAGCAACCTAGAACAAGACAGACCACACCACACCGTAAAAAGCATATCATCGAGATCCCCCGGAACAAGCTAACACTGATCACAACCACACACTGGAAACATGCCTAATTCCATGAGAACATCAGCCCCTCGTAAAGCGGATTCAACGATTCGAAAAGAATGCACGTTGACTCACCTGATTCAGTGGACAGACAAGAATTTTCGGTCCGCTCATGAGTCGATCCGAGGAGAACAAATTGATGTTATCGAACGATGCCTTCAAGTTGGCGTAGGTTAACGATCGTCGACTGACGTAACTGGCGCCAGCGCATTGTTCATTCCAGACCTTTGGTGTTTTTGCCATCACCACCACCTCCTGATTTGTTGAAGAACATCGCAAAATGGTTGCCTGCAATAGTCCCATGTACGGAAATATTAATGACGATTTCGCAGCAATTTTGGAACATCAGTTTGCCTCGGTTTGTCGACGAAGATCAGGTTGTGCTGCCACATCCGTGGCAGCGCCCGCTACCCTCGAGTCCAAATTCACTATTGCAGGTGTTGCCCCTTCCAGAAGGGCACCATGTGACAAAGTGCAAGCCTGATTTTCGGTGCAATTAGGATTTTGCATGGAGATATTGGATTTGGGAGAGGCCTGAGCTTGAGAACTGGAAACCCCAGGGATGTTGTTGACGGGGTAATCACACTTTTAGAGGTTTAGCGCTTGCCAAGTTGAAGCTTGAGCTTGAGAACCACGTGTTGTCTCCATCATGTAGGCGTGTGAATTCGTTGGACCACTAAATCACAAATTAACGTTGTTGTTCCGCAATCAAAAGCAGTTAACATACAAAGACAAGGCTTAGCCTCAAGCTTCACGCACACGCTCAGGCTGGAAAGGTCACACTCGCGCCGGAATTCTACTGGGTGCCTTAGAAAATTACGATGGCCACTTGACTCCTTCCTTTTGCTGTTGAAAACAGAAAGATCGAGTTGGCATCCAGTGCACTCGCGCCGACTCGTCGCACGGGAGCTTGACGTGTCAAACAGGTGACCTAGCAAGCCAAGCTCTAGAACGTATTGACCCCATGGTATTCCGCTTTCATTTCGGAAGGAGGAGTCCCGTACTTGAAATCTGAACACCTGGCATCCCAAGTCCCCATATCCGGCACCTCCTGCACCTCTCCTTTGCCTTTGCACACTTTCTTGGACCGTCGTGCGAGACCCTCGGACCCTTGCACACGTCTTGGCATGCCCTCCCGCATGCTCCTGACACATCCATTGTGTCCCTCCGTGTGCTCATTGACACTGGATTCTCTGATATGTTTGAGACCGGTGTGGCGTATACCACGGACAGGTAGAATTGGGTCACCGCAGGCTCTTCTCTCTCGGACATGATCAAGGTTGTTATGTGAGTTTATCCTCTCCCCTCATGTCTACCCATCCGGACCACCCTCACGTTTCCTGAGACACTCCCACCCTGCGCTTGTCTTCAAGTTACCTCCTAATTTTGCCCGGTGCTCTCGCGCACCTCCTTTGTTCTTCTGCATCTCTATGACTTCCTGGGCGCCATCGCATACTCCCACAGTCTTTCTATGCATCCGGTTAATTTTCTATTGATAGATAATTGAAGGGCTTATGATAAACTGTCCATCTATCAGAGTAAGTCGTCTTTCATTTCCTTCTCTACTACCTCGTCGATCCGTACGCCCCTCGACTGGTCAGTTTCATCATATATTCATCTCTGGCATATACGTTTCTTGTTATTCTTCCTTTCTTCGATTTGTGTCTTTTCCTTACTGGTACGAGACAGATATTGGACTCATTCACTCTCATATCGCACGTACCTCTTGTACATATTTTATTTCTTCTATTTCCTCTTCGATGTAGTGACCTTCGACTTATTTTCTCCTCTCCTGGTACGAAACGGACAACGGGACTCATTTTCATTACAACCTCATCTCTGTCATCTACATTTCATTATCTACGATTTGTTTTCCCCTTCGCTGGTATGAGACAGGCATTGGGCTCTGTCACCTTCATCATGGACTTAGTATTCTGGCACACGTTTCATCCTTTTCATTCTATTCTCCGCATAGAAGTCTTCGATTTATTTTCTCCCTTACTGGTATGGACGGGCTCATTAGATTTCATTAATCGTGTACAGACTGCTCTTGTTATTTCATCGATTTTGTTACACTAAACTTTATTTTCGTGCACATGCATGTACGACAACGATTATCATTGACAGCGTGGTTTTGAATACTTTTTTTTTCACTGCACCCTGCTAGTTAGTCTACCGTTCTCATCTTGCATGCATCAGCTTCATAGGAGTCACAAAGAGTCATCCGCAATGCATTGTTAGACATTAAGATGAGCTCTGACACTGGAGACACTCTGCAAATGTCTGGATTGACTTCCAGGTGGGAGTTGTACGGCCCAATATTATGTTATATGGTACCCGCCATATTAAAGTGGATCCCGCATGCGAATATAGCCAGTGCAACCACTGGCAGACGTCGTCAGTACCACTGTGCCAGTATTCTGCCCCTCTACGACATCCTGCGCGGCGGCAGGATGCCAGGGAGGAACTCTTTGTTTTCTCGATCGTGGCAGACATACACAGCAATTAACAAAACATATCTCAGACGACCCCCGCAGCTGATGAACACTTGGGGTTGGGCGATGCGGGTCTTCAGCCATGAGACCTGCTCACGTTGTCACGCATTAATGCTAAGTTGCCCTTGGGTAGCCCAATTAATAAAGAGAGGGAGAAATGTTTGACGGTCAATTGCAAGAAGAGAGTGAGATGTCTAGCTGCGCAAACTCCTTGCAAGATATTTCCAACTAAGCTTATTAGTTGGACAGCGCATCCCATGGCGAGGGAAACACATTTAGAAAAACAGGTGTTATGACATAAATGTGTGGGGAGGACAAAGGGGTTACACCCTGACTCAATGGCATGTATGCTCTCCCAGAGTATGAAGCCCCCAAGCCTGGACATAGACGGGGATCTCCCGATCTGTCTGGATGAGGGGGTGCCCTGCTGCTTCTAAGCACGTCGTCTGAAATCTACATCCTGGACGTGGAAGTATATTGAATGACGGAAGTGGAATTTTAGCACGGTCAAATAGGTTGTCTAGGTCAAGTGCAGGATGAGTGTTGGCCTGTTGGCCTTCGCTGGTCAGCCCTATAGAAGGAATACAATCGTCCCTTCTCATATGGGGTTTTCGCATCGCTCTTAAGACTTCAAGAGTAAACTGTGCAGATTAAGCAAGATTGTATACTATACATCCAGACCCTCCCGTTTGGCCTCTATCTCCTCTAGTGTCGGTCGCTTAGGAGCGACGATATTGCTGCGCCCTGAACTCGCATACAGAATTTCAGCCTCACCGAGCACCCCGGGGGTGTATGGTGCCTCCGATCCAGTCTTGTAGACATTACCCTGCTTGGAAGGGAATGTCGATGAGGGGACTTGGAGAAGGTGGTCTGGCGTCCGAGTAAGGTATAGCCGGTGTAGCGAGTCTTCAGCCGCCTGTAGCAACTACAGTAAGATGATTATAGGTATGTATACCTGGAAGGTGCTTACCCGGTATTCTGCCATCTTCAACGAACTACCAAAACCTTCACCAAGCTTGTCCTGTCCAGAAAAAATACCCACTACAAACACGGGCGAATTCGAATAACGACCAGTCTCCTTGAGTAATCTGTGTGGCAAAGGCTCTTCAGTTCAGTGAGACACGAACATCATTTCCAAGCACCATACCTAGATTTTGGACGTTCATGACCGAATTTTTCCACAGTTTCTATAAGGGCTCGTTTGGGGTCACGGAATTTGATCATGCTCCGCAGGTCAACCTGCCTACTCAAGAAAAACGACTGGACAAATTTTCGTGCAGATTGGAGTGATATTTCTTGGTAAACGAGGGCAGTTATTGCTCTCGGTATTGATGCTAATGCATCCGAGTGCAGCAGTGCTGGAGACATTGGTGTGGTAGGCTAAAATATTAGATCAGTGACAAGGAGCTTGTACTGTTAACATTTAATACTCTACCTGTCTATGCCACCGTAATAGGGGTACTGCACCCATTTCCTGAGCGACACTCGCGCATGTCAATGGACCAACGTGAGCGCTGACTGCAGCCTTTAAAACGCGGGTCGGCAAATGCGGGTATGCGGCATGAAGATGTTCAGATGCAAATAGTCCCATCAACGCGTTTCCTAGCGTCGCAAGATTTGCGTTTGTTGGGGGCGCAGGGCTCGAAGGGTAATATTTAGCATGAAGATTGACGAACGACTTGTGTGTGCAAGCGCGTCGAACTACGTCTGCCGATGACAGCACGTTTGCAAGACCTATTCGGTGAGCGAAAGCGGTGAGGGCAGACGTGGGTGGGGGTTGGAGAGTTGCCCATGACTCCGGGTCAAAGAAATTCGGTTTGCCAGAGTCTGGTCTGAGGATGGCCTCTTTTGGCGGAAACTGCTTCAGTTGTGAAGTGGAAACAGCTAGCTTTGAAGCAGAGGAATAAAGGCGTTTTGAGACATGACCCATTGGCAGAAATTAACGCAGAATGAGTCGTGTTCGACACTCGAGTCGTCGTCTGCTGATGCTGACCCCGTAAGACTTGTTTCCGCTCAAGCCTGCTCAAACCAAAAATTAGTCCAATGTCATTTCGGCAAATTCCGCAATACACGGTAACCGGTTCCCCCTGCAAGACCATCATGCTCACCTTTTTGTAAAATTTTATTCACCGTTGAGGCTAGCTAGATATACATTTCAGGAGCAGCGTTACAGTATTTCGTTTTGAATGCAATCGTAAATGTTTGAGCGACAGCTGCAGTTCGCGTCTTTAGCTAAGCGGTCATAGTAATTCCTACCCGATATGTCCGCCACGTGGAAATATTGTTACTGCCTGATGGCCCTGCACACACCTTGTTTGTCTAGTACCGTACCCCAACGTTGGAGCAGTGCGCCTGAACATCGTTTTACTCAAGACTATTTCTTGGACATACTGTTCAGAGTGCTCAATATTCATTCATGGCAGTACTATCCTTGCCGTTAACATTTACTAACTCGTTCTGGACTCAAGATTATCGGAAAGGCTTGGAGGTTTTGTATAATAAGCTTGAACAGGTAAGGACGCGTCTCTAACTTAGGGCATTTGTCTCATATCTTGACAATTTCAGGGTGTAGTGGAGAACCATGACATTGTCACCTTCATAAGAGTGAGTTCTTTCGCGATACTTCAGATGTCCTGAAACGAGATATTGCAGGCTCGTGCAGCCGCTGAGGCCCAAATTGCAACATCATTGCAGCACCCTGCAGTAATTGGCTCATATGGTCGGTGGAATATGGCCTCTCTGCTGAAACCGCAGGCTAACCTCCTGTAGGCGCCGGTTTCAACAAGGATGATGGAGCTTCGTTGTTGATGGCCTTCCGTGGACTTCAGGCAGAGTCGGAAACACAGGGCCAAGTTCACAAAGACATTTCCAAGGATTTACGGGCTCTTGTAGCAGACCCATTTAACGAATGGGCTCAGGGATACGAGGTAAATATGCAGACACGCCGTGTTGTCCACTCGTGATCTCATTCCTTTGCAGGAGCGCCTTTCTTCCAGCAAAGCTATGGCTATGAACAACTGGCTGCGTACTTATGAAGATTCACAGAAAGAGGTGTGTGTTGGCAAGAGACAGCTCAGACCATAAGCACGAGATCCTCACCCAAACTCAGGTTATTAAACTGAAGAACTCTTATCTGCAAAAGACACGTCGGGCAGATGAGGCAGAGGATGAGTGAGTACTCCTTTGTCCTATCTCCACCCACCAAACCTGATACAACGTTGTCTACCAGCGCGAAGTTTGCACCTAACAACGATCTGGGAGATCATTACACGACCTCTCCGCGCCTTTTGCCACGCGACAAGACCACCCAACCACAGCGCTCGGGTACAGTGTCTGAACGCATTGCCCAGCGGTTCAAGGAAATCCAGCGCAAGGCTGCTGGTACCCTCGAATTCAGGCGTGGAATCTGATGCAGCAAGCGAGGCATCAGAAGAGAATACTTTCACAAAAGTGGACAAGGGCAAAAGGAGAGCAGTAGAGTCGCCGTCGCCTGGTCTAATGGAATCTCCGCCACCGTTGTCGCCTCCCTTGCCTCCTGCAAAGTTGGAGACTACGTCCCCATTAACCATGGAAGCACCCCTGCCTCCGACGCCCATTCTATTAGCAGGTTTGGCAATACCCCCGACTGCCGTTTCTGCATTGCTTTCACGAGCTGCTACCGAGTTGACGCTACGGTCCATCCGGTTCCCCTTACTTGGAGAATATTCCGATTGCTTCACGGGTGAAGAGTTCGTTGCTTGGTTGAATACCAATATACCAGGCTTTGATGGCAATCTCGATCGGGCTGAAGACGCTGCGAGGGAGCTGACAGAAAGAGACGGTCTCCTCCGTCGTATTGGCGAATTTGGTAATGGATTTGAGCATTCTGATGAAGCGTACTATCAGTTCCGACCGAAGGTGGGTGTTGATTCGATATGATGATCTTTGAAGTGTTCATTTATGCCACTAGGCTTTCGAACTTGGATCCGAAACAGAAAATGCATCATCCGCGCCGAAGCGTAACCTTGCACCTCTGGCGGATAACCTGATCAAGCGCTCGAACAATTTCGTGAACGTCGTTACAAAGGCCTTGAACTCCAACGCACAGACTGAGCCCGTTCATATTAGGCTTCGTGAGGAGGCCGAGGAGGCCGACAAAATCTATCGAGTCGCTGTCAGAAAACTTGACAGACAGAGGCTTGGTCTCGAGGAACGTATTGAGGAAACCTTGAAAACGCTCCAGAGAGGGGAGATGGAGAGGCTGAGAGCCGTCAAGACAGGTAAGCCCTCGTGAATCACACGTCAAGAACATGATTCCAAGTCGTTGCAGTGTTACTTCAGTACCAAGGAACTTTGGCCACCATACCCAAGGCATTCGAACCATCCATTGAACGTTCTGCCACTTTGGTTGCCTCATACCAGCCCGACGGGGATTTAACCGCGCTCATGGAACGCTACCGCACCGGTCCCTTCAGACCCGTCCCGCAGCTGTATGAGTCTGTTGCGCATGATGAGTCAGACGTGGTCTTTGGCATTGACCTGCGTAAGTGGGCTGAGGGTGGCTGGAACGCACTTACCTCTGGCGAGGAGAAGAAAGATTTGATCCCACCAGTGCTGACGGCGTTGCTCAATGCGTTGACCGAAACATATGACCGTCTGCCAAATGATTCAGGTGAGTGGAATCTATCGTGCAGAGTCATGCAGAGCGTGAGATGCCTGTCTAGAAAAACGGAAAGCCTGGATTTACGAAGTTCCACTCCCTGTGTTGCATCACCTTAGAGAGGCTCTCAATGCCGTCCCTCCCGGGCAGCCTTTCTCGCTTGAGATGCTTGCCAAATATGATGCTCCTGTGCTCGCAGGTGGTATCAAGTTGTGGGCTCTTGAGCTTGATCCGCCCCTGGCGCTTTGGGAGGGATGGGATGATATCAGGAAACTCTATCCCACAGGTAAGTTGGAATGTGTACCGACGGGTCTGAAGACTAATGGTGAGGATAGTTGGGTCTGCCAAGGCTGATGGCGATGTTTCGGAAGAACAACACCTCCAGGACTTGCAAGTGGCTCTTCAGCGTCTGCCGAAGGTCCATCTCTATGTCCTAGATACTATTGTCTCTCATCTCAGAAAGTACGTCCACTACGTATGGTTTCACGATAAATTGCTGAGTTGCGCTGTAGTTTGATTGAATCGACAAGTGTGGAGGAACCAGATGATATCTACTTCACGAAGTTGGCTCTGTCAATCGGCCGCAGTACGTTCCTAGTTACACGACTCACAGTACAGAACTGACGCAATCTGACAGCGATCATCAAACCCAAAGTGGAGACGGAGTTGTCCATCCAGGACCGCCACCCTACGCGTAAGTGGTTGTTCCATTCATCATGTCCATCATTTCATACTCTAGGCTGTGTAGTTCTGTTCATCGATCTGCTCAAGAACTACGATGATATTCTCCCACCTACTATCGCCAGGAAGAAGCGGGAGTCCGAGCGACGCATCCCAATCCGGAAGCGCACAGCACCTGTTGACATGCGTATGAGTCGAGGCAGAATTTCTGTTGGTGCTCCATCTCGGGAGATCTTAGCTGCCCAGCAAGCAGCACAGAGAGTTGCTGCTCAGATTCCGGATGCGACAATCCCAGAACGTGTTCCAGAAGAGGCTCCACGTGCCGCAGTCCAAGCTTCACCGATCTCAGAGTCGAAGAGCTTCGACACTGAACCGGAAACGTCTGATGCAGCTGTTGAGGAGCGTGAGCAATTTGATCGTACTGAACAATCTGTCATCTCCCCTCCTGTTGTTGAAGACGACTCTACGCCTCAACGTCCAGAGTTCAAAGAGCCACCCCCTGAGTTCGACGAACCCCCCAGGCCTACGTTCAAGGAACCGCCTCCGGAAGTTGATGATGTCCCTAGCCCTAGCATGCAGCCTACTTCTTTCGTTTCTCCGCCTGCTTCGCCACCCCCTGTGATGGATGAGAAGCCATCTTCGCCTGCAGTGTCCGTGACGCCCGCTACGCCCCACAACCCGATCAAGGCACTCAGGCGCAACTCAGCCATACGCACTGGCAACGCATCGCCGGCGCGTAGTCCGTCTCCCCTCGCTTCAACTGCCACACCTGCTGTTCCAGCAGAAGATCAGGCTCTGAGCGCCGGAAGAACTAATTTATCGAGGCATTCTTCTGGACAAGCGGCGGTTGTGCGCGGTCCGCGGACATCCCGTGTCGCACGACCGGCCGGTGGGAGTGTAAGCAGCATGGTGGCGAATTTGAACAGGAGTTCGATGTCAAAGTCTCCTCCACCGTCCCCAAACTACAAGAGGCTCTCTGGTGGGACAACACGTCCGGGATCTATGTTGGGGGCTGCGGATGGCAAGGTCAAGATTGGCAGAAGTGTTGCTTTCTCCAGGAGGACTATGGCTAGTGATGCGGAGGATGACGTTGTTGACAGATGAAGTGGTTGACAGGATATGAGGTTTTGCTGAAATGCTTGCATATAATTCGGACCCATGAAACAATGATCTAGCTCAGAATATGCCCTTGATATGTACATGCTCTTGACTTGCAATATAACTTATGTCACGAGTGCTGTCTGGGTTTCGATGAGTGCAGCCTGTTGTTCAGTTCAAACTAAAATACCGCTTGACGTTTGCGATATCTATGGTACAATTATGTAGATTAAGGCGAACAAGTACAATGATACAAATGTGGAATACAAATCTCTGCAGCACTCTAGACCTCCTGTGAAGCACCCTCCTTCTTGCCCTTGCTGGTTTTCGTGGGAAGAAGTTCTGGGTTGATGAATGGTACGACACCACCCTGGCTAATGATGACATCACCAAGGAGTTTGTTCAACCTGACGGGACACGGACACATGAATATATCAGATCAACACCCAAGTATAAAGACTGACTCTTCGTCATTACGAATAGCAAGTTGAAGGTGGCGGGGAACGATACGTTGTTTCTGTTTATGGTTCAACAACTGCGCGCTAAAAAGGAATGGATGTCACAGACTTTGTTATCACGGGCAGCATTGCCAGCAAGCTCCAGAATCTCAGCAGCAAGATACTCCAAGACAGCAGCAAGGTATACTGAGCGATTTTCAGTCTAATATCTGCAACCACATGGCGGATGTGACGCACCAGGAGCACCAGCACCAACACGCTGTGCGTAGTTGCCCTTCTTCAATAATCTGTGGATACGGCCGACAGGGAACTGAAGACCGGCTTTTGATGAACGCGATTGAGCCTTTGAATCGCTACCGGTCTTTCCAGACGAAGATTTTCCACTGTTGAAGGAATGTGAGCTTCCTGCGCTTAGCCAGGGGCAGGTATGCAACCTACGCTTTTCCCTTTCCAGACTGCATGAAAGCCATTTAATTGATGACTCAAAATGTTGTAAAGCGTACACTCACCATGTTTTTGAATCAAACAAGCAATTGACGGCAAGTATGTGATGTGGTAGAGGGGAGAAGCAAGTGTGGCAAGTCATACAACTCCCTAAGTGCCTAGACTTTATTGGATTGGATTCGCACTCCGCTCAAAACTGCAATCAACGCGTTCGTGTGTGACACGTGACTGACGCGCCTTTCATTCTCCCACGAAAATCGAACCTTTACGGAAACGGACATGACAGTGCTTAAGAGAGGCGGGGTTTGCTGTGACTTGTACTTAAGCACTTCGAGCCTTGAGGCGTCCACGAGGAAATCGACTCTCAAAATTCGCGTTCACGCCTCCTTCTGCTGTCCTCGATCTCTTGTTTCTCTTCTATTTCTTGTGTCTGGAGAGCCTTCATCGATACGGCAGGCATTGACTGCCAACCCATGTATCCAAGGGATGTTCCCATTGCTACCCAGGCGCCCCAAACGTCACCACTCACCCCAACTCACGACCAGGTTCGTGTATTTTTTATGACGCCTTAAAGTGACACGTACCGCATGGCTTAACTGTGCTAACCCTTCTCAGATAGTCGTTTTATATGTTGTACGTCTTTTAAATCCACGTACTCTTCCATAACATCTTGTGTTTGAACTCACCCACAGACCGTTGTTTACGCCGTGGTTATATTCGGAATCTGGAATATACCAGTCGCACGGACGCTAATTAACCCGCTTAAACTCTTTACCATTGGGTGGCATGAGTTTTGCCACATCGTAGCGGTGAGTTTGTCTCGCTGCCAGGCACAGTTCCTGTTTGAACAATGCCGTTCGGTGTCCAGGCCGTCCTGACTGGAGGCACCATATCATCGGTAACGATCGATCCAAATTTAGGTGGTACGCACGATCCATTTTGATTCCGAATCGCATCTTATAACGAACATAATAACAGGCGCGACCATTGTCGAGGGCGGCCATCCACCAATCATACTCGCAGCAGGGTATGTAGGATCAAGTGTCTTCGGTGGCGCCTTCATACTGGCAGGCTTCGATTCTCTTGTCGCCAAAATTCTGAGCTTTGTCCTTGGCCTGGGGCTTATTACTCCGTTGGTTCTTGTGCGAGACAAGCTGTGAGCCAAAGGATCTCACCTTGCTTCCACGGATGCTCTGACGTCGATGCAGGACTATCCTGCTTACATTGTTTTACGAGGGTCTACTTGTTGGCTTCTGGTTTATCGGACATGCGTGAGTGGAGCGATTCGATGGCATCGCCTTGTGCTGAAACCTAAACAGGCAAGCCCTTCGATGGTACTGCTTATTCGTCGGCGTTATGAAGTATGTATCGATGCTGTGTATGTCCTGAGAGCTCAAGCTAACGGAACTTGTGATTCTAGCACGTTCTACGTTATTTGTATGCCTCCATTCTTTTCATGTATCATCCATTCGCTTGATTCGTTGTAGGGGATTTGACAGATGACAAGTTCTTTCGAAAAGCGAACGATTCTGACTGCACGCAGTTCAATCTTATGTTTCCACGAATATCTGCGCATGGTGATGTTTTATGTGGTGGTCCATTGGATGAAGCTGATAAAATTGTTCAGTGTGGGCTTGTTTCTGGATAATGTTCCAGACAGGAGTATGCATATCGTTTCTATTCATTGGAATAGTTTCGTTCAAGGTACGTTATGACCCTTTCGTGGGTCGCAAAACCTACAGTGTGCATCTAGCTATCGACAGAAGAAATGAACACGCAAGCAAGTGAGTAGCTCAACACAGCCCTGTTACAATTGTAGCACTGACTGCGGTGCAGCTGTTTTCTTACCGACATGACAATAGCACAGCTCCACGAGTACGAAAATAATCACACTTGCACTCACATAGAATTCACGGGTTTTGTCGTTCACATACGGACTTGTACGATCGGAGAGTGGTTCAATTACATGTATCTTTGCTGCAACATTTACCCCGCCCAGTATCTATACCACATGACAATGCGGATTCATACCATCAGTGACAATGATTGTCCATATTTCTGGATGCATTATTCTCGTCTTTGTAGAACACTCGCTAACTTAATATAATTATAGCTCTCGCACACTCGGTTCACCTTTAGGTTTTACATGAGGGAAGATAATATATAACTGCGGCCTGCTCGTGTCACTGGCACCTGTTTTGTCAACTGAGCTGGAGTTTGGAGCCATTCGACAAAATTTGTGACGGTGATCCTGGCTAGCACTAATGCTCATGGACTCCACTGCTTTGTACAAGGTCGTGGAGTTCCTCATCTCGGGGGTTGAATGAAGTGTCGAAGGGGTTATTATAATCTACAATAGCAAGAGGTCAATGTGTATGCCATGGTCTCGAGATAATGACTCTAGCCGCAAGATGAGAAACACAACACGAGCATTAGGGCCGACCTGCCGGGAGGACCTTCATCTTCACAAACCTACCTTATAATGTAACCGTCGCCCTCGCGTGCTTGATTCACTTTTAGGTTTCATATGAGTAAGGAAGGCAGTATATATTTGGCATATATCGCATTGTGTCCAGAATACTCAACCGCTACTGTACATACGAAGCCAGTGACCGATATTTACGAAATAGTGTATTGCGCAAAGGGATAATCGTGATATAGAATAATGCATGGGTGCAGACAGCAAGGGTGACGGTGCAACAGTGTAAATAGAAAGACGTGTCAGAGTTCTTCATTTCGAATTATTTGCGGGTTGCTCGCCGTATGAGACCCGCGATGAGGAGGGTGCCGACTGCGGCTACACCGCCCGCAAGTGCCATACCCACGTATCCCTCTGCGCACCCAGATCAGCAAGACGCAAAAATACTCCAAAAAATGACGTACCTCGCGTAACACCCTTGTCTATCAGTGATGCTAGACTTTGTGCCTGCATATTGGTGGGCTCCCGTGAAAGCAGGAGGTCTGCGCATTGAGTATAAATAACCAGAAAGAAAGTGTAAGGAAGCACATCCTCAACATACCATTGAAACTTCTTGCATCTGTGAAGTTGCCCATCTTATAGTATCCAAGTGCTAGGTAGTACAAGCACTCTCGCCGTCTTGACGGCTCTGTCCGGTATATTTCTGTGCAGCGTCAAGTCAGACACCGCGAAAAGGAGATATCAAAGCAACGCAAACCTTGCAGCAGTCGCACACCCTCGACCTGGTTTTCGCGTACTGGGCTCTTCACTAGCCCCCATGCATAGTTGAATTTAGTCTGGACGGTGATGTGAGACTGCCCAAGCTCCTTCTCGTATTGTAGCCGAAGGACCTGTATAACAAAGTTTGAAAGATGCCAAACTTAAGTGCAGGGGAGTGCGTACCTCTATCTCGTCATAGGATAAAGAGACTTCAGCGTCAGCAGCGTATGGAAGGTCCGTAGGCATAGCAGAACGAGTTCAAGTGGTCAAATTATTATTGCCTGGAGTGGCAGCAGAGTGCTGCGTCAGAGGACCCGGCTGACGTAACTTTTTCACATCGCCAAAAGCTTGGATCCTTCCTTGAACACGAACCACATCAAGCAAAAGACTCAAATATGGCAGAAGGTGAGTTTGGTCTCCCATTCTTCATGCGTCATTTTCACGAGTAGGCGCAAAAAAGCCGACTTGTATTCCTCGAGAGGCACTGCTGGAGGTACTTGTTCTTTGCCTCATCTTTTGCCTGGAATTTTTCCTGCGAAAGATGATAAACTCATGGTTCCATGAGTATCGTCCTCTTTTTGCCCCGTGTTTCTTTTTTAGCTAGCTAGGATACAGCAAATGCACCTCCTCGCCGAACTGCTGATCCCACCAGCAGCATCACACGTTACTCACTACCCGTGGTTTTATTCTTTCTCTAGAGCACAGCTTCCGTGAGGAGCGCGACCGCCGGAGGCGTGACGACGGACACCGCGATTACAGGGACCGTGACAGGGATGGCCATGGCCACAGAGATAGAGGGGACAGAGACAGAAACAGAGAACATTTGGGTGATCGTCGAGACGACCGACGCCGTGACTTCGGTGGTCGTGACTTCGATGACCGCAGGAAGCGTGGTAGTGGTCATGACAATGACCGTCGCCGAGAGCACCGCGAAGAGAACCGCGAGCATCGACATGGTAGAGGTCGTGAGGAAGGATCTCCTCGCCGTGGTGGGCGTAAGGGACGGGATGGGCTTGGCACTCCAGAACGAAGGTCTCCTACACCTGAGGGTGCACTTCCTTTGGCCCAGCGGAGGCGCAAAGCTTCAGGATGGGATGTTCATGCTCCAGGATACGAACAATATTCCGCCATGCAAGCCAAACAAACAGGTTGGTCGACCATCCAGTTCTCCAAGGGTGTCTAACTGTCACGTTTTTAAAAGGTCTTTTTAACCTTCCTGGAGCGAATCGCACACAAGTTCCTCCTATCCTTGGTATCGCTGGTTTGCCGCCTCCAATCCCAGTCCAGACTTTTGGGATGGGAATTGGAAGCAACCCGAACTTATCTCGGCAATCCCGTCGCCTGTACATTGGCAGTATCACACCTGAGGTCAATGAGCAAAATCTTGCCGACTTCTTCAACAGCAAAATGATTGAAATGGACATTGGCACTGGTGGCCCCGGAAACCCTGTCCTTGCAGTCCAGTGTAATTACGAGAAGAACTATGCGTTTGTCGAGGTTTGTGCATCTTTTGGCCGGTACTGGGTATGTTTGACCTTCTGTCTTTTGTAGTTCCGCAGCGCAGAAGATGCAACGGCTGCTATGGCCTTCGACGGTATCATATTTATCAATGGTCCACTCAAAATTCGGCGACCCAAGGACTATGGTGGTGTTGAGATCACTGTTCCTAGCGTCCATGTTCCAGGCGTTGTTTCAACCAACGTCCCTGACTCCATCAACAAAGTGTTTGTGGGTGGTCTGCCGACTTACTTGAACGAGGAGCAGGTACAGGAGTTGCTCAAGAGTTTCGGCGAGCTCAAAGCCTTCAACTTGGTTCGTGAAAATGGCAATGGTTCATCCAAGGTATTCTTCCGCTTGTCAATCCTGATTGATTATATCTAATCGTGCACACGAGCAGGGTTTTGCATTCTTCGAATATGTGGATGCCTCTGTTACTGACGTTGCCATTCAAAGCTTGAACGGCATGGAGCTAGGAGACCGTTATCTAGTTGTACAGAGAGCCTCGGTCGGCGCGAAACCCGGTACACCGGGCATGATTCCAAACCTTCCCTACGACCAATTTCCAGAGATTCCTCGACCTATCATGCCTGCTGGTGAAAGCAGTAATGCCGATGCTCGTATTCTTCTCATGCTCAACATGGTTACTCCTGACGACCTTACCAATGACGACGAATATGGCGACTTGTACGAGGACGTCAAAGAAGAAGCCTCCAAATACGGGAATGTTGAAGATCTGCGCATTCCTCGGCCGGTCAAGAAAGACAAATCGAAATGGGCTCCTGGAGAGCCTGGTCAGCAGACTGCCATTGAAGCTCAGCGCGCAGATGAAGCAGCGGGTGTTGGCCGTGTGTATGTCAAGTATGTTGATGCCGAAGGTGCACAGGCAGGTCTCAAGGCGCTTGCTGGGCGGTCCTTCGCTGGACGCTCTATCATCGCTACAGTCTTGAACGAGGACAGTCAAACGACGCCCCCACTTAATTTGATCTTTGCCCCTCAGCCAGATGCTCCTCCTCCGCTCCCCACCTCTTGATTGATCACTCCTTTTGGGAGGCTGGAAGTGGTTATCTAGTTGCTCGGTCGTATGTACGTCCTGTACCGCTTCTGATGTTGTTCTGTACCGATGCTTTGATTTCGTGCAAATGAAGTGCCCCATTGCGATGTGATAATCACTCGAGTGCTGCCCGAGGATCTCATGGTGTCATTATAGAGAGTTTGATGATCGCTGGTCTTTGCGTTCTGTTTGTCCAGCTCCCTTGAGTTTCCATTTTTTACTCAGGCCTTCAGAAAGGATTCAAGAGATTGCCCGCAATACGTGAGCGAATGACATACTACCTTGGACGGCACGCATCGTCAATGCCTTGTGTCCGGTCGAGGAATACCATCGCTCGACTGATACGCTACGTAAATCGCATTCAGTGATATCCGCCCTTTCATTCGTAACGGTGGTAGACAATTACTAGCTCGTATCACACAGATAGTAACTAACAAAAGCATAATCACAAGGCGCTTATACATCTCACTTCACTCGTAGTCCACAGGAGGTCTGCGCCATGTTGCACCACCAGGGATCACTTCTCAGCAGAAGCAGAAAGTTGTTGGCTGCAAGTATCAAGGTGAACATTACGGAACGGCCATCGCAAGGAACTCATGACTCGTCTATCGTGTGCGCCTCGACCATCGTTATCCTCGCCGTCTTGTCAGCTCACCCTTCCCCTCTCTCCACCACACTGCCCCTTCTGCGGGATTACATTTTACATGATAGCGGCCTCACAAAACACGTTCACCAGGGTTCCGCATGGGTTACTGTAGACTTGTGCGCTAAAATAGTTGGTAAGAACGGCACACCAGTAGAGGGCATTCTCGCTCCGGATCATTTGCGGCTGGAGGCACGGAAGGAGATATAGGCGTTTGCACTCTGCTTTAATTCGGTCGACACACGGGGGAACTTCAGATGCTGGAACTATGTACGCGAGATTATATACTGGTTGATTTTCCGAACACGTGACGAGCGCGTCGCGATCGATTCTGTTTATCGCCCGTACACAGACCTTGATTTTCTAGGCAACTTCCAGGAGTATAAATATGGGGTGCCCTCGCAAATATTTCCCTCCCTCAGTTTACCACCAGCATATTCTTACGATCTTCACCTCTCTCAATCAGCGTTCATTACCATGACTCTCTCTACTGCCATGACCATTACTTCCCGCGTCGCCGTCACTGGCTTCCTTACGGTCTCTTGCTTCAAACGGGCTGTCGTCGACAACACCGCTCAGGTCCTGTCCAAAGCAGAGAAGGCTTCCGCTGGCCTCGCTGTATATTCTGTCTGCTTGTCGACGATCACCCTGGTTCTCGCCGCCGACAAAGCTGCACAGAGGATCCTCAGCAACGAGCCCAAGCATTTGCCCGCCCTTCCCAGGGACGCCGACGCCGACTCTAATCCTCCATCCGCTAATGACCCCACCACCACCGTTACGCCTCAGCCTGTTGAACCTCATTTGCAGCCATTTCCGTCTCCATCTCCATTGCGTTTAATCGGATCGACGGAAACAGTATCCGCTCCAATTTCTACTTGCACCCCTGATGACAACACCACCACCGTTACGCCTCAGCCTGTCGAACCGTATCATTTGCAGCCATCTCCGACTTCATCTCCATTGCGTTTAATCGAATCGACGGAAACAGTATCCGCTCCAATTTCTACTTGCACCCCTGATGACAACACCACCATCGCTACGCCTAAGCCTGTCGAACCGTATCATTTACAGCCATCTCCGACTTCATCTCCATCGCGTTTAATCGAATCGACGGAAACAACGTCCGCCCCAATCACGTGTTCTAATACTTGCATCACTCTCACTTCGCCGGACCTCTACTGCAAACGCCTGTCTATCGATTCCACCACTACTCTTGCACCTCATGACGATGACTCAGTTACTGACGTCTTCTCGGACGATGCCTCGGACGCCAACGACTGTAAATCGTTTAGTGATGAAAGCACCGTCCACGAAGTAAGACGCAGCGCATCCTCAGTTTTCACATTCCCTGACGTTTGAGTCTCTAGGACGATTGTTCTGAACCACAGCCTCAGAAGGAACATGCACTAGAACCTACGCTTGGCATTCTAATTGCAAAAATGACAGCTCTCGCTATCAATGACCCGCCTCGTCCTTCCAAGCTTCGACCACTCATTCTAGTCAACAACTGCCACAATACATCTACTCCCATTCATTGTCCTCTGCTCCCTGAACCCGCCTACTCTATGGACGCATTGACCCGACGTATGGAGGCGCTCTCTCTTTCCGATAGTCCATCTACCGATCCTGGCGTTGCTCTTCCTGAACCCGGCTGCCCCATCGAAGCGCTGACTCGAAATATGGAAACGCTCTCTATCGGCGATCGCCCTGCTTCCACCTTGAAGCTGAAGCCTCTGCTCCTGGTTACGAAGCGCGACACCAGACACTTCAAGCTGCCTCCTCTCGCAACCCCTCTGCTTCGACAGCCTAGATCCCAAACAGCAACGCGGAGTCAGATGTATTGGCCTTTTTCACTGAACCCTACGATCTGGGCTCACCCACAGCCCAAGTGATTCAAGGCCGCCTCCGCGCTAACACACAGCTACGCACAGCATATGTCCGATGTCAGGTCCCCTACGACCAATCCGGATGACGGCCTCCTTCTGTCCCCTACGACCCGGAGCTTCACCGCCCAAGGAGTCGAAGGCCACCTCCAGTCTACGCATACTACACCACGTCGCGTGTCTGGCCACCACCATGATTATGCACGCATCTATCAGAGCAAGTCGCTTCTCGTTTCCTTCTCTACTAGTACCTCCTCGATCTGTATTTTCCTCGCTCGACTGGTCAGTTTCATCATAGACTCCTCTCCGAGTCTGGTATGTACGTTTCATTCCTTTCGTTTCCTCCCTCGATTTGTTTTTCTCTTGACTTCTACGAGACGAACAAATTATCTCATCATGGACTTTATTTCTCTAGCAAATATCAGTATCCTTTCATTTTTCCATTTCCTTCTCTACGCCGAGGTCTGCTTCGATTTGTATTCTCATCCACCGGTACACTGACTCATTTAGTTTCATTATCTCTCGCGATGTATACTTATTTCATTGATCTTGTTACACTTATTTTGTACATGCACGGTTGATAGCATACGCTTGGAATACAATTTTCTTCCACCAGTATGTTCTGAGGACTTGCTTGAGGCTGTGGTTGCACATGTGCCATTGTAGCCGTTAACAAAGCTGTCGAGCGCACTGGAGAATTTACGTCGTCTTCATGATATATCATGCCGCGCAAAATAAAAATTCGTGTCTAAATAAAAATGACGAGGTGTATATCAACCAATGTGCGGCGGCCAGGCACTGTGATGCGGTTCATATAGGCGTAGGTCGGCCAGCTCTACGATCCTCGCGTCTCTGCTCCAGCTAGAACATAGTCAGCACAAAAGTTTCAGACTTAGAAGGGATGCTAGTCTCTCACCCACGCCTTCTTACAGTCCCTATATGCCTGGAAGAATTCCATACATTTGTCCCGGTTATAGTCATTGCGGTCCATGCAGCTCAAAGATGCTTTTGCTGCTTGTTCGCATGGACTGAGCACCAATACGACAAGGTTATTGAGGAAGGGAGAGGGTGCGCAAGAAGGAAACGCACTCTGTATGTTGGGTGTATGATTGTCGGGCCTGTCATTACCGTCACGGTGAATGCGGACAACCAGTTTGAGATGACATGCAGGAAGGACATACAGCAAAAACATCTCTATAATCTGCAGGCTTCACATTATCCTGTGGCGAATTCGAAGGCGACGGAGTAGACATGACAATTGCATAAGTGCAAGAACCGTCATCATACAAAGCGAAGTAAATAACTTTGTTGACAGGATGTTGCGATGTCAAATAGTCGTACCGCATGACTTTTTTCGTTTCTTTTATTTTGCAGTATCACAGATGGACTAACAAGGATGATTGACGATCCAAACCGATTGCTATACGTACTACCACAGCCTACAGGTACTACGATCTCCCATGGATCTTCCACTTCTCCAAACAGAGATATCTTGCATCATAAGAAAAATGTTTTTCTTGTCGTCTCAAGCTCAGGCTACAGAGTAATCAGCAGATGTTCGTAAACGAGTGGACAGAACATTACCTTCCAACGCCAGATATACTCGTTATCTTTTGGAGGATTGCTCACTGGAAGGGGCTCAGGCGGCTTTATCTCCGATTCCTCGTCTTGTTCTGGCATGGGCGGTTCTTCTGGAGGTTCAGGCAACTCCTCAGTCCCGACATTGATCTCTAGGGCATCTGGCGATGCCCCAAAGTTTTGAACTGCTGGCAGTCCTCTTTTGAGCCATCGAAGTTTCAGAGTGAAGCGAGGCCCGATTTCTTGCAGAGCAACTTTTTCAGGCGAGCGGAAAGCATACCTAATATTTTCGCTTGAGAACCGTATTCATTCAATTCTTGTGATCTCCCTTACCGATGACGTCTGAAAAACAAAAAGTCACGCTGGTTGTGAAGCGCGACTACTTGTCGCCCCTGGAATTCAGGTAATGGCGGGAATAAAGTCTGGAACATTCGTCCAACACCGTGTCCCAGAGTAGTCGAGAAATTATTGAGAACAAGCTCGGGGTTGTGTGGCGTTGCTCTCGCGTGACCCTGATACAGGTCCGTTATTTCTGCACCAGCGATGAGATGTAAGGCGGGCTCACATATATCTGTTTTGTGAGTTCTATAGACGTAAGCTTGAAATACGCCATAGGACCATTAGGGAGATGCACCAAGGTGATAGCATCTAGAAAACCATGAGTCTTTGATAACAAATATGGCCGAGACAACAAACTTGGCTTCTTCATGTCCTCGTTCACAACAAGCATATGCTTATAACCACGGCCAGCAGCCCATCCAGCTATTCGACCCATCTCGAAGCCTTTCCCTTTTTTCCGCCGTATAAACTCAGCACCTGGAAATACTCCTACCAACTCATCACAGAACTCATACGTGCCCTTCGAGGATTTTGCAGAGGTTGTAATGAGAACCTTCGGGGGGATAGTTGGATCCAGCGTGAAGTTGAAATAGTCCGCAAAAGGATCGGATGCGATATCATTGGAGAATTCCGCATGCTGGGCAGATGAAGGGCCAGCTGCAGAGAGCATAGCTGGGTCTGCCTCGCGGGTATTATCGAGCGTACGGGGTACATTTTCTGAAATACGTTTCTGATACGATGTCAGCTGTGAAAGGAGTACAGATGGATCGTTGCCCGCACTTTCTTTGCTGCCGGGTCGTTGGCTTCGACCTTGGCCTGATCGAGCCTTTTCTGTAGTTTTGCCTGGCTTTTGCTCTTTTTCAGCTTGCGCGAAACCTCTTCTCTTTTTATCTTATTTTTGATAGACGACGGTTGGAATCGTGCAGGAGCCATGGTATGAATGATGAAATGATTCGCAGGACGTGAAATTTCTGAGTATGCAACACGTGACTTCCAATCTTCTTCCTCGTGAACTTCATCCCGCTCACCGAACAACATGTTCGCCTTTCGACTTTCGGTGCTTCTTCCGTCTTTCCTTTTCTTAATAACGACAGTTAATGCCCTTCATTTCTACTTGGATGCAAACGAAAAGCGATGTTTTGTGGAAGAACTGCCATCAGACACGGTGGTTGAGGGTAAGTATCCTTGTCACCGGTCGGGAGCACCTCGAATGTCTTACCTTGCATCATAGGGCATTACAGAGCGTTAGAGTGGGCTGACAGCACCCAACAATATATTCTAAACGAGGAACTCGGAATCATAGTTGAAGTGGAGGTACGGCCCAAAGGCGCCCTTACAAACAACACGTCTCACACGCAGTTTCTGCCCATAGGAAATGGAAACGTCACACGTCGTCACAAAGACGAGAGGTCCGTCCGACGGTCGTTTCACATTCACCTCCCACGAATCAGGCGACCACTCCATTTGCATTTCCACCAACTACACGTCATGGTGGTCAAGCACGCACATCAAGCTCTATCTGGACATCGTCGTAGGAAGCACGAAACCAGACATCGAGAGCGACCGTACCCACATCGGCGAACTTAGCAGCAAACTCCGCGACCTCAACCAAAAACTTGAAGAAATTCGGAGGGAACAGCAGTACCAGCGGGAGAGAGAGGCGGATTTCCGAAATTTGAGTGAGAACACCAATTCAAAGGCTGTTTGGTATAGCGTGTTGCAGATTGGAGTGCTCATTGCTACGTGCACGTGGCAGTTACGACATTTGAAGGTGAGTGACGCGATGTCTTTTCTGTGCGCTCTCAGTTAATGTATGCATGTCCAGCGTTTCTTTGCGGATAAACGGTAGTCTGATATTATTATAATGGACTGGTGGCTACTGGTGGTCGCTTTGAGGTCCGCGGGTATCACCGCTTTGAACCTGCCTTCCGTTGTCAAGCGGATCAAATTTAGTGACCTGACAAGTTAAAAACTTCAAATCGCCATAAACTAATATATGCACAAACAGGATACGCTGCTGGTCAAAGTTCAAGGCACCTACAACTGTTAGATCATTCGACATTTGTTTCCAATGCTCATTAGGTTGTGGCATTTGCCAAGTACTCTGGCTCAGTTCAACTGTTTGGGATATTACTTGAACGTCAGGCACATGTCATCATGACATTGGCAGTAGCGTAAGAGTGTCACCGGGTTTTCGCTGATATAGTTTGAGAGGAGGGTTGCCAAGCATGTGCGTTGTTGAGCCCAGTGTGCTGCATGCACTGTCTTCGTTCTATTTTACCTGCCTATAGGACACTGAGAACACTATTAAAAACCGAGTAAATGAATTTGATTGGTTGATGCTATCCCCATTACAAAAAATCGAAAGGCACCACGTGCCATTGAGGCCGTCACCTGACAGTTTAAAAGCACACGTCCAGATGGTTCTGTCTCTAGGACCACACGTTCCTGAGATCCTTTCTGGGCAGCGCTGAGCTCCCAACTGGGCGTGTGCAATTAGTGAAAAGGAACATAAAGAGATCGATGTTCTCAGATCCAGGACCGAGCATCGACGGTCGCAGTACTACCAGAGATACCATGTCCGAGTCTCTCGATTCCAAGCACGATTTCGAGGATGCGACCTCAGCGCACTTAGTCGTAGATGCAAGCGATCTTGAGCGGGACTATGTTCGCCCTCCGATCGACTATTCTTCTCCGGCTGCTTTCACGAGCAGCTCCTGGGCTAGGTGGAAGAGTATATGGACTAGACGCTTCGCACTCTCGCTGTTGGCTGGACAGGTGGTTTCTCTGTGCATAACGGTGACTAATGTCACGACGACCGAGCTGGTGTCTAGGAATTGGACCTTGTCGACTACGCAGACATGGTTTTTGTGCGTGTTTCGATTCTTGTGATGATTTGTAGCGCCTATATTCGTTCTTGCAGGTACTGTTCGTTGTTTCTCGTTTATACGCCGTATACGATGTATAAGTGTAAGCATGGCTTTCTTTTTCCTTAATCAATGCTGATGACAGGTGGATATTGAAGATGGTCTTAAGGGTTGGGGTCAGATGGTATATAGGGATGGGTGGAAATGTTCGTGATATCATCGTCATTCCCGCCGGCAAGACATTCTGATACGCCATAGATTTCATCCTCGCGTCTTGTGATGTTGAGGGCAACTTCTTGGTCGTAAAGGTAAGCATACATCTCCGCTCATTTCGACCACGCATCAATCATCGTCTCTTATCGAACAGGCATACAACTATACCGATCTGCTATCTTGCATGCTTCTCGATGCGTGAGTCATACTCGGCCACTCATCTGTGTACTGCATCTCACAGGGTCTGTCTTAGTTGGGCGATTCCTGTTTGCCTGTTCTTTTGCTGGGTGTACATGCGTACGAAGTATCATTGGACTCAGGTATTGGTGAGGAATCATCAAAACGTAGTTATCTCCATGTCTGAGTAGGCGCACACAGGGCATCCTAGTGTGTGTCGGAGGACTCGGCATGCTAGTATCTTCGGACATGCTCACAGACAAGAACTACCCTGCACTAAGCAAGGGGAAAGGCGACGCCTTCATGATCGTTGGAGCGACGCTATACGGCTTTAGTACGTTATCCTTCAGGTGAACAAATTGTCGTATTGATGACGGTCATCAGCCAATGCCACAGAAGAGTTCTTTGTGAGGAGATCGCCGCTTTATGAGGTGGGTGAGGCGCTTTTAATGGAGGATCGCGCATCTTACCCTAGCAGGTCGTTGGCCAACTTGGTATGTGGGGGACCTTGATTAATGGGATCCAGGCTGCTAGTTTGGAGCATGCGGCTATGACTACAGCGTCGTGGAATGGTGCTACGAGTGGGCTGATTTGATATGGACATAATGTGAATTTGGCTGATTGGGGTTTTCAGTTGGCTTTCTTGCTGCTTATACAGCTGGTCGGTTTCTACTAAATTTTAGCTTGATTCTCATGCTAATGCTCGTTAACAGCGATGTTTACCCTTTATACGGTTGCTCCTCTGCTGTACCGCATGGCGTCGTCACCCTTCTATAACATCAGTCTGCTCACGAGTGACTTTTATGGTCTTCTTTTTGGTACGCTATCATCTTCCTTGTGACTACTCTCAGGACGACTGATTGTATGCTAATAGGTCTTTTCCTTTTCGTGAGTGTTACGTATCTGTGGGGGTCGATGGGGACTAAATTTTTGCAGCATTATTCGCCATACTGGCTGTACTTCCCTGCTTTCTGCGTCGTCGTCCTTGGCCTCATCGTCTACTTCTGGCATGCTACACGTAAGTATATTGGTTGTGTTTGTGTGAACGGTCATTGATGCCTTAAATTAGCTGAGGAGCAGGGGAAGCTGGAACCTAAAGCTCCAGCATATATCCGAAGAATGCACCCGGATGACCAAGCTTAGTGGGATACCTGCGATACCATTATGTGACACTTGTAAATGAAGGGTGTCAACAATAAGTGAATGTGCGTCATTATATAGTGGTTAGTTACAATGCCAGAATCCAATTAAATGGATAACGAGGGAGGGGTGATGATGTACATATGTAATGCACGGTACTTTGATTTAAACATATCGAAGAGGATCTTTCTTTTGTTTCTCGAGTTCTTCTTCGTAATTCTTTCGTTCTTGTTCGCGTTGGGTCTTGTGTTGAGCGAGTTTCTGGACGTTCATTCTGAGAAGCTGGATCTACAGAATGAATGGGAGGGCGTACGGTTTTCAGTGCTTCCACTGTAGAGACAATGGACTCTAGGGTGGATTCAGACATATCGAGCATCTTTAAGAAACCGGTATGAGTGAGGATACTAGATATTATCATAATTTCATTCTACTCACCGCATCCTCGGTGCGCTTCTGAATCTCCTTAAGGCGTTCCTTGTCCTCCTCCCACTCTCGTTGATTCCAACCCGCGGTTCCATCCCCATTGCGGTCAGGCTGCCTCCTATAGATGAAGTTCCACCTCTGTTCCTGGGGCGTTGGAGCGTCAGGCTTAGAGTAGACAGGGGGAGTAGGGTGTTCGCCACTCCCTTCTACGTGACGTCGATGCATGACGCAAGGAAAGTACTGTGCACGATGTTCGCGCATCTGGCGATTGCAATGCCAGAAAGTAGCAGCACCTGCACCGAGGATGAACCAGAGGATGCGGGATGGGCCACGGAAGTAGTGGTTGTGATAGTAGGGGTGCATGTTAATCAGGGGGATTGATGATGATGGTCAGGTAGGGGATCATCACAGTGGGTGCAGTGATTTATATAGTCTCGAATACGCATCTGTGCGCCGTCACAGTCGCCGTCGACGAAAGCGCTCGGCCTCTGACGTAGTTGTTCGGCGTGTCCATTTTTGGGTCAGCCGTGTTTATGACAAAGCCGATGGACTCGGGTACGCGTCACTTTCTCGCTGCTCGCCGCTGTTTTAATTTGCGACGCTCAGTTCATTTGATCAAAGTTGCAAGGTTGAATTTTAAATTGCTCGTACGAGTAGTCTTAACAACATGCACCGCTTTCCTCCCACCTCTGACACTTTTGCCGCATTTTCAACCGTGGTGCGTCGTCACCGCGGCACGGCCAGTCAATCCACCACCACGGGTAAAAAATGGGACGCCACCATACAATTCTTGATTCAATTGGTTCCATGCAGGTTCCATACGGTCCCGCGAAGGTTCGCAGCTCCCAAGACCTATATTATCGGCGTATAGGAATCCTTATGGATTGACCAGATGAGTCTATTCAAGAACATCTGTGCGCGTGGCTTCCTAACCAGACCCGTAAGTACTAGTGGATAGTCTGACGCACTATCATTTGTAGCTGCGCTGGGAGAAACTACGTGCTTGGACGACGGACGTACACAAATTGGAGGGGTCCAATTATCGCCAAGCACAAGACATTACAATGATATGGATCCGGGGTATATTGGGTCTGTCTGGGGGAGACCATTAGATACATCAGTCGACGATAAGTAAGAACAAAAGTATGTACTTTAAAACACATCAAAATGTCAGTCTAGTAAGGAAACAGGATAGCGGCAGTCGCTCTGGAACCACGATCAAGAGTGTTCGAGAGTATGTTGGTCGCATTCAATGTCGTTCACAACCACTTCCCGAAAAAGCTGCACCTCATCAGCCGTAAAAATATTGCATCGCGTGAGGCGGAGGTCGTGGACGTGGACATTATGTTGGGCTCGTATTTTCAAGACATCCCGAAGTTCTTGAAGTTCATCACCGCTGAACTGCATACGTCAGAGCCCCAGAACACGGAGCGAGGGATACGTTACATTTGACGACCCTTCAATCCGGAGCGCAGTGGTTAAGCCTCTAATGAAGTCCGAGTCTTCGCACCCCTTCAGATGCATGGATTCGATCTCGCCAGAAAATAAGTTTTGACCTCTGCGTTGCGCCATGATCCGACATATATCGAATACAATGTTTCGCGAAATTTCAGCGGCGATATGCGGAACGTAATAGATGTGTCAGTAGACGAATTCGATCGAGAGTCGTATGTTATTATCTTGTGGATTCCAGGAATAGTCGGAATTGATTGCCGTCGACGTGCTAAATTGCACAGCCATAGACCATGGACCTGGCCTGAATTTGATGGCACGCAGCGACCGCAAGACGGGACCAGATCCTTCAGGCATCACCGAAAACAAATCAGCAAATGTTGGAGTCCCTTCAATTGATGGGATATGTAGAGCAATCTTGACGTCAGCGGGAAGGGCTAGATGTGCGAAAAGAGGCACAGCAGTTGCGAGCGAGGCCTCTATCGCTATACTTTTCAACCGAGCGAGTGGCACTTTATCAGGGAGTATTGGTTGGTCGGAACTTAGCAACTCGAACTGGAACATAAACTGCTCCAAGGCAGGCATACATCGCAGAGCTAAAAGGAGGTTCGGCAAGGAGGTTCCTCCCACATGTAGAGTTCGAAGCCCACTGAAAACGCACGATAACCATCTGCGGTCGAAACAATTGACCTCGAGGTGCCGAAGTAAGGGTGCTTGTGCTTGGAAGATGGTGTTTGACATGGACATCATTGGCAGAGGGCCACAGACTTCGAATTTGAACGTTTCGAGCATTGATGCAGGCCGAGATGATAACAGATCCATAACGGGACCGGCATATTCTTGATATGTGCGTAATTTGAGGTGTTTGATCCGAGGAAGGTGTAAAAGGACTTTCTCAAAGCAATCCTCTAGTGAGATGGGAGACCGTGACCACCTTGGAAGCTTGTAGGTAACGACCAAAGGAGCCTTCTGCGACCCCTGAAGCATGACATCTAGCCAAAGAGGAGGGGGAGAATTGATGAATGTCCAAAGAGTCGGGCACCCGAGAGCGACATTGCGCCAGTGTCTGCAGACGTGTGTGACTTCTAGACAAGCAGGGACGTTATCGATTCCATAGGTCGCATGTATATGATCACGGTTATCGCGTCCATTGAGACGCTTCTCTTCTTCGAAGAGTTCGAAGATCATCAGGAGAATATCGTCTGGAAGGCGTGATATGGGGATTTGACCATTGCTGCGAGAACGAAGGACGCGCATAGACTCAGCCAATACAGCAGAGTCTTCATCGATGTGCATCCTGGGAGATCTGTGGGGCGGAGTCGTCAGTCGAGTGCAAACAAAACCTCGGTCAGGTGCAAGAATTACCTTTTGTAGCTTGACAGCAGGTTTTAAAATTCAGTGTTTGCTACGGATTCGAGCAAGAATTCGGGTATAAGAACAATAGCAGTGTCGTCCGGATCTATATTAAATAGATACTCTTAGTTGTAGCACGCGGTAATGCAGACGTCTGGTATATTTACCTATATCAAATAGCTTTGCGCAACGTAAGGATAGGTTGAATGTGAAGTAACAGTCAAATATCTCACCTTAGTCGTAGCCGATAATGCAAAGGTCTGCAGATGTTAGAGTCACCTGTAGAAGCCACTTAAATAGGCGAGAAGTTCTTGTAGCTCAGATCGTAGTGGGGCAAAGATGTTGGACCCGTGGATCCAAGGTAACAATAGATTTAGTAGTCGCATGTAACAAGAGCGCATAATGTAAAATAGGAAAATGACGACACACAGGAAAATGAAATTCTGTCAGTGGATTTGGCCAAGACCCAGTAGGTGCTTGCTCCAGCTCCGAGATCTGAATTTTAAGTAGCAGTATATAATTAACATTTTCGGACGATGACAAGTTCAGTGGCGTCGTACCTTGTCCTATTTTCTCGCCTTCTAGCGCATTGAGCAATGAACACTGTTAGTATTCGGCCGATGCGCAAAGGACGCGCTGTCGCTAATCCCATGCGATTACCACAACCACTTTCTGGTTGTCTGCGACCAAACCACGCCAGGTGACGCCAAAAGCACCTCGACGACCAATTGAATGTCATGACACATCATCTAGAGAAAGCGAAGGTGATTCTTGAGCGATGTTTTCTGACGGCGATAGCGCTTTGCTGCGAACGCTGGCGACTGACGATTGCTCTCCGCAGTCATACCCTCCACATCCACCCCATTGAACCCGTCCTTCAAGTGGAGGTGTGGCATTACCTGTAGGAGATCCAGAAAATCAGCTTCATTCGCCTGTCTGGTGGTCAATCGATCCGTATCGCGCCTCAGGAATGGACAAGCATACTTTTTGAAGTTGTGAACGCTCACGCATATAAGCCATGGGGACTCCAAGCATTCAGAGACCACGCAAAACCTGTTTGGAAACGAGAACTCGGTGGTGTCTGCTTTCTGCTTGTGGTGGGCTCAACCAAGTGCACGGTGAGCGATCATAATATATTCCGGATCGGCTAAAAATCGACACTGAAAGGGATACACGGCGATATGGCGGTGACGGGGAGACTGCAGTTTGATCATAATTCGCACGCACAGGAAACAATGCAACACGCCATTCCGAGTGTCGTTTATGTCGATGACGTGTGCGGGATATGGATGAGATTCATAAGATTATCGATATACTGACGAGTGACAGTACAAGATACGATGAGCTTCACGAGGTGCTTGTACAACATTGATGACACACCTCGTCACCCCTGCCGACACCTATTAGGTGAGCTGCTTCGCACCAACTCTATTGCATGTTAGAGACGATACAAGTGCTATTATCCCTATCTGATAACCTAGTCTTGAAATAACGTATTTGGTCATAGCGGCAAGGAGTGGTGAGGGATTCGTTGCTGCTCCAACCGACAAACAAGGTACGATCAATAATGAAGATGTCGATTCGTTGGCTGGCTTCAACATGGTAGCATACATGAAGGTTACCATCAAGCAGGAAATTAATTGTCGAGAGGTTGATGGTCGGGGAGTCATGACGGAAGATTGATAGGATGTCCGGGAGAGAGAGAGACAACTCGCTACAGGCACCCACGACAGCAAAGCACATGACACGGGGGAGCCTGAAGGGGCTTAATGTTCGATTGGAATATGAAAAGATTTGACCCATTGTACATAATGTCAAATCTGTCTGGAGATGTCGGAAGAGACAAGCGAACATCGATGAGGGCAGGATCCATTATAACCTTCAATCTTTGACTGTCGTGAAGGTCATTATGGGTCGTGTCGCCATGAGGTAAAAGATTGAAACTCAGATATCCCGATGGCTCTGAGGTTGGAAAGATTTCAAAAGAAATCGACACCTTCAAGTTCGCATCCATAGTACTGCCTACAATCAACAACTGAGCACGGGAACGAATTTTCTGAACAGTCATCCAGTCCCTGTCATCGGAACTAATATAACCGCACTCTGCATATATAAGTTGGCTCAATTTTAGTGACATGAGGCGTAATTATCTGGTCGACTCACTTACTAACTGCATAAACTGTCGCTGTGGATGGCCAAACGCCATTACTAGTCTTTTCTGTGGGAAAGTGTTCTGTTGGCCGGGGTTCTGTTCGGAGCCTTGGCAAGGAAACTTGGGCAGAACTACGTTACACCAGATGCGGTTGACGTAGCGGCGAAGTGCAACGTGGAGTAGTACCTGTCAGGTATCTCTACAAGTTACAAACCAGGTTCTACATGGAGTTTGGGTCTCCACAAGACCTCCCACAGTCTGATTCTATAAACCTCTAACAGGTCATATGGCATAACACAGGTTCGGGTTTTGTGAGCATCAAGTTGTCACTGGTAGAGTAACGGAAGAGATGATCAGAAAAGGCGGTTACTGTGACGCGTGACATATTGTCACGTTCGTGATCCTCGTTCCTCAGTAGACCTCACTGCTTTTGTACCGTTCTCCAGCTGTGGTGCTTCTAGCTTGCTTTCGTTCTACTTCATCGCTTCCTAGAACATACATCCGCTAGGTTCCGCATGAAAATCGTCAAGGATCTCTCTCAGAACTGTTCCAATTAACTTTGGGGGTACTAATCATCGTAGTCAGGTCTGGGATCATTATGTCTGTTGATTCAGAAACGGCTCGTCTGCGCAAAGAGCAGGATGGTTTATCTCATCTCGGAGGTTCTATTTATGCTCCACCGACAACCACTACTCGTCTACCTGATCGTCCCCATTTTCCTACAAGAGCTTCTACCCTTGGTTCCACCCAGGACCTTAACCGTAATAACCTTTCCGTGAAGCATGATCTAGTGCCTCATGCTTATAGTGATGACTTGAATCATGCCAATTCAAGCAGGCCTTACGATTCAAATGGTATCCCCGCTTCTCTCCCGCCTCCATCACCCGCCTTTCGTTCTCGTAGCCGTCCTACCACTCCCAATGGTTCCACTCCATATAATCTTACCTCTTACACCGAAAGGAACGTAGAGTTGAGGCGTCGAGACAGTGTAATCTCGTATTCCTCCGGACACTCTGCGTCCTCCAGCTCTAGTTCCCCAAACAAGGCTGGTCCCATGACATCCACGTCCTCTGCCACATCGACTAACATCTCACAATCGTGAGTCCGCCATTCCCTCTACAAATACTCCCATAGTAGTATGTGGTTTCGATCCCTTATCTGACACTTCTTCCGTGTAGACCTTGCTCCGCATGTGGAAACACAATGCAAGGCGCTTTTGTCCGCGCATTAGGCACCGTATACCACTTGAACTGCTTTAAATGCTTGGTACGAACATCCTGACCTTTCAGATACCCAGTTCCGCTTATTTTTCGTCAGGACTGCGGCGATGTCGTCGCGTCAAAGTTCTTTCCCATTGATGGGCCTGATGGCAAACAACATCCCCTCTGTGAACGGGATTACTTCCGTCGCCTGAATCTTATATGCGCCAAATGTGGGCTTGCTCTCCGAGGCAGCTATATTACGGCATGCAGTTAGTGGTTCTACTCATCACTCCTTTCTTAATAATTAATATCCCTATACAGACAAGAAGTATCACGTGGAACACTTCACTTGCTCCCTATGCCCGACCCTTTTTGGCCCACAGGACTCCTACTACGAGCACGATGGAGACGTTTATTGCCATTTCCACTACTCGACACGTTTTGCGACAAAATGCGCAGGTTGCAGCAGCGCCATCCTGAAGCAATTTGTTGAGATCAATCGTAACATGAGGGACGAGTGCTGGCATCCAGAATGTTACATGATCAATAAGGTTCTCGTTCTAGGAGATCGTGATTTTGTGTCAATTCTCACTCAGCCTTCCAGTTTTGGAACGTCAAAGTAGTTTCACGGAGATCGAGCGTATTGATCAATGATGGGTCGGAATTGGAACCATCCTACGTCGAGGAAGAGAAGCGAGAAACTCCGACCACATTGAAGGACAAGCAAGTCAGGATGGAGCAGCTGGTCTATCGCATCTGGACGTGAGTACTTCCCACGTGGCTTGAAATACAACTGAACGTCTACATTACAGGGTTCTCTCGGCGTTCGAGGAATCAAGCGCTGCGTGTATATCTGATATGCTGCGACAGGTCAGCAACGGGCAATATCTTGATGCCATCAGGATGGCCGAGAAGTTTATTCTACACGTGGAAGTCTTGTTCGGCACCATCGATGACCTTGAATGCCATTCTGCTAGGCTTAACTTGAAAGGTGCGTGTATGCCTCGTGTTTTGTCCCCGGTATCGCTTACATGGTTTGAAGGAATGTCTCATGTCCGAGAAGCCCGCATGCTTTGTCGAAAAACGGTTGATCTGTTCACCCTTCTTTCACGTACCCAGGAAACTGGGTCGCGCAGAATGGGAATGACACAGGAACTGCTTGCACTTGTGACAGGAATAGCCCATTATCTCAAGATCCTCATCCGAATAGCATTAACTGGCGCACTGAAACTGGAGAGGGAACAAAGCGTCCGGGAGGCTATGCCATCATTCCTCGATAAGCTACATTTACTCGCGGTGCAAAGTGGCGACCCAGCGGCTCGCCGGATCATCAAAGGCGGAAGTGGTGAGGTTATGAGAGGAGCAAACATTGGTACACAGGGCGTCACTTACGGCTTCAGGAGTCTAGCGCCAGAAAATGCAGGAGAATCCCCGTTCTCAGCAAACTCGCCATCTCGGTTGACAGTCACCAATCCGCCCTCAGACCGATGCGTCAAGTGTACCCAAGCAGTAGAAGAAGACTGTGTTCGGTTGGGGACTTATCAGCGTTGGCACTCCCAGTGTCTGCAATGCGCCAGGTGTGACAAGGTAGCTGCTATTCCGGTACCGAAAGAGCCGACGCCACCCAAGTCCCCAGAAGATAAAGACAAAGAAAAGGAAAAGGAAAAAAGCGAAAAGGACCCATCGAAGTCATCTTCTGTTCGAAGACCACCGGCAAATGTCGGCATCTTTATGTACGAGCTTGATTCGGTTAAGGACACCCCCTCATATGGTGAAGTTCCTACTGTTACCCTGTGTACGGACCACGTGCATCCAGGGTGTCGAGATGGATTCCAGGCCGTCTCTCGGCTGGAGCAGTATGCGTTTCTGCTCAACATTGCATTGCGTAGGTTGTACCTGGTTTTAAAGCAACAGGGTGTGGTTCCTGTGTCACCAGGTATGTTCCCATCCCTCATACTCGATGTTTTGCATCGTAAGCGTGTATTGTCAGTTGCTTCTACGATGCCAAGCGTCAACCCCAAACCAGGGGACCAAGATCCCTATCGTAACTCGGGCGATATAATGCGCATGAAATCTGTACATCTGGATCGAAAGCTATCTGCTACAGCACGGCTACCTAAACGATCGACGATCGTGGAGAGTCCATCAGGCAAAACTGTCCAGCCCTCGGAGCCACTGCATGCTCAACGATCGCAACAAGATATCAAAACCCCGCAACCTCAGAGGGCGCCTCCACCAGGGACACTGGTTCCAGGGCGTCAGCCTTCCCAGCCTGGCTCCTCAGGAATGCCATCACAACCTCCTTCGCGAGCGCAAACTCGCACCCCCGGTACGCTGGATACAAGTTATCAAGCGCAAGTTGTTCGTTCTACTATCGGGCGTAGTAACACAGAGGTGAAGATTGTGGACGAGTCAGCACCCAACTCTCCAGCAGGCAGCCCAGACGATGTCCCACTAAACACCCCTGATGACGGCATCACGTTAGCTGACATACCTCAGCTGATGGAGGCTGCGCAAGCTCGCGAACAGCAGCGCTCATTACCACGCCAGAGCACGGTACCGCATGTCGCCGAGTTGAGCGCACTCGAACTTACTATCGTCAAACACTCCGCTGTCCTTGCCCTCCAGCGATCTCCGCTTCGGGATCAGCTCGAACTGGATGAGCTGCTAGAACTGGTAGAGACAAAAAAGGGAGGCTTCTGGAAACAGTTGTTCAAAGCCGGAGACAAAAAGAACGTCAAGAAAAAGGGTGAGTTCCTCACGATTCCCAAGTATTGGGTTCACCTGATCGATTATGTATAGGTGTTTTTGGTGTTCTACTTGAGCTCCTAGTTGAGAAAGAAGGGTCAGATTCCTTGTTGGGAGCAAGCCGTGCAACCTTGAGGGTGCCAAGCTTTATCGATGATGTTGTCTCAGCCATGAGGCAGATGGGTATGTTATTTACGGTGATCCTGGCTGTGTTTTGATATCCTGTCTTTTACAGATATGTCGGTGGAGGGCATCTTCCGCAAGAATGGTAATATCAGGCGACTGAAGGATCTCACGGAAGCCATCGACCACGACTTATCGTCAGTAGATCTCACACAAGACAACCCCGTACAATTGGCTGCTCTCTTGAAGAAGTTCCTCCGCGAACTGCCAGAGCCACTCATGACGTTCAAGTTACACCGGTTGCTCATTGCATCGCAGTGTCTGTCTTCACACTTTCAAATGATTCGCAATCTGACATACGGTTTTCAGCCCTTTCTACGGAGGCAGAGCGAAGGCGCTGTCTCCATCTAGTTTCATTACTTCTTCCCAAGAGCCATCGTGACACCATGGAGGTGCTATTTGTGTTCCTTAAATGGGTGGCGTCATTCGCCCACATGGACGAGTCCACTGGCAGCAAGATGGACCTATCGAATCTAGCAACGGTCATATGTCCTAGCATCTTATACTCACGCGGGCGTGACGCCGTTCGAGATGAGAGCTTTGGGGCTATTCGCGTGGTAACCTCGTTACTCGAGAACCAGGATGAGTTTTATTTGGTTCCCGAGGAGTTCCTGCCTATCCTTCATGATCAGGAATATTTCTCAAACAGCACGGAGCTACCAAGCAAGGATTTCATGAAGAAATGTGACACATACATGCGCCTCAGAGCAAACGGGCGTCCGCCATTAGCATCATTGGGTTCGCCGAACCTTGCCAACTCACCCCGCGTTTCGCCACCCGGAGATCGACCACAGGTGACATCAACTCCGAGTGAATCTCAACCACGGAATGGCCGACAGCAGTCGCCACATTCACATCCAGGTATCATTCATTCACCCATGTCATATTCTTCTCCTACGCAACCGACTTCCCTATCACAAGGTGTGGCTATGATTCAGGGCCACCAACAACCTCGCTATCCCCAGCCGATCGAAACGGACTGGCCCACTGCTCAGCGACCCATCACTGGTACCATATCTTCATCTCCTCGACCATCGTCCTACGTGCATCCGCGAAGTAGCGGCGAGCACCTACACTCGTCATCACCGCCCAACGGAATTCCTGCTACTGCAGCGCCCCGACGATGACCCCGTTGGACTCTAGATTCTGTCATCATAATGGCGACTCACTTCCACTCTTTTGCCTTGCTGTGCATTGCGGCTGCTCTAACATTCATTTGCCCCAAGCATCTTTTGGTTTCTCGCATTATCTGTAGTTTACCGTACGGTTTCACTTATCAGTATGACACGGACGAATACTTCGCAGAATACTCATTATACCTGTGCATTCGAATGTACGCAATTTTGAATGAATTTAACCAACCGAAACGTTATCTTGTACCTTTCATCATTAATGGGCCTCAGAGACCAATGATGCTGGACTCTTGCATGCATGTTGTCGTTGCTTCCGACCGTTACAAGTGAGACCGGCATGTGTTTCGTATGGCATATAGGCATACGCATATATTTTGAAGTAGTAAAGCTAATAGAGGGACATGCAAAAGATATAAGAACCCAGTGCCTTACTTCAGAGGAATGAAACGAGACGCTGTGGGAGGAAAGATTGAGTATGAAGTCCGATTTCCGCGAGAGATTCCATGAAAACTTACAGTGCGTGGCACCGATCTGTGCAGAAGACATTAAGAAAACATCCAAGATATAAGAACAAGACACTCACACCAGGGCGACCGTGCTTGACTGGTCGGTACGAGCACGAGAACTCAGCGAGGTAGTGGCCTGTCATCTCAGGCTTGATCTCGACGGAGTTGAATACCTTGTGGTGGTATGTTCAGTCGTGCATCGCGAAGAAGGTTAGGACAATACAAACCTTGCCGTTGTAGATACCAACGACGCTGCCAATCATCTCAGGAACGATAATCATGTTACGGAGGTGGGTCTTGACGACTGCGGGCTTTTCATTCGGGGGAGCTTCCTTTTTAGCTTTGCGCAATTTCTTGATCAATCCCATGGGGCGGCGCTTGAGGCCACGACCGAACCGTCGGCGAGCACGTGCGTGAACGAGCTATTATTTAGACAATATGTTGATCAGGTTAAGGCAACGGTGACTGAAAGCGAGATGCATACTTCAACGAACTGTAGATTCGAGGCTTAGCGCAGGACATGAGAGGTTCCGCGATAAAGACTCACCTCCTCATTGTTCATATCAAGGAGCTTGTCGAGGTCAACTCCGCGGTAGGAGAACGTGCGGAAGGTTCTCTTCTTCTTGAGCTCAGCAGCGACCGAGGGGTCAGTAACCGATGAATCCGCCTGTCATTCGGTCATAAATCAGCGCCCATTTGTCTTGCTACTCCCGAAGGTCAATGCGCACCATGTTGCGTCGTGAATTAGTCTTGCGGTTGTCGTGGATAACAGCGAGCAGCGATTTCGGCAATCCTGAGGCGGAGTCAGAACACAATCAAATATAGAAATTGTGGCTGAATTTGGTCACGTGGTGCTGTATAGTACCAATCCCGAAGTTTGGCAGAAGCTTAGAGGGGAACAACATCATCAACGTCGTCGGATAGAATCTACAGGTCTTCCCTTGAGGATTAAAGGTATGATTCGTGTTTCTACACGGGGCTTGAAGGGAATGTTAAATATATTTTCTTAGTGATTTGTAGCTGCCCGCACCCCCATCCTATACATATCTTTGTGAATAACACTCGTCTAAAGTATGTCTCGAATATCCTCGCATATGGCACGTCTGTGGGACACGCTAACTTCTGTGATTTTAACAGATGCGTCATATCGCTGCTTACCTTCTCCTCCAAATTGGTGGCAATGCCTCTCCGTCGGCTAGCGACGTCAAGAAGGTGTTGAGTGCTGTCGGGATAGAGGCCGATGACGACAGGCTCGACAAACTTATCTCTGAACTCGAGGAAAAGGACATCAATGCTGTAAGATTCTGTTTTCCCGGTTACACTTCACTGCACCCGTTTCTGACATGTTTTTCCGTAGTTGATTGCTGAGGGTTCTGCTAAGCTGTCGTCCGTAAGTTTCGATCGAGTTATATACAAGTCGCAGGAGCTGATTGGTCGCAATACTTAGGTTCCTTCTGGTGGCGCCGTCGCCGCTGCTGCTCCGTCAGCCGGCGGAGCAGCGCCTGCCGCTGCCGTCGAGGAGGAGAAGAAGGAAGAAAAGAAGGAGGAGAAGGTTAGTCCCTTTAAGATTGAGCATATCTTGGAACTAGAATCAAACCTTGACATCGTAGGAGGAATCCGACGACGACATGGGCTTCGGTCTTTTCGACTAATTACGTTACGAAGTGTTGTTCTTGTACGAAAACACGCGAGCAGATGCACCGTAATAATGATGAATTTCCCTTGGAACGTTCGAATAAGAATATATTGCGATCTTGGACAATAATAGGTCGTGCGGTGCAAATGGCCGCCGGAATTGTTGTCGGAATTTTTATCGTAAAATATATTGAAATTTTGTTTGTAGGTAATCACCGGCGGCATGAAAATGAGGCACGGTAAGTACGTAAAAAGCTGTACAGAAAGGAAAGCCGCCGACACTTGCCGTTTTTCTTATCTGTTATGCCATTGGTGGGAGGCTTTAGCTTGTTCTTCGTGACCGATGATTCATGAAATGTAATGTAACTGGGTACCCATTGGGAAGAGCTAACACGTCTTTGATGAATACTATTAGTGTACTTACCGCAGGATCGGTAATAATAGCAAAGCCGCCGGCGCGAAGAAGTGGGAAAAGCCGGTTGCGGCCGGCGGGTTGGCTTAATTTGTATTGACTGATCGGTTATTGCAAGGGCTTCCTCGAATTGCCGTGAGTGCCATTTGGTTTGTGAGTGCGAACTATCTACTAAGTACTAGGGTACGTTCCACGCTTTACAATCTCTTCACACTAACCATTATCTGTCTATAGCTTGCTAGGTGAGTTATCTTTTTAATTATTCTTTTCATTTCATTCTGCTGGGTCATGTATCTCTCCTTAATAAGTTCAACGAAGTTAAACTCATATCCTCTTTGCGTCTTTCTTTAGTACCAGGCGTCGGATCCTCTTCCTCCTTCCTTCATCCTCTCTCTCTTGCATGTCTCCTCCTCGTCTGGCATAATAAGTCCCATATTATTTGCTTTTTAATGGACCACTTCCCTCGCTCTCTTCAGCAGCCAGCGATGCAGGCAATCACTTTTGCTCCCCCAAACCAACCCCCTCCAGATGGCTCCCGTTTCCTCGTCGACAATTCCCAGGATTCTGATAGAATGGACGCTAATATTGCGTTCATGAAGGGTCCGAAGCGTAAACGCCTAGCAAAAGTATGCACCCTTAAACTCGTTCAGGACGCGCACTAACCATCTTACTACGCAGGCATGCGATGCTTGCCACAAAAGCAAACGACGCTGTGACGGAACAGGTACGTTATCTTCCATAACAGCCTCCATGCTATGCTAATTCTGACCTCCCTGTTTTCAGCTCCTTGCAGCAACTGGTACGTCATCCAAAAAAAACGTTCGGATATTTCCAAATCTGTCACTTCATTCATGTTCTTTTTAGTTACTTCGCCTCCAAGAAATGCACGTACACAGACGCTTCGGGTAGACCTGTACCTGCACCTAGGCCGCGCAAAGGGGATAACACAGACGCACCAGCCGATCCGCGTCAGGGCTCGTACGCAACACACCCAGACGGTACTCAGGGTAACCAACCATCCTTCACCGTCCATGCACTGCAGAAAGACGAGACACTTGGGACCCATGTCGACCCTGATGAAGACATTCCATCGCGCAAGCGGTTTAGGCCGGACCTTGGTCAGTCGACGTCTCCTATTGAGACGTCTTTGAGAGGTTTAGCTCCGCCGCCGTTACCAAACACTGAGCGCTCTTTGGAACGTGACCCGTCACTCACAAGAGAACTCGTGCACCGTAAGTTACCCCATATAGCGGTACACTACTGACACTAATTGATACACCGGAGCAGTCTTCTTTGCACACCGGCAACCTCAGCGTATGATCATCCACGAGCCTTCATTCCATCATGCCCTTTCTCATGGTCTCGTCCCTTCTTACCTTCTCCTTGCAATATGTGCTCTTGCCGCACCTCTCTCGCAGCGTCCTTGTTTTAAGGAAGGGGGTTCAAGATTTGCTGGAGAGGTGTTCTTTCAAGAGGCAGCGTCACTTATGTTCGATAAAGACCAAAACTTGATTTGCGAGAGGAACCTCGCAACTGCGCAGGCTCTATGTCTCCTGCAGTTGCATGATCGAATGGCTAAGTCATCTTGGAGAGGGCAATATCATGGTATGGAAATTTGCCATTTCCATGGTTGTCAGCGCTTACGTTGTGTACTTTGCAGTATACGCATTTGAGATTATCGAACAGCTGGGTGTGTATCGGGCTGATAATCCGATCCTGACACCTACTCCTTCGCTGGAGTTCATTGATGCGTCCATCGAGCGAGAATGCGCACGTCGTATTTTCTGGCTCATACATATAACCGATGTTCTGGGTTCTGTTCTCTACCAACGGCCTATGTTGGCAGAGGAATCGCAATTGAAATTGCGTCTCCCTGTGGATGAGACGACCTTCTTGTTCACTGTACATGACGCTATCCCAGGTTAGTCGCCGAGCCATCGTTTCGGCCTTGAGCTCATTTGATTCGTCAAGAATATCTGGACAAACCCAGTCCTTTATCGAGATCCGAGACCGGGCAGCTAACTCGTGTCCTCTCTATACACGAGAGGATAGAAAAGGCCATGGAAGAATTCGAGAGTGAGCGCTAGTCGCTTCGCGGGAGCCCGCATGTGCTCATTCAATTTCATTTTTAGACCGCGAGTCTGGCAAACATCCCGTCAACACATTGTTGGATCTTGACAATAAACTCAACGTAAGGATGAAATTTCAGGGTTCATACAGATCTACCATATTAATCGCTTCCGAAGGCGTGGGACAGATCGCTTCCTGAAAGTCTTCGTTTCACCGACGAGAATTTTGCTACTCAAATGGCGTTGTTTGCCACGAATTCCAACATGGGAGCGTGGTGCTTCTGTGTAATGCACATTATCCACTGCTCGTGTGTTTATGCACTGAATCACGTGGGTTATCTTGATTTGACTTGAAGTGTTTAAACGCTGACAAGACGACGGATATGGCGATACTTTGTGTAGGCTAGGAAGCGTTGTCGTACGGCTATACCCGGAGGTCCAACTTGGGCGCGCGAGCGCCTGTACAAGATTCTCGCTGCTTTGGGTGACAGAGCGAAAAAAAGTATCCTCCGTGAGTGTTATAACGTGATTATGTTTCGTTAGGCGTTTCACTGACGACACCTATAGTGGCACTTGCAATTTGGGTATGGTTTCTGAATTTCCTCAGTCATCTCACGCTGACCGATGTCACAGCCTTTGTTCAAATATTGTAAGGAGAGAACTCAAAGACTTCATGAATGGTCTAGTCAGGTTGAAGAGATGTTTGGTGTCCGTATCCCAGACTTAGCTCCACCGCCACCTGACTACACCAACAACGTACGACCTCCACCGTCCGCGGAAGGTCGCATGCATCCAGTGGCGTCCAACTCCGGCGGATCTCATGACTCTACACCCGTTCCTAGTCACTCACCGGAGGCCGCGGCACCCCAAATAGCCACATCTCCGGTATACCCACCGCCGGTGCGCCCACCTCCTGATGCCCGATTCTTCGGTCAGCCTCCTTTTGGTGATGTTCGAGCCCATGCACATCCGCCTCCTCCACCACAACCTGATTCCAGAGAGAAGAGAAACATCGCGCATGATGCTAATATCGATCCTGCCTTACAAATGCCGCCAAATCCTAGGCATATGAATACGGAGCCAGTTGCTGTCGTATCCCCGGCACTATCGTTACCCTCACTAAAGTCGAGCGGTCTTTTAGATTGGCAACGAGCCAATGAAGGCAATCCATCACCGTCGTCAGCAAGTTGGCAAGCATCCGGACAACATCTCCCAGCCGCTAGCCAGGGCTCACGAGACGAAACTGGATCACCATTTCCTTCAGCCCCACAAGTAGATTACTCTACTCGTCCTTCAGTTGCCACGGCTTCAACTAGCATGCCTGTCGGCTTACCGTGGCTGGCTAGTGAGTCGACAGTCTCCAGGTCAAGCTAACATCAGTGTGCTGCCTAGGTTATTGAATGCTTGATTCCATTCATCGTCGCTCCATGTTATGTATCTTGTTCTGCACCTTGCAATCTTGTCGTTCCTTGATATTTATTCGATAATTCGTACGAACCTTTAATTATCAGATTGAGGGTATTATTGCTCATTGAAGCACCCAATGTAGTATTGTACAAGTCGAGTCCATAGCAATGAAGTTGAATCATTGTGATTCTGTACCACCAGCCCTCTTGAGATTCCGATGCAGCTCGGGCTTGATCAATAGAACGCGGTCCAGTAGTTTCTTCACAACCGCATCTTTGTTTGCTTCATAAGCATCTGTAATGGCCTGCAACTTTATACCGGTTTCCTTGTCTACTGCAGTCTGTGCATTTGAGGTGACTCCTGCGTGCTACTCGCTATGTCAGGTTGTGCGTGAGTGAAGAGAGTGAATGTCACACCGATGCCTCAAATGATTTGAATTCGGCTTCTTTGGCCTGTCTGTATTCATCTATTTCTCTGCTTGCTTCCGAGCGTGCGTCCTTCAATCTTTGAAGGCGGTCTGGTTGAAAACAGTCAGTCACATGAAATCGATTTAGACCGACACCAACATTGACGCGACTGCTGCACAATCTTGGCTGCTTCTTTCTCTGCTTCAAGAAGCGTCTGTATTCCTTGCGAATTTTGAGCTGCCTATAATCATTTGTGAGTCTCTACTGTCACATGCTGGTTCATCGCCCATACCATGATTGTTGTAGAGTAGTGATTTAGAACTCCGACAGGATATAGTTTTCAGAAAGAGCTGCAGACAAGCTTTAACGTTGCAAACACCAAAGCTTGCAAGGATGGCAGGAAATCCGGTTGACCCGCTGCAGACACTTTCTGCAGCGTTAGCAGTACCGGCAGACTCTAAAGAACAAGGAGATATACTTGCTACTTTACGTGAATCCCTTGAAGCGCACCCAAATCCCATACCCATCCTCTGTACAACGCTCATCAAAACTGTGTCAAGTGCCGGTGATTCTCTACTCAAGAGATGGGTGCTTGATCTCCTGCATTTTGCTATCTCTCGCTCTAATCTGTCCAACGAAGTTCGCACACAACGTTAGTTCCATCTTTGAGTACTGCCAGCGTCTAAGTCTTTTAATGTTATTACTTCTTAGTTGCGTCTCAGTCGGTCGATACGCTGGCCGTTTTGCTGCATGATTTAAATGCACGTACTATCAAGGTGTCCATTCAGTGCTTGACGACCGTCTACCCACTCCTTTTCCGTTCTCTGTAAGTCATCTATTGCCGGAGTTAACAGAGTCTGATATCACCTTGTGTGACAGGTGTACAAACCGTACCCTACGCCAACAATGGGATGTACTGTCACAATGCAAAGCGCGCATCCTAGAGTTTATTTGGTCACCAACCGCCAGTACCGGTGTGAAGGTGTCTGCCATTAAGTTCATGCAGCGTGTCATTATTGTCCAAACGCGCGGTATCTCGGACCCTAGGGTACACTTCCACCAGTCTCTCTTTTATACGCACGCTCACTGTGACATATGTTCTATAATCTATAGCTTCAGAACAAGAATGACCCCAACATTTCAAATGTCCCTGTTGATCACCCCTTCCTTCCAGGTCCTACCTTAGAAGCGGAAGGCATGAAACTTCTTGAGAGCGTGATCACTATGTTGTATACTAGCCAGTGAGTATCTTCATCCAATATCTGTAAGTACTCGCGTATCTGACCCCTGTCATAAAGGAACCCTGAGCTTTTGAGCGCGATACTTCACTCCTGGAGCAATTTAGTTAAACAAAGGCCCGCCCTGGTACAACTAGTCGTTTCGTCACTCTCTTCTTGGACTCCTGCCGCTCTGTCCGGACTCCCAGCATCATCTGTCAAAAGCGTCGAAAAGGCTGTTCGTATATTGCTCATCCATATTTCGAGGTGAGTGACGTCATGGCGGTGTCGAGTTAGGTGTACTGAAGTCGAGCATAGAGGACCCCATGGCTCTTCCTTTGGAGCTCAGATCAACGAGGCGCTCTCCCTACAAGTTGCTCGCATGGAAAGAGCCTCCGCAGAGGAAAAGGCACGAAAGGCTGCCGTTGCTGTGCCTGCAACGGAAGCTTCCAAGAAACGACCTTCTTCCACACCAGCAGAGCATCCGTCTGATGCTAAACGTATGAAAATCGATGTTGACATTGCCGGGAACGCGTCTGCTGCATTCTTAGCTAACTTTGACTTCACTACGCTTCCGATATCACTCATAACCGATCTCATTGTCGCCAATTTGCAAGCATTTACAGAGCCAGCCTTACTGGAGTTGGTACAAACCTACAGACAAAGCAGAGGCTTGGCTCCTGGCCCTCCTGTCTCTAGAACTCCGCAACCCGCCCAACCTACACCGGAAGCAACGCCCACCCCTGGGCCTTCTGTGGAACCTACTGTGAAAGATGAGCCAGTAGATCCACTTCAAATGGACATTGACGAAGAAGAAATGGAATATGAACCTGATAGGCTCAACATGGAGGTTAGAACATTTTACCTACCTACAGGTGACGCGCGCTTATTACAATTAATTGTACGCTGTAGCTTTCAGGGGACGAGACTATCGCGGAGGAAGAGACAATTCCGGCGGATTTTCCGGAAGCGCTCACCCTTGACCTCATCGATTCTACACTACTCGGACCAAAAGAATTGACTGACGCTGAACGAAATGCTTTGATGCGTGGATCGGTTGGCCGAATATGGGACGGAGCGGAGGAGTTAAAGGTTGATTCTATCGTATCATCGCAATGGCCTGGTGCTTCTCCTACCGATATGTGGATGCTATTTATTGTTCGGATGGTCACACGGGTGGCGCATCTTGATGGTGACCAGTCGCCAACGCCAGAGGACGGTGGGGACGCCGAGACAAAAGTTGACTTCTATTCACGGCAAGATAATTTACGACAAACGTTATGCGATTATATTATGGCCGATTTCCCTTCACGGTATGTTCTCGATGTTGCATCATTACACAATTATTTACTGACGGCAATGAAGGCTTCGTCTTGTCACGACGTGGATGAATGAAGAATGGTACAACGATCGCATCAGAATGGCAGATGATCCTCATTGGGTGCGTACTGTGTCTTTATTCTTTCTCGTAAGGTTTGGTCAACGACAAGCTTTCCAGCGACCAAACTATGAATCGTGGCTCAATCAAGTGGTTTCCACGTATCAGACCGTTTTGGAAGGCAAGCCTGAGGGTAAGCCCGATGGCAAGGACAAAGCTTTTGCACGGTTTCTACTGGATTTGCCCTCCGTTCCCCCTGATGTCCTCGGTCTGTTACGCGATCTCTCCGTTGACCCTGACAAGTACGTTCGTTCGTGTATTCTTTTGACATAACTCGGTTCGAGCAATCAACAGGATGCATGTTGGGTTCACCAGTCTTCGGGAGTTTGTTTTAGAGCGTCCATCCCTCCGAGTAGAAGCCCTTCAAGTCCTTTTGGAGTTGACCACTCATCCAGGTATGTCAATGTTTTTTTGTTGAACCCCGATGTCAATCTCTTGCAGATCCTGTGACCAGGCGCGCAGCAATTAATACTGTGCGAAGATGGGTTCCTGGCATTGAACCCATGGATAGTATGATACGTGATTTCGCTCTTCAAATATTGCGCCGCTTGCAAAAGCGTCCATCAAAAGAGGAGGCGCCAAAGGTCATTGATGAACAAGCTGGCGCAAGCGACGAAAATATGGAGGATGGTCAACTTCCTGCCGAAGACCTTCTGCAGACGCCGTATCTACCAGAAGAGATAGAGTTACCCGCCCGAAAGGCTCACGTACTGCAACACGTTGAACTCCTATTCGCTTTATCTGTCAAGATCCCGGAGTTCTTGGATGAGTGCGCCGATCCTGACTTATAATCGCAGTTCTTGTCTGATGCCTTTTCAGGATCTTCACGGCGTATGGCCAAATGGAGTTAACAGTTCAAGAAGCCATTCAAGACTTGATCACTGCTCTTATCAAATCTTTAGGTTCAAGCAATGGCAAATTGTTAACCCTCATGCGCACATGCCCGCCGGGGAGTGAATCTCTTGCCTTACGTGTTCTGACGATATTTACAGAACATGGGAGGCCGAGCGCGCAACTCGTAGCGTTGGTGAAGGGCCTCATTAGTGACCGTGATCTCGATGCTCGCTTCCTGATTCCAATCATCGCAGAGATGGACAAGGTATGTCCTCGTGGAAGTCGATCGTCGTCTTGCTAAATGTAGTTATTCGAAGCCGGACATCCTGAAATACCTGCCTCGAATTGTCTCCATCCTGAATGGTCAGCAAGAGCCCAAAAATCTGGTTCGATCTGTATTTAGCTCCGTTGTCACGACGCCTCCACAAACCTTTGGGAGCGTGTCATCAAATTTGCCTCGTGTCAGGCAAAGTGAGCTGCTGACGCCGGCTGAGTTGATGGTTTTACTTCATGAAGCTGAGAAAGAGATTGGTCTCAAGAGTGCGATCGAAGGTGACAGTGACGTTCTCCTCGCCGGCCGCCTACTAACCTAACCTATTGCGGTGCAGCAATTGGTGTCTGCTTCTCAATGACTGATGTTTTTCGCTCCGAAATTCTAGCGGTGGTTATGCAACAGATCGTGGATGAACCTGTGCTCCCCGTTCTTTTCCTTCGTACGGTTAGTTAATCTCGCTATTTATGTTTGCAGTTAATAAACGGCCAAATAGGTCATTCAGGCTGTCACGACGTATAGAACGTTGGTTGGCTTCGTGTCTACCACCTTGCTGTCTCGCCTGATCACCAAAAAAATTTGGCAAAATCCTCACCTGTGGGAAGGGTTTATACGATGTGCCAAGGTTATTGCGCCGGCAAGCTTTGGCGCATTGCTGCAACTGCCAAAGGAGCAGCTTCGCGAACTTGTTGACAAGCAACCGAGTCTAAAGTCTGGCCTGCGAGAGTATGTCACTAAAAGGGCTGGAAACAAGGCACGAGTGGCTGGTTTCTTGGATATATTTGGTGAGGACGATGATGCATCTCCTGTTGCACCAGCGACTCCAGATGTGGTCATGGCCTCGGTTCCTGCATAGAATGTTGAGCGCTTGAATATTCTTTAAGTATTCCACTATTCCATTATTTCAGTATTCCACTATTTCATTGGTGTAATTGTTACGCGTCGGACGTAAAGTGGCTTATCCCCGTGTATATTCGGAAGACGGAATAATTACGACCCATTCTCCCAGAGGTTATCGGTGTAATGCATCGTGTCGAACAATGCGGTGAGGACGGCTAAATCCTCAATCACAACATTATTTCAGCACCCGGTGTCGAGCAATTCTACTGCAGTTTCAGATCTCTTCTGCGATAGTACTAGTGGGGAAAGATTGCCACGTCTACGAGTTCCCTTCTTTGCGCTCAGGCATCCAATCTTGTCCTTGTTAAGCACTACGGCCTGCTCTGGTCCCTACGATGTCACGTTCAGCAGATGCCAGGCGGAGCAGGTCGCATAGCGACGACGAGTCATCCTCTCCGATACCATCACCAGGTTCTGGCACTCAAGATCGTGGTCGATCAAGAACACGGCGACCGTCTAATCAGCTCCCAGAACACCACATGAGAAAACGGTGAGATCCATTTTACCCTCGCCATTACCGGCTTCATTGACTAGGTGCGCCAGAGGGTATCACTCTTTTATGACTTCCTTCGGCAAGATGTTTCACGTGGAGAAGCGCTGGAAGCTGGTACGAGAAATGGGTTCAGGTGCTTATGGCGTCGTCGTGTGAGCAACAGGTTCGGAGCTTTTGTAGTTGACTCAGGTATTGATGTGCCCGAGATAGATCTGCTGTGGACGAGATCTCTGGTGAAACGGTGGCCATTAAACTCGTCACTCGAATATTTGACAAAGTCCAGCTTGCGAAACGGGCACTGAGAGAGATTGCTCTCCTTCGGCATTTCTCAAGTCATGAGAACATTACTGGATTGATTGATGTGGATGCCATTTCCCCCGATTTTCAGGAGGTGTGAGTAGCTTCCATTCAGTACTGGCAGTAAGAGGCTTACCACTAGTCTAGTTACATCTTTATGGAGGTGCGTTAACCCGCCGTCGACGTGTTCAACTACTGCTATAATGGTTTCTATCTAGCCCATGGAAGGTAACGTTCAGATTACAACTTGAACCTTGCGCTGAACCTTTGGCAGCGGATTTGCACCAAATCATAAAGTCCGGCCAGCATTTAAGCAACGAACATGTGCAGTATTTCCTATACCAGATTCTTCGTGGTAATTTATTCTGCTTTATTACACGATCACTATCAATATGTTGACAAACAGGCATGAAATATGTCCACTCGGCCGCCGTCATTCACCGGGATTTGAAGCCAGGCAATTTACTCGTTAATTCCGATTGTGAACTGAAGATATGCGATTTTGGCTTGAGTCGGGGATTTGGCTCTGCCCCAGATGAGCAAGTGGGCCATCTCACGGAGTATGTAGCCACCAGGTGGTACAGGGCGCCAGAAATCATGCTGGCCTTCAGGTGCGACTTTTCTATCACAGCCATAATGTCTCTCTTTACGCAGGCCGCTATTAGAGGATACACGAGAGCCAGTGAGCTCGTCCCATAAATCGATCCTTCTTGTAAATGTGAACTGTGGATACAGTCGATGTTTGGTCGATAGGCTGTATATTTGCAGAACTTATGCTTGGACGGCCCCTGTTCAAGGGTAAAGAGTAAGTTTAGACATGTATCAACTCCGGCGAGCTCACAGTCATGCGTACAGCTATGGTTAGTATATCGCGAACGTCGAACTGGGTTGACGTTTGATCATACTTACATTTATCCTCAACAGTTGATCAATTAAACAAGATTCTTGATGTTCTCGGTGAGTTTTCAACGAACCCTTCGTTCGCGATCTGATCTCTATTTGTAAAGGAACCCCAGAAGAGGATGTAATCAATCGAATTGGGAGCGATAAGGTAGAGATAGGCATCATAGCTTTAGAAGTCCAGTCCTGACATCATGGGAAGGCACAACTTTATATCCGCTCACTTCCAGTCAAGAAGGCCGCACTGCTGTGGAAGTTGCTTCCCACTGCTGATGTGCAGGGTGACTCCAGCTTTTCCATGGCACTAGGTCAACACTGATGACTATGCGATCACTAGCCCTGGATCTCTTGCAGAAAATGCTGTCTTTTGACCCTTCGGCGCGCATCTCAGTTCCTGATGCGCTTGCACATCCCTGGCTGGCATCCTACCATGAAGAAACCGATGAGCCCGATTGTCCTACCGCGTTTGAAAAGTGGAGAGACATCGAGAAGCTCGAGACCCTTGAAGATTTCAGGAAGGCACTTTGGGAAGAAATAGAGGATTACAGGATGGAAGTGCGAGGTATCACACGCGAGCCGACAGCGCCTGGCCCACATGAAAATGCTCGCGGAGAGATTCCTGATTCCCCTGAACAGCCTCTGGAGTCCCGAGAGAGCGTTTCTGAATTGCGGAGGATGGATAGCCCCGAAGTTATAAAGGAGACTGTAGTCTCGGATAGTCTTGTCCCACCAGCTACCTTGGACCACTTCCGCCCGTGCACGCCTGAAGACCCCGTCATTAATTACGCACGGCGCTCCAGCATACTTCAACCACAACGCCAGCCGTCCACATCTACGTATAGCTCACCACCAGCATCAACCACGCAACACCCATTCGTACCCATGTTTGATGGCCTGCCGACCAGTGCTAGTGGTATCGTGTTTCCTAACGAAGGATACATCTTACCTGCTCGTTCCCGTGCGGCCTCGACCACAACAGCAGCAGGGAGTGAAGTAGCAGTGCGGAAATTGTTGCGGACTTTGTCGACTGTATCAATCCACGAGAGTGTAGAAGGTCTGCTGGGGGGGTTGGCCGGTGTGGCACCTATCGGCAAATTCATTGTCGGGCAAGAATCCGAAACAGATGCCCCACCCAGTGAGATGCCGATGGAGTTCAGTGCTCGCACCAGGAAGGAAGGGGGAAGGAGTTAGCTATATAATTTTGTCTTGCATAGAATCATCATAGTCTTCCGGTGTAGAATCTATCGATACACATGAGTCGCAAATTTCAATGAGGTCAAAACAGCTAAAATTACAGGGCACTCTTGCCTCCCAATATCTTTTTGATCTCAAAAAAAATAATTCATCATTAAAATACCCAAGGGATAGACAGCACTCACTCACTGTCAGTGATATCAAGGTATGCATCTGACACAGGGCTGTTGGGGTATTTGTTCAAAAAACTGACACTATATCCTGTGCTCTTCCCAATTCTTGGGTCAAGACTCAAGTGGGACCTTGCCCAGCAGTTGAATCCCAGTTTCTTTTGCTAGTCTTTCCACACCCCCAGTAGTTGGCCTGAATATTTGACTCTCCACCTTGCATCTAGGTCAAACATATTCTCCACAAGGCCCAGCACTCATATTCCCACCTTCTGGCACAGGGCTTACCACCCCTGTGTATAGAAGCTGGAGAACAGCAATGTAAGAAGTGTCTATGACATGGTGGGAGACAACAAGAAGAGGACGGTCTACAACGTAGGTATATATATGTAGTCAGGATTATCTGAACAATGAACAATGACGAAGGGTGAAAAACCAAACTCTAACACACACCCTCGACCGAGACATTGTGAGGAAGACAGTATAAGCACATGAATAAACTACAAAACAGTGAGAAAGTGAACAACACCTAAGCAACTTCTCCAATGGGACTCTATGCATGATTGCCAGTTCGTCTATATGTGATACAATGGTTTCGCTATGGTCCCCTAGCAGTACTTCATCATGTGCATATAGGCAATGAACACCCCCAGAATTGTGAGTACACAAGCTCCAGCAATTACACCCCCTCAAATGAGTCCGCATGCGGTATGGTGGAGAGCAGGTAGGTGTGGTGGTGGTGGTGGTGGTGGTGGTGGTGGTGGTGGTGGTGGTGATGATGATGGATGATGATGATGATGATGATGATGATGATGATGATGATGATGATGATGATGATGATGATGATGATGATGATGATGATGCGTAATGATAGTATGACCGACCAGATGAAGTGTTCTGCCTATGCATCGAGATAGAGACGCCATCACGATTCAGCATGATTGGGCAATGAGCTTGGCGTTGAATTGCAGTGAGACATGGATGATGGTGGACAAGGTGAAGTGGGTGTGAAAGCTCAGGTGTGTGCACACGCACATCAAGATGAGCAAACCTCAATAAAGAGGTTGCAGAAGGGTGCCTGGGTCATCCGAAATATGGTGGGCATCATGTGTTTAGATAATACCATGCTCCAGATCTATATCTGATAATATTCCCATGCCTTCTGTGCCTATTTCCAGACCCCTCATCCTGACTTGTTCCCGGTTCCCTGTCCATTGTACTGTCCAGGATCTACCCCACTATCTAACTACCCCTGACCTCCAGACCTATGTACCCCTGTACTCCGGACCCCTGGACCTCTGCAGCTAGCCTGCTCCATTCATACCCTATCCTGTCCGCTCTGAAGTACATTCTGTCCAATCAGACATCCGGACTTTACCTCGTCCATGATCCTGGACCATATTCACCCTACAACCATATCCATGTTCCATGTCCACCTAGATCTCCGGAACTCTGGATGTTGAACCTATCTCTGGACCAGTTCCTGTCCTATGTCCATATCTGTACTTTCTCTCCAAGACATCCAGACTTCACCTCCTCTTGGATTCCGGACTACATCCACCTCATCATCACACCCCAGTCTTGTTTCCAATCAACTTCCGGATCTCCGGATATCATCTGTACCCATCCCCGAACCCAGAACCTTAAATCAGCATCTATCCCCTTTTGGACATTACCTTCTCCAGTCCACTGGTTATCTTTTCCTCCATTCTGATTATTGATCCTTGTGCATACCTCATCTCCGAGTTCATTTACTTATGTTCCATCTCACTTACTAATGTGTTTCCACATGCTCATACATAGCCTTAGTTCCTCTGCTTACTGCTTACTTCATGTGTCCTCCAGTATATAAACCCCTGTACAACTCCTAGAGTTCCTTGGTTTGAATATCATCTTAGACTTTGCTCTTCCTCAACTTAGACTTGCCCAATCTTCTTCCAGACTTCGGTCCATCTGAGTCCTGCCTTTTCCAACAAGACCTAGGGATGGATTCCCTAGGCTGGAAATCCAGACCTTCAGATTTGTCTCCTATGTCTCTGTTCCAGGTCTAGGGATTGATTCCCTAGACTGGAGTTTCGCCTTTCTGGCACTTACTCTCTTTCCAGACTTCAGTCCAATCCCCATCTATCCGACTCTACCTTAGTGTAGTCTACCTCTGTCTGTTTCTATGTCAGACTGCGTCTAATGTAGCCCCTATCCATACTCTGTACCTCCAGAACTATATCCTGTCCTCTTGTCCTTCATACCTTTGGACCTCCTGTCCTCCTGTCCTCCTAACCTTTGGACCTCCTGTCCTCCTGTCCTCCTAACCTTCAGACCTTCGGACCTCCGGACCTATCCTCCTAACCTTTGGACCTCCAGACCTATCCTCCTGATGTAGTTCTACTCTCCCTATCCTATCCTGCTTTGGACTTGTCCCTTGCAGTCTCCTGTTCCATTCTGTTTCCTCTAGAGGCATTGCCTAGGGATCTCTCTACTTCTGTGCAGTGGAAACTCCTCTGGACTTTCCTGTACTCCTCTGGGACTCTCCTGTGTTCCTCTGGACATTTCCCATGCTCCTCCAGAAGTCCTTCAGACTTTGTTGGACCATCATCTGAAATCAAGGGCACCATACTTGGGTAAGGGGCACAGCATATGAGCTGGGGCTAAGCCCTTCGGATCCATTAACCCTTGAGCATGATCTTAACAGATAAGATGAAAATAAGTGTGAGGGAGTCAAGTCATGAGTGAAGTCTTGAGCTCAAGGTATGTGACAGCTATAAGCGTGTGCCAGGGCTCATAACCTATAGAAGCTGGAGAACAGTGCTGTAAGAAGTGTCTATGACATGGCGGGAGATGACAAGAAGAGGACAGTCTACAATGTAGGTATATATATGTAGTCGGGTCTATCTGGACAATGAATGATGATGATGGGTGAAATACCAAACTCTAACACTGTGGATAGCTGTCACAATCTCTGAACCCCACTGAATGAAATTACCAGATATATATCTATGTTTGAACTTGTTTTGAGAGACACTTCAGCCTGAGAGCAATGCTTTTGGGATAGTCCAGGGACACTCTTGTACACCATGCACACCATATTCTTTCTGGTGTTTATGACTGTTGGAGATACAGTGTGCAAAAATCTTGCAGTTATCAGGCCAAGATCAAGAGATAGATAGTACTATAGGCTCTAGTGTTGCTGTGGTCTGATCCTAAATCATGGTTCCACATTTGGTTGGACTGAACTGGAATGAAGTTTGCAGTCCACTGTCTTGGGGTTGGTTCCAATATAGGTTTGCACCTTCATCAGTAAACCACTAAACCTTACACAGACTTTGGCTTTTCCCACAGATTCTCACAGTGTGACAGACACCACAGAATCCCAGAGCCACAGAGTGAGAAATTCTCACAAATTCTCACAGTGTGCCACAGGCTCACATAATTCCCAGGACTCCAGAGTCACAGAGTCACAGTGGCCCACAGACCCAGAGAACTCACAGAATAAATCACAAAAAATTTCACAAAGTCTTTTCTTTAGTTCAACATCAACACTAAGCCTTAGTATGAACCAAAGCTTATTAAAATTCATTATTAGAACAAAAAGTGCTAAACCTATTGACTAAATCTTGTTAAAATTCACAATTTTTGCATTTTGTATTAAACCTCTAAATTTTTCTAGTCAAAAATATGTCACAATGAGGTTTAGTTTTTCTTGAGATCTCACTGAGGGCAAGTTATAATGAGGTTTGACCATAGATTTTAACTTGGAGGTAATATTGAGGCTTGAGGAAGAATAAAGACACTGGTGTAATGGTAACTATGTGTTGAAGTTGTTGCTGAGCTTTGTGAAGTTACAAGTTCAATCCTGCCATTGGCACATTAAAAATGTCAAAAATGTGAATTTGTTTTGTTATATTTACTAAACAATGCTGTGGCACTGTGAGCTCTGTAGCACTCACAATGAAGCAATTATATGAAAACGCACAAACAATACTTACACAAACTAGATAGCAAATACTGCTAGAGTTTCTCCTGCCTTGATATACTGAAGGACTTATAGATGGGAAGGTGGAAACACTGGTTGGATTTCCTTGCCTAAAATACAAAAGGGCTTAATCCAAGGTGAAAACATATGAACAGATCATCTAACAAAGGAATCTGCAGGTACAGATAATATGGCTTGACTTGATATTCCTAGTCCTCTGAAACTGTATGTCAGATGCACACTCAGGCTAGACAATATTATGTGGGAAAAATTCCAATAGGTGTGGGAATATGCTTACTAATGAAAGGATAAGGGTTCTTAATACAGCTTATTGACTGTGATAAGTCAATAATATGACCAATCAATTCATTTATCTATGAAAAACCTTCAAGAAAATTATGATAAAATGTGATAAAACTGTAGAAAAATTAGAACTACCATTATAGGTTGTAGTAGGTATGTAATTTGATATATTATGCATCCATGAGCATGTACGAAACAAGTTTCATGCATGCCAGTGTGACAAGTGTGAGAGAAGTACACTAAGTGTGTGCACAGTTGTGCAACTCTGTACCTCCAGAACTAGATCCTGTCCTTTGGACCTCCTGTCCTCCATACCTTTGGACCTCTGGACCTATCCTCCTGATGTAGTTCCACTCTTCCTATCCTATCCTGCCTTGGACTTTGTCCCTTGCAGTCCCCTGTCCATTCTGTTTCCTCTAGAGGCATTGCCTAGGGATCTCACTACTTCCTGTGCAGTGGAAACTCCTCCGAACTTTCCTGTACTCCTCTGGAACTCTCCCATGTTCCTCTGGACATTTCCCACACTCCTCCGGAAGTCCTCTAGCACTCTACTAGAGTAGCCAACCTCCAGAAGTCCTTCAGACTTCATTAGACCATCATCAAACTTTATCCAAAATCAAGGGCACCATACTCAGATAAGGGGCACAGCGCACATGCTGAGGCCAAGCCCTTCAGATCCATTAACCCTTGAGCACATTCTTAACAATGACAGGGGAAGGGATATGACCATAGAAATGGCCACTGGGGAGTCATCTAGGGTTTGACCAAGTGAGTTCAACACTTTGGCCTTTTGTCGCATTGCATTTAGCTGTGGTTCTACAGGATATTTGTCCAAAAGTGTTCCACAGAATAATCCACCTATTAGGTAGGCTATACTTTGTTTCCCTTCTCCTTTGTATTGCTCATTCAATTGCATCCAGGCATCAGATGTTAACATCATGTGTAGGACTCTGTTTAAGGATTCATCCTTTAGCATGAGCGTGATCTGCACATGTGCTTCTTCATTCTTCTCTAACCAATCTTGGACTGCATCAGGGTCAGAAGCAGGTGGTTTAGTTTCCCTGACAATTAGACAGTGTACCAACTGAGCGAAGCTAGCCTACTTTCTGGAAAAGCTACATCCAACCAATCTTATATTGAGAGCAAGCATAATTGTGGAGCATGAGAGGGTGAGTTGGGAGAGCCAAGATAGAGCCCTGGTTCTTGTCCCTAGTGCCTTATCCAGGGACAGGGAAGAGCCAGTAGAGACCACCAGCCAGCTAAGTGCTATGCTCTTGTTCCTCTCACTGCCAGCCATCCAAATGTGTCAGACCAAGACCATAAAGGCAACATGGTGTAAGCTTTCAAGCAGTATGATAGGTTTCTTTATGATTTGGAGTGTTAGAATGTCAACTTATGGCACATATATCCACAGGAATGATTACAGATCTCAAGCTCTCGCAAGACTCAGCAGGTTGGAGAACAAAATAACATTGTATTATCAAGGTGAGAAGATATGAAGAGAAGGCAAATGCATGTTTTGAAGATATGCAAGGACCCTGGTCACCACCCAAAAATATGAGAAAAATAAATGAGTCGATGAGCCTGAGAAGGAGACAAGCATGAGATCCAACAGGTACTGCATTTTCATAACCTCCATGTAAGTAGCCAAGATTGTCATCTCTCAACCATTACACCATTAACCATTAGGCCAACTTGAAAAGGCAATGATAATCAAAGCTCATGCTTGATTATCTCAGACAGTATTTATACTGATTATGGGAATTCAAGTAAGCATCCAGCTTACACTCCAGCACATGTCTTATGAGTCTCAAGCACTGGGGGAAAAAAGAGATTATGGACCAGTGGAAATGTTGCACAGACCTTAGAATCTATCAACATTATCACTATATTTTAACTACATAACTGCAAAATGACAATATGGTGCATATTCTCATATCCTCATGCCATTCTCACCATATTCTCATATGCAGCGGCTGGACTTGAATGCGGAATTCAAAGTCAAAGCCCTCTACCCTACTACGTGTCTCTCCTTGTCTTCACACCACAATGTTAACATCGATGTTGTCGATTATGGGTGTTAGCTACAATGTAGTACTCGTTGCCACATAATAGTAGCCATGGTCTTAGGACTTTTATGGCACATCAGACGTAGGCATTGGCCTTCTGATGGTTTCATGGAGTATGATTGAGGCGGGAGGATATCACACTGGTCGAGCTGTGTATGTAGATTTATCAATGACATTCACTTTGCGAGTTAGTGCATGCGCAGCTAGTGCTATATACAGTGGCTCAAAAAAACCGTCCGTATGTTTTGGCATTTTTCACTATCTATAATATTGTGTGAGAACAAACAAATGCCTCAAAAACATGCTTATACCACATTGTAGTATGGCTTCAGGGCTTTCATTTGAGCCCTACACCGTGGGAATCGGTGGAGATATGGTGGAGATACAAGGCTCACAAAATGGTGACTCATGCGGACAGTTTTTTGACTCAAGTATTTTACAGTAATAACCAGGTATTCTAGTATTTTGTATGACCTCCCTTGGCTTTAATTACTGCCTCTATCCTTCTAGGCATACTCTCAATTAATTTCTGGCAATCCTCAGCTGTGATCTTCCCCCATTCCACTGCTACTCTCTCCCAAAGCTCCCATACTCCTTTAGGGGGGTTTTCATAGGCTTGAAGCTTTTTCTTGAGTGTTCCCCAGAGATGTTCAATGACATTGACATCAGGAGACTGTGCTGGCCAGTCAAGAACATTGATGTTATGTTCTTCAAACCATTCCCTAGCTCTTCTGGATGTGTGCTTGGGATCATTATCCTGTTAGAAAATGATATCTTCTTCATCAATCCCTGATTCTGCCAAGCTAGGCAGCAAGTGGTCATTTAAAATGTCCACATACTGCTCAGCATTCATCTTCCCCTCAACCTCAGCAAGCATTCCCACACCATTCCATCCCATACAGCCCCATACCATTAAAGAACCTCCTCCAAACTTGACAGTCCCATTAACCTCTCTGTCTGTTAGGCCATCTCCCTTCTTTTTCCATACATACACCTTCCCATCTGACCCAATCCTATTGATTTTGGTCTCATCTGACCATATAACATGCTTCCAGTCCTCTACAGTCCAGTGTTGATGAGCTAAGGCAAAGGCTAGTCTTCTCTGCCTATGTTTGATGGAGAGAAGAGGCTTTTTCTTCTTTGTTACTGCCTTGAGATGAGCTGCCTTGAGAACATTCCTCACAGTTTGTGAAGAGACAGGGGTAGTGATGGTGGAATTGATATAATGGGTGGCTTGGACAGCATTATCAGCCTTTCCTGTAGTGATATGTTGGATAATAGCCCTTTTGTCAGTAGAGGTAAGCTTGGATGGACGTCCTCCACAAGAGTTTTCCTTGTCTGGGTGGCTTTCTTTGATGAACTTGGCCACAGTGGACTTGCATATTCCAGTTCTAGAGGAAATTTGGCAAGCAGAGAGGCCAGCATAAGACAGAGAGAGGATATTATCTCTTTGAGCAGAGGAGATAGCTTTCATGGTGATTATGACTATGATACATGAGATATTCTGGTTTATATAGTTAGATATAGTCATAAAATAACATAATGACACCACTTTATAATTTATATAATAGTGGCATGATTTTTATGGTGTCATAAATAATGATTTATATAGTTTTAATATACACTCAAAAAACTGTCCACATGAGTCATCATTTTATAAGCCTTATATCTCCACCATATCTCCGCCGCTTCCCACGGTGTAGGGCTCAAATAAAAGCCCTGAAGCCATACTACAATGTGGTATAAGTATGTCCTTGAGGAATTTGTTCATTCTCACACAATATCATAGATAGTGAAAAATGTCAAAACATGCGGACAGTTTTTTGAGCCACTGTATGGTCTAATTAATCCAACTGCAATAAAGCTGCATGTATATGTGCGTGGACCCACTGTGGTCAAACAGAGCTTTGAGATTATAACAAATGAGAATGTCCTCCAGAACATGATCAGAATATGATAAAAATATAGTAAAAATGTGATCATTCTCTTTGCATTTTCATGTCTTTGTAACCTGATTAGAATGTCACAAACATTTGGTGGGAATCTCAAGGTTCGTGCCACATTCTCACTTTGTATAATGTCTTTTTTTCCCCAGTGAAGTGTTACATTGAATTCATCCCTCAGCCATATGTCAAACTTTGGTCATTTCAGTGAATATCCTATACCTTTTGGAGAGGGGCCAAGCCACCCAGAATGGCCCCAGGACCCAGGACAGACAAACTTCGCCATCAATGAAATGCCTCAAGTCACTGCCAATAGTATGTATCATCTATCTTCATTCAGTATGTACCAATAATTCTAAAAGCAATTCTGACAACACTTTATTTCGTCATTACTCTGCTGTTTCATTTAGCGACAAACTCCTCACCAGACCCACTCAATGATGCCCTCCAAGCCTTGGGTGAGGAGCCAAGCCACCTGGAACAACCCCAGGCCCAGGTGAGATGGCACTGGTGGGAGGATAAAAAGATCTGAAAACATGGGAGGGTGTAAGCCTGTTGCTTACCTGAGTTCCCATAATCAACATAAATAATGTCTGCAATAATCAAGCATGAGCTTTATGGAAAGCAGGACAGCCGTGCTCATTTCGTCACGTCACAAATCCCTATGAGGCAGTAAGACTTCAAACACCCTGTGGATGTCAAGTATGGGCAACAAATAGTGGTAACAAATGGGAGATCTGAGCAAACATGCAATAATACGTGCCCCAGCTTACACCAAAAAATCTCTATCGTCGACTCATGCTTGGGTATTGCAGACATGCAATAAGACTAAGAGTTTCTACCAAAAAAATCTATCGTTGATTCGTGCTCTAATTGTCCTTCTCCAAACTGATGAATGGCCCCAATCCAAACCCTGGCCATTTGCAGTAATGATTGCAAGCATGCTTACACTCGAACTCGTTGACCATGGCCTCAATATTTCCATCTCCGAAGACATCACCTCCTTCACTAACGGACCTGGTGAAGAAAACGGGTCATCCAAGTGAATGAATGCTGCGTATGTGAAACACGCTGTCTTAATAACCAAGGGTCTTATATGAAAACGTGTAAGAATGTAATGACACCACAATTACACTGGATAAGACTTCTTGCCAGTCCTTGATTAACACGGTCTATGACTTTTCTTCTTTCGTGGTAGATAATGTGTGAGTTCTTGGGAGGCTCACTAAACCAATCAGTCAGATTAACTTAGCCGGAGCTTTATTATCTCTGATTGAAACTATGGGATTGTCTAGGATATACCGTCTAGACACTTGAACTGGTTTCCTGAATATATGGTGAACTGTTGAGAAGCTGGTCTCAAATGTGACTACGTGGACCAAAGCTCGTGTTGGTCAATATACAAATACCTGGTGAGAATGCTGGTCTCACAAATAACAACAATGACAAATAGAAAACAATGACAAATAACAACAATGACCAAAGCTCGTGTTGGTCAGTATACAAATACCTGGTGAGAACGCTGGTCTCACAAATAACAACGGTGACCAAAGCTCGTGTTGGTCAGTAAACACTACGTGGTGAGAACACTGGTTTCACAAAACTGGGTTTCTATTGCGAGAAACTTATGTAATCTCAAGGGAAACACTTTCCCTGCACTTGTCTGGACAGTTCTTACAAAGGAAATGGGCTTTGTAAGCAACAATTTGTTCAGACTGAAGCTTCTTAGGTGAGAGTTCAATTGGCTCAAGTGAGAGATTCTTGAATGCAACAAGTGGGAGATCTATTTTTTGGGGGAGAATGGGCTCTCCTTATATACATTTTGTGTGGGAATATTATGTAAGTAAAAAGGTGATGTAATGACTTCAGAATGTGAGAAGAATATTCCAAAAACTGGAGCAGAATGTTCTAGCAGGTGCAAAAGAACATTCCAGAATATTCATGGTGGGATAATGACATCATTCTGAGTCACTATGAGTCACTATGAGTCATTATGAGTCATTGGAATGTTCTAGCAAATTCCATGGAACATGACATCATTATGACATCACTATGATATCATATCTCTCAACAAAATACCTGCAGGAGTGTAGGTGAAGTCCTATGACATCATTATGACATCATACCCTGTAGGTACAATTTTATGAAGCATCTGATTAGTCAGAGCATCCTAATAGAAAAGTAAAGTAAAGAAACACTAGAGAAAACAACTCAGAAATAATGGAACAAATAATAGTACACAATATGTGGGCTTTTTAGATAGGTTTTTGTTAGGCTTTGAACTTTTCTCTATGGGTTTCTCTAGCCAAAGTGAATAAGCCAAAGGAAAGGCAATACCTTAACCTTCATTTTGCTTCTCATATCAACTAGGTCATTATGTGATTCCCATCTCACATATGACTTTTCTTCAAAACATGGTGGATTCATGAATCACTGAGGGAAAACTGAAACTATTGGACCAAGGTTTGATACCAAGGTATGGGTTGACTAGTCTGAGGACTAAGCTAACAGACTTTGTCTTTTAGGGGGATACCTAGTAGTCATGTCCATGCATGATTCCCAAATCATGCAGGACAACGCACGGGTGAGTCAAAATTTGAGGGTCTGTTAGCAATGTCAAACTTCCTAAAGTCGTGTGTCAATCTTATTATAAATGAGCATTATGCGATGGTAGTGCGTACCTTGATAATCAGAAATAAACGCTAAGCCTTCAGTCTGGACGTACTGAATATGCTGCATGAACGCGAGGAAAACGGCAAGATCATAACCATATTCGTCTGCATCAAGAGAAGGGACACAATCCATATTATGGATGAACTTGGTAAACTCCTCGTTATCACCAAACTAATGCGCTCTTCGAGAAGGTAAATGGCCGAAACTGTTCCTCCCGTTGTGTCTGCCTGCTTTGCTCCTGGTCTGGAGCCAGCACTAGCGGTTGCTGTGCGCTGGCCATACCCTAAAGCCACACCAGCATCAATGAAACGCACACGAGGTATTTCAAAGGGTGGAGGTGTCGATGAGGTGCTAATATGGTGGTCGATATAATCGTAAGTATAGTCGAGGAGTGATTTTGCCCAGTACATTACATTACTTTCTTTCAGGACATTTTTTAGCTCGTCCGCTGATGAGTAACGCGTGATCTTGATTGATGCAGTGGCAGTGGTGGCGACAGCCTGAATCGGAACCCTGAAAAATGGCCGCTTAACAACCACAGGATGCTGAGTGCGTGATCCAAGGCCACTAGAAACAACAGGTGAGAGAGTGAGCCACCCAGGATGAGCTGTTTTGAAGGCGCCAATCCCTATCATACTGTGAAGGGGAACATCAATTGTGAGTTGGCCAATAGATGAGTCTGAAATGTCGAGTTCAAAGGAACAGTATTGCAGTGTCTTCAGGATCTCAGGAAGTGAGCGAGTGGGAATCGGATAATATTGAACATCTTCATGGTGCCTGTCAAAGACTGACATACATTCAAGTCATTAAGTTTCAATGAATCATTCACCTTTACTAGATACACCTGGATTTGTGCTGCCTCCACACTTCAAAGCCTCTCTTAGATAGTCACAGTTAGGCAGGCGAAGTACATCTGCGCCTTTGCCCATTGACAATGTGACCTTCTTGTGAGGAGGTGACACAGTGCTCGAGCGAGAATCACTCTCTGCTCGAACATGTGTCCGTTTTGCTGAGAGAGAGGGTGCGCAGCGATCCTGTACTGAGTCTGAGTCGTTTTCTGGGAGAGAGGGTGTGCGGCGATCCTGTTCTGAGTCTGAGTCGTTTGCCGAGAGAGAGGGTGTGTGGTGATCCTGTGCTGAGTCCAAGTTGTTGGAACCTTCAAGCTCCACATCACTGGTACCTTCCATATCAGAGTCCTTGACGCTGTTCCAGTCATCCGCACCCCAAAATTCATCACCATTGCCCGCATTGTCAGTGTCCCTCCCGAACTCCAAAGCTGTGGAAGTAGCAGTAGGCGAGTCTTGAGCAATGGGCTGATGATGACGTTGCTGAAAGAAGTTGGTATTAGTCATTGAGACGCTGTTGACTTACTCGATACTCTTACCTCTTCAATTTTGTCTAGCCACTCCTCATACTCAACCCACTGCGCTGCTGGTACAGTCACTGCCAGTGTAAACTGCTTAGATTTAAATGTCAGCACCTTTTGCCCACGCCGAGAGGGCACTAAGCATTGGGAGAAAAAAATAAGGGACATGAGACGGGTGTGTAGAGAGATTGACCCAACCAGCATCCCGGACGGTGAACTCATTGATGCGCCACGGAAATCCATTTCCAAAAACGAGGAGTTTGGGAATGACAGTGTCGAATGCAAGATTGATGAGCCCGGGTGCATCAATCCGCACGTCGATGTCCTTCTTGCCTTCACAAATGGTCTAACGCAAGGAAAGAACGCAAGGAAAGTCAGTTGTCCAGAAAAGCCAGAAGGACAGATAGTACGCACTCCAATGTTTATGCCACGCCCATATTTCTTCCGTGAGTTGCCCTCATAAACAGCCGAAATCTCCAAAGTGATAGTTTCCGCTGGAGCATACGAAAGTTTTAAGTACCGCTCACGCTCCAAATTATATTGTACATGGTAGACAGAATATCCTGCAGCATTGGTGACCTTGTGCTGGCCTAAGTTCTGTGATTGTTGCCAGGATGATGGCACCAGAATATCTGGTCCTGGTGTGCAACTCATGCCGCTGCCTGAGGGTTGAGAGAAGGGAACCACAGGGGGTGGGTTAATTGTAGCTAGTAAAACAAGGTTAGATGTTCCGATACAAGCAATGTCAATAAAACTCACACTTCCTCTGGGTAGCATTCACACTTTGCTGTATGATCTGAGGATCGGGAAGCAAACGACTTGTACTACTGTGGGACTGACTCAGAATGAGTGGTGCACATCGAGCTGAGACAACCAGTATTAATGTTACCAATAGTAAATATGATTATCACACTCACCTGAAGGTCGGACAGACGATGAAATCTTCCACTGGTATCCCACGAAACATGCTTCACACACGAACCGACCCGGCTGGCCAGGAATCATGTTAGCAACGTAATGGCATGAGTCATTCTTGAGTATGCATTTACGGCAAGCCGGTCTATCGCAGTTACGGTCTTCTTGGGCAACAGTGTCTTCTGTGAATTGGGAGACAAGTTCCATGGTAAGGAACTAAGTGGGTTGACTTGGATGGTGCAAACTAAATCATACTTTATACTTCTGCAATTCATGCCTCCAGTTCCAGCCACTGTAATATGTTTGACTTACTGGTATACACTTTCTGCGCACAGGGAAGACATAGGTTGAGTATCCTCCCTGTGCGTCACCTGAGTTTCCACCATTCTTGGCACCACCTGAGTATCTATCCAAATTGAAAGCTCCATTCGTCCTCAATTAATCTTGTTGAGTATGCATCCTGCCTTCCTCGACTGATTCTACAAGTCCGTGATGAGTCCTCGGTGGGTTTCATGGTACTGATTTAGTATTCCAAGGCAGGTTTCTTATCGCCCACTATTTTGTTGCTGTTGAACTTGGAATTGCCGACTTCATTCCCCTTGTGTTCCCCATTCTTGTGTTCATATAGCAGTACCATCCGACTCGGACTTCCCACATCAGTGGCATTAGTCGGGTACTTGAATGATGAATCGGTGTGTGAGTCCTTGTAGTTACTGCATTCAATTGCTGAGATGACTGAGTATCGGAATCACTGCCCAAGTCACCCCCTGAGCATCCTTACTAGATACCAAACAAGTCTATCCAACTCGGAACTGCTTGCCTGAGTCGCTGAGGCATCCAACTCAAGTGGAATTGCCTGCCTAGTAAGTCACCCGAGTATCTATTGGACCGAATTACCCTATCCGAAACTCCATTCATCCATACTAGTGTCCCATAGTATCCGACTGGCGCACTTAAAAGAACCTCAATGCTCTGAAACTGACTGTAGAATCACTTACTCGTCTACACTCTGAACATCCTGGTATGCCTAACCAATGGATGCCGACTTGTACGTGAACTTTTGATCTTCTGTGATGTCAATCTAACTAACTTGTACTAATTGACTGGTAGCGCCTCTTGAGGAGATTACGCCTCACATTCTGCGCCTTTGGAAAGCTCGTCAGACTGACAAAATGATTGTAGAAAACTTGCGGAAGGTGATTGATACATCCCACTATGGAATAGGGTAAGTCGAACACCATTGATTGTTATTGTGTCCTGATTGTTGGTCATACAGTATTACGAAGTTCAAGGAGATACATAATGCCATGGGACTTCAGTGTACTCGGCAGCAGAACCATTCTATTGAAACTATCTGTGATGCCATGGTGGACCTTCGTGAGGCATTTCCAAATGCTGGTGCACAAGAAATGGTGTCCCTGCTCTTTCATGAGAAGGATATGAGCGTGTCGAGGTACTATTTGATTTGTTTCCCACTGACCTGCAGTGAATTTGACCCGCAATTACAGGAACATGGTCATTTCTTACTTTGCCGCATATGAGGCAGGCCATGTGCATCAGCAGAAAGCCCACCGGCTTCAGCGGAGATGCTTCTGGGCTGCTGGTGTGAACGACTTGTTCGCTGTCGATCAGCATGAAAAATGGCTTCGGTTTGGTCTCACGCTACACACAGGGATAGAACCTTTCTCCAGTCGTATTATGTGGATATGAGTGTGGCACTTGAACCGCAACCCCCAGCTTATACTGACTTACCATCTCGACACCGTTGAGAAATTAGGCCGTAAGTTGATTCAAATTGATACCCATGGTACCCTTTCACTCAGCGGTTTATCACAGACGTTCCAATGATCACTCAAAGTGACCCAGGATCTGAGAACTACGGAATTGCTAACACACACACCATGCTGCATCAAATGTATGATTCATCGCTTCAAGGCACATTGCAGCACCGGTGGATGCGCACCAAAAAGAATGTTATGCCCAAGGTTTCCTGGTCTCAATTACACCGTCGTTTTACTCCTGGTTATGAAACACTGTTGGACGAAGGCGTGGAAAGCAGTTGGTATGACAGCGATAATGTTCTTCAGGTCATGGTATTTTGATGGGTGTTTATTCCATGGCTCCAATGTGAATTAGATAGGTACCAAGACCGCGTCAATAATACTGCAAATAGACGCCAAGGTATTTTTTTTGGCAAGGTGTTGCACACCACTCTCACACAACAAATAACTAGATTCTCCCTCATGGCATGCCAAATCTAATATATGACTCCCCTGAAGACTTTGGGGCAATGGATTTCAAGGCGAGTTTCATTCTTCCTAGTACTAGTACATTCTTATATTAATACACACTAGCTAACCGTTGATCAGGACGGTATAGATCATGTACAACGCACATATGTCAAACCCAACCATCCAGTATTCGACTTGGTGCCTCAACCACTTGATCAATTTATTCAACATTGTTATGATGATCTTGGTCGGCCGCCAGTCACCGGCCAAACAGCCTGGCACATCTACTTAAATTTGCTTCACTCTATCCGACTTGCTGAACAGTTGCCGCCGATGGTTGATGGTGATGTTGATGAAGGCCACTTGCCTCTCCTCGAACATCAGAGGGAGTTGTTATGTGCCGATGATGCTTACTACATGGGTGGTGTACATGGAGGACTAGGTCTTGGTACGTCTTTGGTGTGATAATATAAACGAGCGCTATTCTAAATGGTCAGTTGCAAATTAGATGCATCTGACCATCGCCAACTGGATTCACTCGTCGAGCAGGATGAACCGGACCCATCTTTATTGCCTGCTGAACAAGTTGTTGAAGAGGAGGGGTTAGTTGCTTGGTTTTCTGACAAGGAGGAGGAGGATGAAACATATGAGTGGTAAACATTATAGCAGTGCTGGGAAGCACCAGTTCCCGACTCCAGAGTACAAAGCATAATATATTATGGAAGGAGCTTCTTATGGTACACGGAGTCCTCATGTTGCACTTTCCTATTATGGGTGATGTGACGGTGACAAAGTGAGCACGGCTGTCCTGCTTTCCATAGAGCTTTGATTATCACTGCCTTTTGGTGTAACTGTTGAGGGACAACAGTCTTGAATACTTACAGCATGTTCACTGATAAAATTTCTGGGTACTCGAACAAACATCAGTTGGACTTCGAAATTCGTCACGGCAAATCGGCAAATTGAACCATAACCTATCCTCCACCATAAATTGACACCGCCAAGCTCTGGGCATGTACCAAAACCTCTTCCGGCAACTCGGCATTGTTGCAGCCCGTCACGTGATGTTTGACGCTTAGGTAACCTTCAGTTCTGGAGCCAAACTCCAAACCAAACTATGCCGTGCTGCCCTGCAAACCTTCGCCGTCACGCCATTAGACAGTTTGTCGGTGACAAGGCGAGCTTGCATGTTGCCTGACTGTTTATATTGTCTTACCACAATCCCCTCAATCTTGAACTTATTCGCAGGTGGTCTGACTCAGATACGCTCGAGGGACCGACGTTTGTTGCACCTGATTGTGCTACACAAGGTTTATGCGGCCCGGGTGTATACGTTGCGTATCAGGCTCACAGTAGCTCAGTTTCTCACAGCCAAGCCTGTTGGGGCTACCTTGCGAGGTTCGTGGGTTCTGATAGATCGCCCACAGAAGCCGCAGCGTCTTGTGCACGAGCACGCGATGTTGTAATTATATAAACGCATTTGGACTTGGGGGATCTACCCTCTTATTGACTGAGACGTATCTTCTTAGGTTACAAGCTACATCACGTCACAAGTGTGGGTGAAAGAACAGAATTCTCCGTTTAGGTGTACCGTTTCGGGGAACTCCTTTGACACTTGCCTATCTTCGCCACACCCTCGAAACCACGATTGAAACGCGGAAGCTTAATAGAATTGATGCGACAAGTCTGGACAAGTCCTCTCAGTCCCTGAGAGCCCGCTGCAAGGAGCAAAACTCGTGCACGACGTATGTTCCATTTTACCGGCGGTTTCTCATAATACTGATTTTATCTACCACTATATCGTAATGGGATGTGCCATTTTGGCCAGCAAGCTCCTACGTGCCTACACCGCAGAAGCGCGTCATTATCTAGCTTTTGTATTTTCGACGGCTTCCCGCCGTGGGCAAAACTGTTAAAGATGTCGTCATGACATTCTTCTAGAATTCAGCGCTTACCGTTGTGGCACACTCTTGATGGCATTTTTAGGGTGGGCGGCCACGTCATGTTATGGCGGCAAACTCAAGGTAGAACTAAGGGAACAGACAGGCAGACCAGACAGACCAGACAGACGTGCATTCCCGAATCCTCAATCGCATCTGACCTCCTTGGGATTGAGCGGTGACTGTAACGGTTATTCTGCATATCTCCAGGGCGATGCACTGCTTGAGCAAGCTGGGGCGCTTTGACCTATTTTATAAATTTAGAACACTTGTGATTAGTAAATCGTTTACAAGCCTGCTCTTAGACTGACGAGAGGTGACAGTCTCGGAGTATAGATCGGCAGCCTCCACCGATTTCGAAGCGGAAAATTGTGGCGACTTTGTATGTAGGATCCGATTGTGAAGCTTATTTCCCCGCGTAAGGGATGGTTTTTTCGACCACAAACCCTGAGTTTCTACTGCAGAATAACCTTATCGCATCAAGCATAACTTGGCGCTGGTTCATGCGTTTTTGGGTTGCCGGAGTTAGACTTCACCGGTGCGTGAGTAATTACAATATCATGTACCTCATTTTCCCCCCACACTGTATAACTCGCAAGTACCATATGCCCTTGGTCACCGTGCCCCCTCGTGCCCCACGCTCCCGCCGGCTTCATTCATTAGCCTCTGCTCACAACGTGCTCTGAGGTTGTCATGCCCGCTGACTCATAGTTGATCATCTGGGACCCAATACGTGTCCTAATCAATCCAGCTGAGATCAATTTCCGAACTATCGACTTGATTCCGATGTAAGTCCTTTGAGGTCCCTTAATGATAGCGTGGACATTCACAGACATTTGCACAGATCAATGTTGGGTTTCAAAAGTGTTGGAAAACCACAATGTTGCCATGTTCCTGTCGGGTCCGGGTCTCCTGGATTAGCCCGGATGCCCTGATACGGACGATTCTCGCTTAACAGCACTGCGTTCTCTCATATGGGAAGAGAAGCTAGCCGAATGTCATAAGAATATTATTGGCACATGAAGAAAGCGATTAATATCCATTCCTCCTTGCACCTTAACATTTCTATCAGCCTCCACCTTTTTTCTCTCATTCCCTATCCCTCTTTACAATCTGCACTATCAGTTCCGTGGCGCACTTTCATGTCATCGTCAAAACGGAGAGCGTCGCTCGGCATTGACTTCATAATAGTTGGAGCTGGTACGTGAGCAACTTGCGGGTTGTCACTTTGTTCAATTGCCCTCGTTAGGTATTGCTGGCCTGGCTAGCGCGTTTAGATTATGCCAGGCAGGGCATCGTGTCCGTGTTATAGACAAAGCTTCAGGGCCAAATCGGGTGGGTCATGTGTGCGAAAGTGAAGGCAAACGCTAAACTAAATATTGTAGCGCGCTGGTGGTACACATCTCCCACCCAATGCTACCAAAGTTTTGGTGGATTGGGGATTTAAGGACGAGCTACTGAAACACGGACTAAGAACACGTGCTAGCACATTCATTTCAAGTAAGGAACTCGTAGGACGCAGTTGACGTTACACTCCAGCTCATAAACTGAACCTGGCAGTCGACACTGGAAAAGTCATAGGATGCCTCGAATGGAAGGAAGACGTTCTTCAGGAGACAGGAGCGGACTATTTGGTTATACGTGTAAGTTTATACCTGCCCACGAATCCTGAAAGGTGTTTATTCTGCTTCTATCTGGATGCCCATTGCAGTATCGTGACCTCTACGATATGCTGTATCGTGCAGCTGTCAATGCGGGTGCCCGTATTACATACGGTGCAACAGTCACCAAAGTGCACGCGAACCCGCCCCGCGTCGAACTTCAGGATGGTACCGTCCTCAAAGCAGATATGGTCATTGGGGCCGATGGTCCACGTAGTACAGTCCGCGAGGCGGTTGTAGGGTGGCCATGCGAGGAGGTGCCAGAAGGGCACAGTGCTTACGTGTAATCTGCCTTTCTTATTGTCACATGTCGCCACTGACAGGGAAACCTGGAGCAGTGCCATTATACCTCGGGATGTCCTTCAAAATGACCCTGAGCTCAGCGACCTGACGCGATTTCATGAAGATAGACCCGACGTACGTTGCCCGCCCTTTCCTTCCAATGGGAGTTCACATGGTACACATTCCAGTACCCGATATGGACTGGAGACTCTAGACATGTCATAGCCTTCACGGTGGTATGATTTTCCCTTCGTGGGTTTTTTGTGACTCAGCATTTACAGGCAGGAGGGACTGAATTCGCGATCCATGCGTTCTTGCCTGACAGCGAAGTTGACGGCATTGGCGACCAAGATGGTTGGGACGTGATCGTCCCTCGGGAACGGCTCCCTTTTCATTTTGAACCGAAGTGCGCTAGTTTGATCCGGTATCCGCATCATTGAGCTGACATCACCATTGTGTGATAAGATTGCAACGCTTGCTGGATATACCTGCTACGTATCAAAGGGTGCGACTTTTCCAAAGAGAATGTGCCGAAGAATGGACGGACGAATCGGGAAGGCTGCTCCTGATGGGAGAAGCCGCACATCCGTTATATGTAAGTCCATATGAGTTCAGAATTCCAATTGGTGATAATAATTATGCACAGCCTTGCGTTCTACAAAGTTGCAGTATGCAAATAGAGGACGCTGAAGTGCTCGGCACCCTCTTCTCTCGGTTACGAGCCTGGGATCAATTACCTCACTTGACTGAAGCGTTCCAGGAGTTGCGCGAACCTCGTACGCGCGCCATATTTGCAAAGGAGACAAAGGCTTTTGATACAGTATGGGTGGCCCCTGGGCCACAACGTGATGCGCGAGATCAGGCCCTTCATGGCATGCTGGTCGAAGGGCACAAGGGCTGGGACGAGACCAAGATGCGCTGGCAGTGGGATGAGATTTGCGAGGTCTTCGGCTACAATGCGCGGGACGCAGCTGAAGACTGGTGGGTCATGTGGGGTATGTTGAGGGAGAGAAGTATAACAAGGGAAGAACATTGTCCTTCCAGTTATACTGTGCCTTTCTGTATGGGGGCAACCGTCACACATTACGCAGAGCCAGTCGTCTTGCGAAACTGACCTGCGGTCACGGTTTCTAGTTGCCAGTTATAGACATTCTGTGACATGCATATGTAGAAGAAATGGAGGAAGAATTATACCCAATCGCCGCTATGTACTACCGTATGATACGTATACCCCACTCAAGCAAAACATCCTCTGCATGTCATTCAAAGGATTGATCAGCTTCTCAACTTCCGGGATGTCAGCTAGTCCGCTTGTGCGAGAATTTAGTGTTGAACATTTTGCCAACTCACCAACTTCTACTCCCACCGTCGAGTCCGAAGTCCAAATAGGGGGAGTTGGGTGGGTAATTCCGAGCCTTCTGATATATTCAACGTGGACATCAACAATAAGTCGCATGGTGTCAGGAGAGCCGAGCCACAGTAGCTGTTATCATACTCACAGTCTGTAGGTCTGCAGTCGCATGACTTTTGACATGAATGCGCTTACTTATCATGGCTCATAGTGCCATATGCACCGAGGTTCTTTGGCAAACTGGACTCAATCTATAGTAATCTCACTGGTCTTGTACTGAACCTCTGGATCTGACAGGTCTCTGCGGGAGCATGCGGATCTCAAAAGACTGTCAGTGTTATATAGCAGCTGACTGAAATAACCTGATAGTAATGTAGCGGAGAAAAATGCGATAGTGATGAAATGACACTAATGTGGCATCATGCAAGTACGGTCCATGTCTTGCTGTCTATGGAGGACGCGATTGTATCATTGCTCGCGAATAGCAACCTCTGTAAATAACATGAGTGGGTGTTCAACGAACCAAGAGGATAGACTTACTGAAAAACTCATAAGATAGCCAACATAACGCGTTACTGGGCATGTGCGTCAAAATTCGTGGCGACATTCCCCGACCAAACCCTTTTATTCCATCTCTCCTCCATATTATACGAAATGCATCCAACATTCCGCCGACTCTTCGAATCTCCGGATCATGTGATGAGCCTCTGGTCTGCAAGAGGGTTTTCGCAACATCCAAAGGAGTGGTAACACCTGCCGCCACGCCGCCTGCCACACCACCTGCAATCATATGTGTAACGGGCGAGTAGGAGCACGATGGATTTAGGAGCTTTTTCATGTGTTCATAGACTGTGAATTGCACGGCCGTGAATGGGACTGACATCATCAGGGTTGTGGGATACGAGACATAGAACGCGGCGAGACCCTCTTTCCGGTACACGACCTGCAATGCAGTAAACACGGAGCGGAACTCCGACTGGTGCACCTGCATGCGTTGCTTGATGACTATAAAAAGCGTGATGGGTTGGGGAACGCGGCACGAGTAGCTGGGAGCTCACCATCGAATGGGTTCATGAGGGCGTCGCTAGCAATGGTGGCGGATGCACCTGCCAGTGCTGTGAGAATACGATGATGAGTACATGTTGACTACATGGCAGACAGCCAGGAAATTGGAATGCAGACGCGGGGGATAAAACAATATGGAAGGGAGAGAAGGTGATGGTCAACAGGGAATGAACACGAATGGTGCACATACATGTTGCAAGCCACTGATTTCCAGCAGCATTTCCGCCCGCTAATTCCTTGATCGCCTCATACGTCCCAAAGTGAACTGCATGTGCTGGTCCCGCACCCAATATCACTGAGGAGACTCCTCGCCATAGAGCTCGCATGCCTTCTGTAGATGATATCCGAGTGAATGCATTTCCGATCCCTGTGTAAACAGCGGCAGGTGACGTGGCAAATACTTGCATTCGTGTCTAAATGCCTTGTCAGCCTCATGTGGTTGAACAAAGCTTGGATCCTACTTTTATGCTGTCTATTGGGAACATGACTGCATGTTCTGTGATACCAGCCTGAGCGAAAAGTTCAGTATGCGTCCTTGAGACATTCCAGTGCGCGAATCCGTCATAAACGCCAGCGCGTGATACGTGAAGTGGGTACCAAAACTGAACTTACCAGAGCACCGGCGAGCATGTTAACCTGTAGTTCTAGTTGGTGCAAATTTTACTAATAGATCAGCTAAATGGCTTACCCCAAGGCTTGCGTCGGATGGGAGTGCCTCATAGTCGACCCCTTCAGCCATCCAAGTAGTCTATGTAGAAGAAAAGAAGGACGGTGGAAATGGCTGTTTTTTTTCGCCGTACTAAAGGAGTAACGGTGCACGACAAAAACTTCGAAGGATGACCACCTTGCCGTACAGAGACTGAGTGAACCAGTGTCTTTAGTGCGGGGACTGTTGGCAGGACTTGGCAGAAGTCAACCTTGTGAGTCTTGGTCGGAAGTATGATCGTGCAGAAAAAAAACGCGACTCGTCAGCCACCGTGAACAGTAAATTATTTGGGTCTAATTTTATTTACGTGCACTAGGCTAATAACGGACCGCGTGATACCTAGCGTCATCGCGAGCGACGTCGCTCCACTCGGCGTGCTACCCCGAAGCGAATGATAACTTTGTCACAACGATAGTGCAGCACGTGGCCTCTCTTGTCTCCGCACCACACGGTGCTGCCAGGCTCAAACCTGCGGCTGCTTTCTGCTTTTCTTTCTTCTTGTCTCTGAAATTTTTCGTCACCCTAGAAAATCTTGATTTGCTTGATCTCTATTTTCTAGGCTATGTTATAATGTTCGGCTCAGTGGGCTGGGCCTAGATCCTTGCAATGAAGACAAGTCCGGCGAGGAAGCAGGCCATAGTAGAGGGCATCCGAAAACGCTTCCGAGCCGCCCTCTCAAATTTACTCATGCAGAAAGTTTACCGTTACAAACTCGTCCGATTTCTCGCCTATCTGGGCAGGGAACCTGATAAGGGGAGAGAATTATCTACTCACCTTGATGCGCCCTGCATTCTAAACCCTATCTCTCCCATTGCTCTTACCCGCACCTTTGCTCACGTAGATCCCCGCACTTTTACTCACGTGGATCTCCGCACTTTTGCTCATGTGGATGCCTGTACTATTGCTCACGTAGGTACCCGGAACATTGCTCACGTGGATGCCTTCAAGCTCTACCTCTTCTTTCCAATGCCGATTTCCTCACCTCGAAGTGTCGCTCTGCGGCTCTCACAATCTGGGATGAGGTTCACTTCGCTGCGTCGCTCTCATTCCCACTACCATGTGAATCGCAGCTCACCCCGGCACTCTTGCAGGTTGGAGCCGCTATCGGGGTTTCCACCCAAAAACTATTTGCTTCAATAAAGCAAACATTTCCTTTTGTCCTCGCTACCGATACTAAGACCGCTGCACGACAGCATACACAAAATTTGGTGCAGGTCGTGGCAGTCGCGACGCACCTTTCACATGTAATTTCAATTCCTTTCAGGCTCCGTCCTCCTATGGTGGAGTCAGGCTTACTTAGCGGGCGACTCCAGGCTGAATTGGGGTTGGCCTCTTTCCCGTCGCCTTGCTAGGTAAGTTAATTTGCAGTTTATTCCTTGTAGGCCTCCTTTCCTGTCGCCTTGCTAGCTAGTATTTTGATTCATCAATTAATGGCAGTGTTTGCTAATACCAATTCTCGGATTAAAATTTAGTTCTGTTTTCAAGTCCATCTGCATGTCAAAAATCATGGACAGATGTCATGATGACACGGATCGAGAGTCTTTTGCACAAGTGAAATTGATCACGACACGGACGTGGCCCAGAAGTAAATACTTTATAGGAACAGGATGGGCAAATACATCTTGTCTCTAATCTTAGTGCTCATCGACTGTCATGTAGTCTTCTCCTTCTCCTTGTCCTCCTTTGCCAAACGGTCATGCTCCTCGATATCACTGAGGTCGAAAAAATACGCTGAATCATTCATCACCAATGAAGATTAGGAAAGGACACTCACATAGCTTCCCACGGATAATCAAGCCTATATCTCGGTTAGACTCTCATAAGAAGTCAAAGGGCTAAATCTTACCACACATCCTCCACATCAGCACCTACGAAGTATCTGGTGGAAAATATGTGAAAATATGTGAAATTGACATTTGTCGTGGTACTCACGGGATATTTGGTGGCAGCTTTCCAAGTTTTAGCTTGAGCTTGTTGTGCACCACAAAGACCGCAAACTTGGTGCGTTTCGAGTCACGCTCAGACTCTGGAAGCAGCTGAAGTTCTGTTTCAACATCTTTCTGGAGCTCATTCAATGCGTATCTGCAGAGTAGATAGGACGAGCGTGTGTCAGGTACAAGAACTATTTTTGTCGAGTTCTTACTGGAGAGTTTTGCGCGAATCATCGACTTCGTCCTGATCAGATTATCGATTGGATTCATATAATAAAAACCGAGGAGTTAAAGCTTACAACGATCAACACTCGTCTCCCGAGCAACGTTTTACCCGGGTCTGGTCCTCTGTCGAGATTATCCATATTAATATTAGATCGTGTGTATAATCGATAACGCCGTACAGCCACTGGGTGCGAATAACTTCGCCGCCGAGCTGCTCTGCAGTTGTATCAGGAAGAGATTCATAGAGTGAGAGACCGATGGCTTGAATGGGGATATTCCTTTTCGTTGACGGGTCTTTCAGGAATGTGCGCTGTGAGACCACGTATGAGGCGGATTAGAAGGTCGGTCGGGCCGTATCGCTTGTGCGCGACATACCAGTACACGAGCTGGGAAAAAGCCACTGTCGGATGAGAGTTAAGTTCAGATCATAATAATACTGCATAGATGGGACAGAACTGACCCTCCCCCTTTTCGTGGAGAATACGAGCATTAGAAATATAATAAAAGTGACTATGAGTTTAGCGTACCGATCGCGATAAACATGTCTGGCTTGAATTCAGACGCAATCTTGTCCGAGGCTCCTCTGATAATGTTGTGTATGTCATTATAAGTCGACCTGACGTGTTCCGGTTCTCCCATTGTGTAAGAAATCGCGAATTGGGCGTAACTGCAGCTGAGCGCCTGAATGTGGTGCAGATCGTTTGCTAGTACTTGATCAAAGGAGTCCGAAATGCAGATAAACACGTGGCTGTGCAGTACATAACGGGCTAAGCGCTGCTAAGCGTGACTTTTTCACGATATTTATCTGGTTTTATGGCAGACGGTGGATCTACGAGCAACACGGGCGCGTCCTCGACGCCATCAGGCACTCCTGGACCGTCCGTACCAAAAGCCATAGGCAGTTTGGCCAAAAAGCCTTCCGATGTGACCAGACAAGGATCACAGAGGCTCAAGTTCGTGCCCACACTACCATCACGAAGAAAGAAAGAGTGAGTCAACCCTGCCAAGTCTAAATCCACAGTCGCTCATGACGTTAATACCAGGGAAGTTAAACAGGTATGTGTCGTACAGTACATATACGCGAATTATCACCATCCTGAACTTGACGCAGGAAGCCCCTCCACCAACCATCCCTAGTGCATCTACCGATCGAGGGCGCGGACGTGGGCGGGGAAGGGGCAGGGGAGGAGAAGGTCGTGGTGCCGCTCCCCGTCCACCTCCAGTAGAAATGACTGCCAGTGGGCCATTCGCTATGGGACCTGCTCTTGCAGGCACCTCAGCACGGCGCAGCGCTCCTCGCTCCAATTTTACACCCATCGTTCCATTGGGACCTGGAAATGCAGCTGCTCTTGGTGCTGGTCTCTCTGGAGCTGCCGGTCCTTCGTTGAAGAGGGAGACCAACGTCCTCGTCCAGAAGGAGATCAAAAGCGAGGTTGACGACGATTACTACTCTGATCCGGACGAAGGTGTCGAGATTATCGACATGGAGAACGTGAGACAGATGGACTGGATGGCTCCAGAAAGCTTGCGCAAAGAACGTAAAGAAAAGAAGAAGAAAAAGGTCACTCAGGTGAAGATTGAGGATCCATCGTCACCTTTAGGTATAACGAACAAAGGTAGACCTTTCCTAATATTTTGTTGCCACCTGAAACTCAGATAATCTTAGATGAGGCTGTGGACATCGAGGAAGTGGATTTGGCTAATGCCCTTGACCTTAGCGAGAGCGAGGAAGAGGAAGAACTCGAGGACCTCATAGATGATTTCGCGCTCCAGGGTGAAGCGGAACAGGTCATTATCCCAAATCTCCATCTGGTGCTCGCGCTCATTCTCAATATAGGACGCAGACATACGACAAGAGCGTCTCTACTTCTTCCAGTTCCCTGAGCCGTTCCCAACATTTGTTCCCAATATCCCGTCGACCAGTCCGACGACAATGAGTGTTGATGAGCCCCCGTCAGATAGCCGTCCACGTAAAGTGTCTTTCGCAGCAGACGTAAAGCCACCAGGTCCTGACGTAGATCCAGCGGGCGCATCCACAGGACCAGAGGCAGAACAAACGAAAGAACTACCAACAATTGATGGTGTCATCGGGCAGCTCGAAGTGTATCGCAGCGGGGCCGTCAAAATGCGCCTGAGTAATGGCATCCTCATGGATGTTCGTCTAATTATATTTTTGCTCGTATCAGTCGTGCTGACAGTTATATATAGGTAACTGGCGCAACTCAGCCATCGTTTTTGCAGCAAGCTGTCCACTTGGATCTGCAAAACAAACGCTTGCACATCATGGGAGAAGTCAACAAGCGGTTTGTCGTCTCACCAGACATAGATACGCTCCTTCATGCGATGGAGTTGCGTGATCAAGCCGAAATTAACGCCATGCCAATCGATGACACGAATTTAATCAAGATGAACTAGCTTGTAAAAATCAAGTACTGTAGAAAAAAAATGTGCAGAAGACAACGAACAGCGAAAACGTGTGTGCGACAAGAACGTGGAAAGAGAGTGCGACAGCTAACGAAAATACGATGGATGGTTATGTATAGTCTGGAATGTAAGTCGTGACGGACGTCGTGGACTAGGGTTTCATGACTCCTAGGTTTTTAATATATTGTCGCCAAACTTCCTCCTGGTTGTTATTATGATAAGCTTCGTTGACGTAAAAATTCTGGGGTGCCACCTGCTGATATGATGATGGTCGTGGTTGTGGCGGAGGCATACTCGAACTGGGACCTGCAATACTTTGATTGGACTGCGTATTGGGCATCATGATTGCGGCTTGCAGCGCAGGGTCAAAGAACGGTGAAGGCGCGCTGATATCCTCCTGCGAAGTTGAGGCGTGGCACGGTTCGAATTCCCTCGTGGCTGGCAATACGAGATTGGGATTTGCCAGTGCTGCGTAATACATGGATGCATCAGCATCGGACGGTTCTGATGATTGTCGGTCTGAATCAGATGCGCTTGCACTTGAAGCTGGCGAACTGAATCGCCATGACGTGCCGGTAATGCCGCTATTCCGGGGTCCGAGCACGTCTGGATCATCAGAATTTATGGATGACCGACGGGATCGTGATTGTCTGGTATCTCTCTGCGCGACCTGGAGGGAGGTGAAGGCACGCTCACGCAGCTTGTGGAGGACAGGCTAGGAACGCGTCAGAAAGAATGCAATCGTAAGGCTTGAACTGTACTACCACAGTTGCCGGAGGCCGACAAGGAGACGAACCCTCTTCGTAAAGCACAATCCCCTTTTCCAGTTCCTGCAATGCATCCGACGCGAGAGTACATTGTGGACTATCCACCACTATAGCTCCGAGAACGATCTGCTCGCCACATGAGATGCGTTGTCAAAGTGAACTGCATAGACTTACACATGCAGAGAAGATGGCCGACCAGAAAAACCACGTTCGATCCGTCGGTTGTGAATGTACTCGGTACAACCCATTAAGGCTGGAGATTAACCGACAAGCACTGCGATATACAGCTAAGACTGAGGGCGCATATTTGTGCTCAAGGGGGTTGACAGGGGCCTCTCGAATAGCCTGTACGAACCAGCTCCGATGGATGTACATCAGATCTGTCGGTCATTAGTCTATCACTGATCCAAGGCACAATGATGCCGACTTACTTGCTTCCCTTTGACACAGTGCGGCATATTGTTGCATTGCCCTAGGGGCTTCTGGAGACCAAGAACGCCCCGCTTCTGAGGCTTCTATTGGTGATTGTAAATGCGACGGCAGGCTGAATTTCCGTATCTTTCGGTCCAACTCAAGCAATGTGGAATAGCTTGGAACACGTGTGCTGAAGACATGTTGCACAGAAATCCCTAAGCAGCTTGCCGAGTAACGGACCTTCCAGGCATGCCCTAAAACACGTAAAGGGGTGGGCATGGAACGCTTCGCACAGAAAATTGTTAGATGCTTACATCCCATTTCAACCGTACCTGAAGGTTTGATCGTGGGGTCGAGGTCTTCTGGAAACCAGCAGTCTGTATGGTTGATGCTCAATGCAGGTGGGCGACCATTGAGGATGCTCTTTGAAACAGTTCAGCAAACAGAGAGATCGAACATCAAAAAACGCACTGTCCACGCGTCGACCGTGTAGATTTCCCAAAATAAAACGCGTCGTCTTTGTATTTCTTCCTGACCTAGACCCCACCCAGCGTTATCGCGTTCTGTGATTCGTCCATTAGTGCGAGCCACCGTTCTGGTGCGGGGATACACTTACGTAGACCGATCTGTGCCACAGTGTGTAATTGTGAGTTCTTTGGTTCTTCGAAACGGCCGCAGCACTATGCTCACCAATTGTGCAACTCTCGCCACCACGCCCATAAGAAGCCACCTACCTTCGTTATTCGTACGATCAGACTGGTAGATATGTCCGAAGGTCATGAAGAGGGCCTGTACGGTAGCGCAAGTAGCATCTTGGTAGATCGGATCGATAGATAGTGCTGCGCGGGAAAGGGCATGGTACTGTTCGGCAAGCACCCCAGAAGATAGTGATTGTTCGTAAAGGACTCCTGAGGCAAGGACGATGAAAAATACGGAAAGTCGGTGTGAGTGGATGTTGTTGACGTTAGGGGAACCGGTGTGGCCATACAACGGGGTTAGAATATTTGTCATGAAGTCATCTCGTACGATTGCGTCGAACCTGAGGTTACGTGGGTTAATGAACATCGGCTGCAACGTGTACGATGAGCTCACATCCATGCAACATTTCGATAATATAGCTCCATAAGCTGCAGGGCTCGTTCACGAGAAGGAAGAAAGGGCAAGAAGAGAAATTTCGTATATTGACTGTCCCTCAGACCGAAGGGGTATGCATTGCAGAGATCGATGATTTCAAATGGAAGTCCCAAGTATTTGGGGTCAGTTGAGACACTCTGCTGTGGTGGATAACCTTCAGGCTGTTGTGTGATGTTTACATGAACGATGTTGTTTTCTGAAAATGAAGTTCAACGAACCGGAAACAATGGTTGAAAGTACTGCATGGTTCATATAGTCAGGGGCTTAGTACAAAAACGACCAGAATAGGTTGCCTTACCTCTGACCCAACAGATTCGCCGTGGTATTTGGTGCGACCATCGACATCGATTGATAAGGATCCGATGCTTTCTGATACATCGAGAACTTCATCATCGTAAATAGTCCGAAGCTCGGGCAGTTCAGCATGTTCGTGTAAGTGGGAAGGAGTTTGCAGGAGAGGACGTGGCTCGCTTCTACCACGATTGGATTTCTGAGATTCATGAAGTGCTTCTTCAAGCTCTTTGATTCTCCCTGCCATATTTTTTACCTGTTCCGACAGCCGCTGAGCATGAGCCATGAGAACCCTTCCATAAGTTAAAGTTAGATTCCGACTCGGAGTCGGAGCTGGAGGTAAGCAGCCGAGATGGACTCACTTGTTTCCTTTCGTGGCGGCGAGAGTCCCTATAGCGTCGCGGATGAACGAATGAAGATTATAAGAGTGAAGTTCTTACCCTCTGGACAGATATTCGCACATCCACGTCGTATACATGACTGACACGGGAATACCCTGCAGAAGTCAGCTATCGAAGTGTAGATGGACTTGCTTATTGGGCTTACCTGTCGCACTTGAGCTTGGATCTGGACGAATTCAAGGTCAAGTAGGACTAGTGCTCTCAAGTGAGTGGCGGATATGACATACCGGCGACATTCCGCGCATGACAACCCGGACTTTCTGACACCCCCTACTACATTATCCATACTAGGAGTGAGGCTCCTAACGCGTATACTGCTCTCGGCGTCAATATTCATGGCCATAGTGGGACATATGTGGCGTGATTCAAATGTCGTGAAGGTGAACAATATAGGTATGATGCGGTAGGTATTCAAGTTGAGATTTTGGCCGTGATTACCTGGTTTTAGTGATGAAGTCCCCTTTCCTCTTCCTAGCAAGACGCACCAGAGACCTATAGGGTAGCCCGGAGTTTCACTACCTATATTCCGGACGCCATGAGCCAACGTGGTGATCAAGGCAGTAGGAAGAGTTACCGTGACCGCGGTAGTGGAGCCAAGACAAGATCACGTCTCAGTTTACAAAAACGCGGATTTAAAATGGAGGACTCGGATGATCGACTGTCTTATGCTGCTCCGACGATAGACTGCCGGTGTCAACCTACATTAGACCGACGGGCTGGCCATATTGTTGTTATATAGATGCCCAAGTTGTAAACGCCCGTCAAGTTCACCCACATTTAGCTTTATGGACACTAACGTACACCTTAGACTCACTCAACATTCACCACAGCCGCCTTCGAGCAACTTAAACGACTTTTTCAGAATGGAAACTTGTGAAATCACTCAAAGATACCCGTAGTTGGCTAAACTCAAGAGAACTCGAGGCGATTGCAACCCATAATCTTACGTTCACTCTCGATTCCGGCTCGCACCAACATGTAATTCTAAACGGTCTTTACAAGCACTGACCCTGACAATTCAATACCTATCGTGGCCGTCGGCATCCTCGTGGCAAACATTCTCGCCAATCTCTCATGGGCCAGCTGCCAGCATCAGATCGCGTAAACTGAATGTCCATCATGAAGTAAATTTAAACATGTTGCATTAACTAAACGTAGTACATTGGACTGCCTTCCATGCTAAAATGGAGTATCTATAGAAAAAAATTGTCAGCGATCGTCGGTAAGTCAATACAGATATAGGAAAGGAATTGAATCAGTCAAAGCGGGAAGATACTGCCAAAGCAGCTCCCCCGAAGGTAGCTGAGATAAATTTCTGCACCGCAGGGTGCGCTCCTGCTAAAGCCAAATGCCTCAAACATCATGTACAACACTAGTACTGAACCCAACGGTTCAAGTAAAAACATAGATCGATGTGAAAGACTCACAAGTCAGAATCGCAGGTCGTCCGATGGAATGAAGATGGAAAAAAAATGCATGTGGGAATATTTTATACTACCGCCATCTCGCCTACTAACTCCGACAGGCTTCTTCCGGCGCTCACCTCACTACATCATAGATCATGTCGACGCCAGGAGCATTTGCAGACTCGCCAACGGCACAATCCCAGTCTTCTCCTTACGCATACTACCCACCGGGAACTTTCCCTGATGTATCTCAGCCGCAGTCCTCCCAAACCGCTACTACTACGACTGCAGGCTCAAGCTCCTCTACAGCCCCAACAAGTCAGCCACAATCGCGTCAGGCAGCCGAAGAGGCCCGCAAGGATCGCACTCTAGCTGAATTCCTTGTTATGCTTGACGATTATGAACCCTTGGTACGCGTGTAGCTTTCGTAATCCAAGTGGAGTTGAAAGTGCTGTCCAGATTCCCAATGAAGTAACAGACTACTATCTCCAGAGAGTAGGGTTTGAATGCGAAGACGTGCGGCTGTGAGCATCCCAAGACTTTTTCTGGTGTAGACTCCTTACGTTCATTCTATACAGGAAACGCCTGCTTTCCCTCGCTGCACAGAAGTTCGTATCAGATATTGCTGCCGATGCCTACCAGCATGCCCGTATACGTACGAACGCCGTCGGTGGCCGTGCACGAGGCCCCCTCACTGGACCAGGGTCAAAGGTACGTCATTGTCTTTCACTAGCCTACCTCGCGTAAAATGCCTCGCTTCTAGGATAAGACGAGGACCGCGCTGACCATGGATGACTTGAGCGCCGCGTTGGCCGAGTACGGCATTAATGCTAAAAAACCAGAATTTTATCTGTGAGCACGCAGAGGAGTCGCTTAGATTTATCGTTTTCATTATCACTTGTTCCGATGTATTCTAGATAGTAGCAAGCACAGTAAACCAAGAGCAAGCGAAAGGGGGAACACTATGAACTCGCATGGACTGTCTTCCCTTTGTAATCCGCGGATGTCAGGTTGAAAATGACACCGCTTGTGAATGACTTCGTTGCTGTTCTTGCTCTTTAGTGCCGCCACCATTGAACCTGTAATAGGAAACAAGCTGCCTACAGTGCCTTATGGCCGCACTATATTTTCGGAGAGGCGTACGCAGAATGAGTGCGATGCCGATGCAGGTGTGACTGTAATGTTAACTTCTTTGAACTTGACAGCTTCATGAGTTTAGTCAAGATTCTACATGCGCTTCACAGGTAGGAACCGCATCTACAAATGTAGTCGCTCATTGACCAGTTCCCCCGACCGGAGAAGAATTTACCGGGTGGAAATTCTACCTGCTGTGCAAGTCCATCGAAAGGTTGAACGTTGAGGTATAAAGTCTTAGCAAGTACGTCTCAACCTTTAGCTTTAACAATCACTACGACTAACCCCAACCCCTAGCTCGACATCCAATCCAGCTGGGCCCCCTTTGTACCCTAATCGGACACGATTGAAATCCATTTATCCTTTCACCCGAGCGTATTCCTTCCATTCTTCTGGGTCTACCCGTGTTCGACGGGACTGTCGACCTTTGGCTTGCCCTTTGGATCAAAGCTCCTTTCGCATCGGCGATATATTTCTTCACAGACGACAGGAGCTTACAGCAGACCTGCTGGATCTCGCACGGTCACAGTGCGCACCGCTAAAAATATATATAAATGAACTTGGCATGAATCAGCTAGTCAGTTTTCCGTTCTTGTTTTTTTTGAGGAATTCCCACACGATACAATAATTTCACAAATCAGGGGATCATTGACTTGAACTTCGACTACCAGATAGGGATGTGTTACACAAACTTCATCCGTCGGAGACCGTTCCAATTCGAACGCTCGTTTGCAGGCTTTGGGCCAGGAATGTCTCACCCGAATGGAAAGAACGATCGGGAGACCTCCTGTACAGTGGCTACGCACACATATATGAATCTGACTCCCCACTAACATGGGATAGTTCCAAGACTGTCATTTCTGCTTGACTGATGACCATAAATCTTTGGAACTGTGGAAATGACATTGGCGCATTGGTAAATCCCAGATACTTACTTTGCCTGGGTCTTATGTATCCGAGTCTTGTTCGCTGGAGCTTGAGTCACAACTTCGGGAGGGACATGCAGCACTTGCAATCGCATCTGTAATGCTTTCAAACAAGTGCCGAACAAAGGTCGGTCAACTGTATCGTGTATCGGGAGAATGTCGAAAATCTCCTCCCTCGGTTCACCAACCAAGCGACAGAAATTCCAGTAAACGACACGACATTTAAGCATGTATGACACGGTGGCACCAGCTGTGCATTCTCCACGTTGTACTTATAAGTAAGAGGCTGAGGAGAGAAAGAGGGTAGCCAGCCTGAGTCACATTTCACTTGCGCACACGAAAGTATAAACTAGTCCATTGTCTGTCAAGTACACGTCGGTAAAAGGCAAAAGAACTTTGAACAACGAGAAACAGAAAAGACTCAGACTAGAGGTACGTGCAAGACTGCGAGCGGTGGGTTCCAGTGGTGATCTTCAACTTTTTGAGAGACCAATAGGTTGTTGCAGGATTCGGTCGTAGGGGACCTCTGACATCGAATATTGCGGAAATGCTACATAGGCGGTGACTAGAGACAGTGTGTGGGTGGCCAGCGGGAGCCTTCAACCTCGTGAATTGCCCCCGGTCGTAGGGGATAGCGAGGGAAGCCGGTGCGCGTCTTTCGGGATGCGAGTAGCGTTGTGGATTGGCTTGTACCGCTCTAGTTGGGGTGCCGGCGTGGATGTGAGGCCGAGCTTGGCCATGGCATCGGCCCAGCTATCAACAAGAGCCGCTTAGTTGACGAGGATCTCATCGTGGAGTGGCTCGAGACTGAGTCATACTGTGACCGTGTGACGAGTATGAGAAGCGAAAGGCTTTCAGCGGTATAAGGCACAAGTGGGGAAAGTTGAAACCATCAGACGTTCAAGTAACCACTGGCAGATACAAGATTGATTTCAAGAGCGCAATACCAAGTACATATATACGGTACGTTTTATACTGTATTGTATTGAGTGGCTCGTGATAAAAGAATCAAGCTTCAAGCTTCAAGTGTCAGATCTAGACTTCGGTTTCATGTGGCAACTTGAAGTCTTGAAGGGATTCAATCATTCAGACTAGGCTCTCTCTGATTTGGACGTAATCCGATAATCTGGACCACCCGTCACGGTCACACATACATGAGGCCTACCTTGCTGTAAACGCATTGTGCAAAATCACTGCCTTCTGGGCATCGTGTTTAAACCGTTATCAATTTGTGATGCTCTCGAAGTACGGTCCCATTTTTCGTGAACTCCTTGCTCTCGTTCCATGGAATATCCTACTGATGTCCCAGGTCTGTTTTCCTTGGGCGAGACTCAACTTACCGTTGCGGAATGGAGGAAGGTGCTCCTGTACAGCAACTTCCCCCCGCGGTGTGTCCTTGAGCGGCTCACATTTTGCAAAGCTACCAGAGGCAAAGAGCATGAATTTATTGTGCTGTATTTTCGTCATTGGAATGCCTCAGTGCCTGCGACCGCGCGTCTGATTGTAGAACGCGCTCTAAACCCATACCAAATGGACGGTCGTTCCATGATCATGCATTCGTCGAGCTTTTCAGCTTTACAAATTTCCTCCTTGATTTCACCAACCTCTTTACAAACTTCCGCCATTGATTCTGTTTTAATCACCTCAAACACCGTTCACTCACACTGGGAAACGTACCTGGGTGGCAGATATGGCTCGTACAAAACACTTTGCACCCTCGAATTCTCCGCCACATCCTGCCCCTCGGCCACCCAGATATCTGTTCTCTTATTCGTTATAAACCGCCATGCTCCCGACTACCACCTGTGGAAGTTTCAGTGTTATTGGTTTGCCATGACTATCTGGGAGACCATAAAACAGCTCTTCTCAGGATATGTCGAAGCGGCCTGGAAACCTGGGCGCTCTCAGTGCTTCGGGTTTAACGCAGTGGATATGGGAGACAGTGTGAAGGTCGTGTGTCAGGAGTACGTTGATGAGTGGACGCGCTTCGACAACGAAGCCGAGAAAGAGAAGCAACCTGAGCAGGAGAGGCAAACCAAACAGAAGTGCCGAGCCGAGGTTGCCAGAGCACAGCAGGTGAACCCTTGGTGGAACAGGACTATGATGACAATGTTACAGTTATGGGCGGCGGCGTTTGACTCATACTAGCCTGGGTTGTTTCGATGTTTGGCTCATGGTCTGGCTCCGCACCTTGACGCCTTCCACCGTCAGGAGTTTATCGAAGATCTGTGATCCTTTTCTGTACTATCAGTGATTGCCGTTGCGCGGCTCGTAAAATTTTGTACGAATTTGCATCTACTATAGAACATTTCTTGTGTATCAACATGTAGTATATTGTCGTCTATCTTGTCCTGCGGTATCCGAGTCTGCGTGCATGGTACCTTGCAGATGTCAAAGAGCTGCATTGAAACAAATGATAGTTCGAGTGCGAAGTGTCATCCGTGGCCCATGTGTCTTCACAGACAGCAGATCTGAATGTCTGGTTCGTGCGCCGCGCAAAGGTCCCATGGCCATCCTCTAGCATAGACACATCATGCCGCCACCCATGCCCTCTGGGCAGATTATATGGCAGGATGCCGCGGGACCAACATACCGATAGCTGGGCGACTTGAACATACATGTCATGTAGAAAATGCGGTTGGGAGGATGTGCACGTGCAGTTAGGCGCAGTGCACGATTAGGTCCGAGTCAAGATGTACAGACTTCTACCAGGTGTCCGAGGAATGGATGCTGATAATATGTGTGGTAGAATGTCCTTCGTACAGTACTACCAGGATCTGCAGCTAGGACTTAGAGTCGCACGTTTCTAGCGACTTCTCAGGGTATGGCAATCGATTATCAAAGTAGCTTCACGACACTAGGAGACAAAAAGAACTTCTAGCGATGGCCTATTTGAAATTAGTAAGCGATGCGCATGTCATGAGAGATTGCACACCCATGTAAGTCCGTGCGCGTGCGGCACGCGAGCGAGCACAATGCTAACTGAGATGAGCATCGTACTTAAAACCAAGAGAGCGTTACATGGTGAGGGAAGCAGAATAGACTGAGGCTAGAATGTGTGTTTGGGACCGCGAGCGGTGGGCGGTGGCCTCGACTTCTTGGGTGGTGAAGCTCCTGGTCGTAGGGGACAGCGAGGGAGGCGGGTACGCGTCTTCGGCGGGATGCGAGTAGTGTTGTGGATTAGTTTGTACCGTTCTAGTCTGGGGGCGCCAGGGTGGATGTGAGGCCGAGCTCAGCCATCGATGAGAGCCGCTTTGTCGGCGAGGATCTCGTCATGGAGTTGCTGGAAGTGGCCTGTTTGAAATGAGTAAGCGATGCGGACGTCATGAGAAATTGCTCACCAAGGTAAGTTCATGTTCGGGCGGCGCGCAGACGAGCAGAATGCTAAGTAAGATGAGCGTTAAAGTTAAATTTAGTGAAGATGTCATACCTGTTGTTTGCGCCGGTTGGCGATGCGCACGGTGTCCGGAGGCTTTGGCGGAATGGTGATAGACTGTAGATTAGTGTTGAAGGAAAAAGGTACTGTTGGTATGTCGGCGGTTGCAAGAAGAAGTTCTGGAGTTGTGGGGGTGCCGGAATCCTTGAGGTAGTTATCATCGTCGGCCACAAGGGCCGTGTACGAGTCAATGGAGAAGCGCTTGTGCCTCTGGATTCTTGACGGAGCGGGTGTATAGATGTCGCTAGCGAGGGGTGGTGGGTTGTCGTCGAGGGTGAAATCGCCATTCAGTATCTTTTTCGTGGTTCTGTGTGAGGCAAGAACCAGGCAGGCCGTCTTGAGGCAGAAATTTGCGACTGCAGCGCCGATGGAAAGGCGGTCGCCTGCGTTGTAGAATTCCTGACGCGTGGTGTCGAAGACGGTTTGCTTGAAGAAGGTAGCGGCGAGACAGGCCTGAAGGGGAAATGTGGGGTTGTAGGGAGGGGCGAAGGGTCGGGGGTTGGCCGCCTGCGTGGGAAGTAATCCCATTGCGACAAGGTATCCAGTGATGGTGACGCGGGCGGTACAGCTGAAGACAGTAGGCGTACTAAAAATCATCTTGGCAAGTGCTAAGTGGTGATACACGTAAATTGGACACTCAAATTATAATTGAGACGAGCTCTACGTATATAGATTAATTAGTTGATTTAAATCGGCGCTTCGCATGAACGCGTCAGTCACGTGTTTAAAAAATCAACCGTCAAGCTTGACCAAGGACACGTATCGACCAACGTTGTGAAATATGATTCAGATCAAGCTTGGTTGCGAGGAAGTTGACAGAGAATGGGTGCGATTAACGGGTTTTATATAATTACTATGGCTAGGCTATAGGTATTCGTAAGTTGATCACGAATCATCGACCAGATAAACGACAGTCAAAACAATGTCTGCTAGCCTGAAGGAGGGACATTAACACAAACTAGAATGAGTGTAACTGAAGCCTTTGAAGGATATTATCCACGTCAGGTAAACTCGTCTCCTTCCGAGCAACCTCGAGGAAAACCTCCGATTCTTCCCCGCCGGTGTTGTCTCTTTTCGAAACATGCCAGTGCTGTGGTTGTTGGCCTCGAGAGAAAACTTCGGTGATGTGTAATTCCCTATTGCAAGGCCGTCAAGATTATACTGGAATAGAAAAGGCGTAATACGTACTGTTCCAATAGCTGCTTTCCGTTGTATAGGTGATCCGACTTCGCAACGAAGTCAGGACTGGCTGTCGTAAAGTGGTCAAAACTAATAAGATAGTTATCTTTGGGCTGCAAAATCTTCGTGGCCGAAGGTAAGATCTCGGAAACCCTGCGCGTACCCTTGTGAGTTTTGCTCTTCTCCTCTAAGTACTTGTACGTACCGCGTCGCTTCTGCAGCAATCAGGTTCTCAACGTCATGTAGCATTTGAGATGCAGCTTCAGATATAACACGTGTGTCGTAGTCTTCTACATTATCAGCATCCGCTATGATAGCCACGGCCAAGCTTTGACACTAGCAAGGTAATGTGAACGCAAGGGAGAATGAGTACGAGACTGTGCTTACTCTTAGATGTATAACTTGCCTTCGGCGAGTTTCCAACGGGTCATCGCTTTCAGGTAGAAACACGAAAGTACAAGCGAAGTCCAATTGACGATAACGATCAGGTCTCTCAGAGGATGCAGATGAGCCATCTGCGGGAAGCAGTGATGGGACTCGGGAAGGTCGTGGAGTGTCTCCGCTGTGGTCCACCTCCGAACGCCTTTCATGTGCAGCATCAGGATCTGTGACAGATAATCCACCATTTGCCTTCTCCAGCAGGCCATGTATATCAGCAGAGGACATCGCATCCTCCAAAGCGCCCCTGTCAACTTCTGTCACAGTGCTTGCACTTTCGGCCACGGAGGGATTGGGTTTGGTTTCTTCTCGTTCTGTCACAGGCGATTTTCGTTCAGCGCCCTTCCCAAACGTCAACGCCCCGGGCCAACTCCAGTTCCGAACACCCATACTCATAGCGAGACTAGAAGGCATGCCCAGGAACCCACCGGAGGAATTACCGCCAGGACCGACTTCTTTAGCTGCCGTGTTTGTAGTCGCTCCCTTTTCAGTGGGTGAAGAGGCTTCCGGGCGATCATCCGCTTCGTGGCGTGGTAAATGACGTGGGATTAGAGAGAGAAGGTGTCGCGAGAGTGCGGGTGGATGATTAGATTGTCTGTATCTTGTGGACGGAACCACGTGAGGAGGAGAAAGAAATAACGCATCCAGTCCAGCTGGTAACTGCGACGAAAAGGTATCCAGTAGCGGTAGAATAGAGGGGTATAACGGATGAAGCGACAAGCCTAAGTCAAATTGGCAAGTCAGCGATAGATATGCGATGCCCAGACACAACGCACCAAGGTCGTCGTTCAACTCAAAACTCTTGCTTAAATCCCATGACCACGCCCATACAGTGAAGAATCTTTCTAGCTGCAACTCTAATGCTTCTTGCCCGAGGGAATTCAAGATCGAGGTGAAGGACCCATGCGTAAGTTTGAATTGCTCGTATCCCCGTAGCAAGTGAGCGCGAAGTGCGTAATCGTGAAGCGAGCCGTCGTGACAGTCGTAAGAGGGTTGCGCGCTTGCTTGCTCCTTCTCTTTTCCCTTTCCCTTTCCGTTACCCTTGACCTTATCCTTGGGTTTAGGCAAAGGTATCCGCGGAGTCTTTGCAAGCTCTACTGCCTGGCAAAAACTAGCATGAGAGCGCATCAACAGATCGAGAGTCGGCGTACTGCGTGAATCCAGAAGTCAGGCTCGGGATTGAGCATTATCATCCTTCTCGACTGGGAATGTACATTGTGGCAAGAGTCGGTCGGATGGAATATTCTACTGAGTGATGAGTATCTTGCACAAGGGGGAAAACCTGGGACTGCTACTCAGAGAAATTTACGAGCGCCTTGGCAAGTCCAACCTGCCTTAGCATCTTGTCGCGCGAAGTGGCGCGTTCCTGTGAAGTGTAAAAAAGGATCTGTGCTTGCTCTTCTGCATCCTCATCGTCTTTGGACACCTCTTCACTAGGACGTAAAGTCGGGTTATATATCGTCAGATAGAGCAACGCTGGATGAAGCCTGCTCATGTAGCGAGCCTTGGTTATGGTGGAACGGGGAAGGTTGCTTATTGTGAAAGTCAAGCGGGTATCACCCACGCCCTACGCCTCTATGGTGTGAAAGAAAACGTTCTAAGTAGTAACTAATTAAGATACGGGATTATGCAGGTAAATTACAGCTCATAGTTCTATAATCGTGGTATTCCGTCAAATGTCCATGCTATCATCAGCACTCTTCTGCAAATTCATGTCGGAAAATGGGTTAATGTCGGGATCAGAAACTGCTGGTGAGGGTAGACCATTCTGACTACTACCAACCCAAGAGTCAATATTTGCGTGCGCGCAGAATAGCGAACTGCGCGGGGGGTCGTCATCATAGTCAGGTTCCACCTCGACTGAGGACGTCGGAGAGGCCCTCACTGACGGGTCAGGGAAATCAAACTGATGGGACGCGAGTTCGAGAGGACAAAGAGTAAGACCATCCTCAGCAATCAGATCATCACTCTGCGTCTCCAACGTTGTCGGATCACCATCATCAAGGGGAGGTGGCGATGACGTAGGAGTCGACCTTGTGTTGGATTGTGGCGTGAGGTATCCAGCATTACTAGGCTGTTGTGTCGAGGGAAAGGGAAAGGGAGTTGCGCCGCTTTCACTGGGTGGTGTCGGCAGCTGCACCTCCGGTTCTGCAGCAGTTTCTTCCTCCATTTCGGCGGCAGCTTTACGACTGGCTTCCTCTATCTTCTCATTAGTCTTGCCCCCCAACGGAGCGTTGCTTCTACGCTTATAGAACAACAAATAGGCGTTGGAATTCTTTGAAGATGATTAATTGGCGCTAAAAAAGAACAGAAATTAAACTTACCACTGCATGACTGGCATCAGACTGCGTAACATACGAATCATCGAAGTGATACCACTGCTCTGTCACATGGTTGAGGGCATACGCGCGATAGTGCCCACCACCAAGTCCCCCCATGTGCTCATCGACGGCGTAGAGATCATAAATGAGAGGCTCCTCGACATCTCTAATGCCAAGCTCGTTGATGTTGACTCCACTTTGCGCGAGCCTAGTCCCCACTTGTCGTTCACCAACGAGAGCAGTAAGGTCGAAACCCTCAACAGGGAAGTCGACGAAAATGTCGATCTTATCGCGAAGGGTACGGCTGTTACTGAAACGCTTGAGGTGCACAGCAAGAATGTCCGGGACCTTCCAAAGGTCGAACTTCTTCGTAGCTTGCTGGTGTTTCTTGCAACGCGGGCAGTACCACAAGTCATCTTCACCCAACTGCTCCTGCTTCGTGAACTCCGCCAAACAATCATCAAGTGTTATCCCCTTCGCCTTCTGTACTGTAGCCGCCTCCTTCGCCGCCAAGTACTCAGGATGCAAGAAAGGCAGCCACTCATCCCACCGCGAGTTCTCGAACTGAGAGGTGCCAAAGTAGTACGACTTCATGTTTTCATCGAACTCGCAGAGGAAAGCGTCACCCTCCTTCAGTAATGGAGCTCCCGGTTCGACGTCTTCAATGCGGGTTTCCCACTGCTCGGATCGGCCGTTGCTGGAACCATAGCCACCTGCGGTGTAATCCTTGTAGCCAGTGTAAAGGCGCAAATTGAAGACGCCTTGTTTTGTGCCAACGATATATGCGTCAGGATCCATCCCAGAATCATCATCGGCGAAAACTTTCTGATCTGCGATGTCGCCTTCGATGACCATCCCGTCAACTTCACTAACGTCCCCATTCTCTTTGATCTCTGCGACAGAGTCGATGGGTGAGACTGTTGAGATGGGGATCGTGACAGCATCACTGGGAGAAGGATCGGCTTGCCAGGTATACAAGTCCCTTTCGTGGACCGTCCATCGTCGTAGGCGTTCGATGACAGCATCATACATGGCATCGACAGATTCTGCTTGATCTCTTTCGACCACCACGATAAATGGACAGCCAAAGTTATTTGTACCACGAGAATAATTGGAGTAGGAGGGACGAGCAGGGACCACATCCGTCAAAATCACGGGAAGGATGAAAGGATCATTATCCTTTGGCTTGTATGAGCGACTCTGGCGCGAATTACAGGGCAGTTCGAAACAGAAAATCTGATCATTTTCGGCCATATCGCCGCACATGATGCTGTCATCGAGATTCTTGTAGAAACGGTGATTAAACACTTCGAGGGTTAGCAACTGGAGTTCAAGTGATCAGCAGAGAACCTCAATAGTGTGCGAGTTTGTACTGACTTTTTTAGGCCTAACTCCCATCCATCGACCAAGCAGATTCTTCAGATCTTTGAACGAACTGTTGCGACCTATCCCGACGGGGACCTTTTGGTATGTTGTATTTAGCGAAACGAATGAAGGAAAGAACCGAAATCTTACCCTCCTATGAGGAAGGGACGGATCCCACGGAACATAATGGATAACGTGCCACCATTTTTTGTTCACGGGCAGAGGAAGTGTGAGATACATGAATGGATCGAATGTGATAGAAACCTGTAAAAACGATACTCAGCGGAGAGTGGTAAAGGTTCGCGCAATACGTACCTTCTCGCACTCAGGGCACACCAGAGTGCTCTTGTATTGGCCTTGAAAGAGGTCGACGATAACGCTATCGTTGCGCTTCATATATCCGTCCCAAGACGTCTGAGCTAATTTGGCGAGTTCGAGATCACCGCCTCCTTCCCAATCTGGTTTCTCGACGTAAGGTTTTTTCAGGACGCGATTGAGGTCCTCGTGTAGTCCATCCAGTAGGAACGCAACCAGCTCTTGTGAGTCGTGCTGCTGGTATCCGCTGAATTGAGGGGCAAATCTTTGCAGCTGCGACTTGAATTCGCGCGGCGAGTACGAAGTGCTCGTTGAATCTCGTGCCCAGATACGATGCAGGAGAAGCCCAAATGCCTCTGCGATGGCACCGTGCATGCCAAGCGGGTTATCGGGATTGAGTTCCTCTTGGTAGACGCCAGCTATGATAAGATGTTAGCGTTACTGACCACCATCCGAGGGAAATACTCACAAAGAAAATAATCAGTCAATTCTTTTGTATGCGCGAGGCATTGGAGCGCCGAGTTCATGAAGCAAGTATTTCCCCTACGCTCGTGTCAGTGGATCAATTGCTATTTGGCAACGAGGCGTACATGTTTCCCAGACCGAGGGTGCCAGGTTCTTGGATAATCTTACTGCTGCCCTTTGAAAATCCGAATGATTTGAAGGGAACGACTGCTGACTCCTTCGCCTTGGATGAAGAGCCTCGCCGCGACGGCGACGGCGTGCGAAAAGGTTGAGTGTTTTGAAATGCTGGTGTTCGTTGGGTACTCAGACGGCTGAAGAAATCGTTGTCATTGCTAAAGAGGGGTGGCGGTACGTGTACTGCTGAAGGTGGAGGTGCTCGCACAACCTGAGAAGCGTCAACAATCCAAACGCCATCCTCTTGAAATTCGACCACGAAAGGATCTTCCGGTTCTATCATGTTGTCCTCGACTGTCTTGTCTGTCCCTTCACTCACTAGCTCTGCTCCCCATGATGCGAGTTTCGATGCGGGAAAGTGAGAACCGAGGAATTCGCCGGGTTCAATCTTCCAGATTCTGTAAGGAACGTTGCTGCGAGCGGTGACAGCAGAGACGAGCGCCTTAAAAAGGGTCTTCATTGGATCTTTGATAGAGACAGTAACGTAGGAATACGGAGGTCCTGCGATATCAGCATCGGGACCCAAATCTTTGAGTACCAAGACCTTGAGACGTGGAGGACGAAGTTCCAAGGCGGTTTGCAGAAAGGCTTTGGCTATAACGGATCGCGGGAGCGGATTGATCGGTTGACCATACCTGAAGGGATATGAAGCAGTGAATGAAGTCGAGAAGTAACACGTACCAAGCCACAAGCTCAGACCAAGCTTCTTCGGGTAAGAACTCGACGTCAATTTGTTCGACTAGATTTGAGGTAAGATTTCCCTGGGAGTCAAATAGAGAGGAGTTGTCTGGTGGACCGATATCCTTCTCCTGCAATGACTCGAGTGACTTGTCTGACAATATTCCGCAAGCGATCTCCCAATGTCTGAACCATTGACGAGATATGATATACCAAGTGTCGCCCGCGACCATAGGCTTGTCACGTAGGTATTTGATACGTGCCACTTTCTGCTCGATGGTGAGAGAACCTGGTTGAGTTTGGACATCTTCACCCTGCTCTGCCATGTAAGCGTCAATTTCAATCTCGTGGACTCTTGGAGAATCAATGGAAGATATAGGATCTGTCATGATAGGGACGGGTGTAGCTGATGAGGGGCCTTCTGAAGCAGAGCGCTTTATAGAAGATGAAGAATCTGATTGCATAGATTGGGACCGCTGTCTCTTTCGACTTGCGGAAATCAATTCTGTTGGTTTTAAGGAAGGTGATGCTGCAGGTGATGGCAAACTCATGACATTTAAATGAGAAACCTCCTCGACAAACAAGAACGCGTATGTAACTAAATTTTCCCACGGGGGATACGAATCGACATGAGCCCTTCCGAATCAACGTGTTAGTTGGGCCGCCTCGAGTCATAATCTCGATCATGCAATGATTTGCTTCTAGTGATCTTCGATGGGTTCGGTAGGTAAAATTCCTCTAGCTGATATGTCATAGCATGGTGGAGCTTATTACATGCGACTCTGACTCGACGGTGTTTGTAGGTAAGTAGCAAGCCCACACAGATCCCAAAATGGATCAGTATGCATACGGTAAAAAAATTCGACGCGCGCATAATAGTAGCTGCGGGTCACAGACTTATATGTCTGTGTACACCAGGACGCCGATCTCCGTTTCCAAATACTCATACGCATGGCCAGCTCGTGCGAAGCACGCCGGATATGTACAAAAGCAGTTGCCCCTCTCTTTGATATTCACATTTTGGTTTTCGCTTCAGGGAAACATGCGTGCCTGTATTATATAATATGCGCGCATGTTACGCTGAAAAACTTTTGAGTTTGCTACCCAAGCAGTGTATGTAAATAATATGCATGCAGCTGTATGTCACTCGATACGGGCATCTCTACTATGACCAGACTTTGAAATCATCGGGCTCATCCGACAATCTCGACGTAAATCACGTCATAGATCGGCACCTCGCTGATCACTCCAAGTGGACCAACCAACGATTTGCGACCTACTGTAACCTACATATGGTGTGACCGAGGGACTTGTTCCTGTTCTCTTGCCCTGCACGGTCTGACATTCAGTATCCGGTCAGAAGTAAGTCTGCTCTCTTCTTTCGGAAGTGCCAAGAGTCGGTTTAATATGGACGACTTAAGCTTGGGCCAAAATGCCACCTTCAAAAGGGCGTTCCCAGGCCGTACCATCAAACGTTTCAAATTTGGGAAAGAGGTTTTCCTCGAACAGACACTCGTTTACGAGTCAAAAGGGATCATATTAGTTCTCCTTGCTACTGTCTCTCTGTTGTACTCGCAAGAGGTAAAAGTACAACCACTCCAACCTCCGTCAGCGTCAGTCTTCCCACCAGATGCCACAGTGTCCTCCAATGTATTTTGTGTCAAATGCTACTTGGCACGCTGGGTCCCAGATGGCACACGGTCTCCAACTACACGACATCAGCCAATGTCGGAACCTCCGTACATTGTCTTGACAGGGTGACTATGCAAGGAATGTCTAGTCGAAGAGAATTGATGTCATGTATGAGGATCCTTGGACAGATGCCTGCGCTGCGCTCCTTGACCATGCGTAACTCAGCACTGTCGATAATCGTCGATGTGATTCAGCCAGAGATCGGAAAAACTTTCAGATGCGAGAAATATCAGAACTTCATTTTTGGAGGGTTAGAAACTAGTAGGGCATCACTTGAGCTCCAAGAGCATTAGATTGGAAGGAGAGCTACGTTGAGAAGGGCAAGTTATGAGACGGTTGGATTCTCGTAGCGGATCACTGAACACAACTGTGCCACACAGACAAGTTGTGGACAAATTAAGCATTCTACATATCAACGATTGCCTACGGAGTGACAAGGATTAGCATATAACTGACACACCAGGAGATGGAAACCAGCTTTCAAGTATCAACAAAATTTCCGACGTACCTCTGGGCATAATCTAAACGCCTTGAGGTGCTCATTCACCTTGTCCCAATGACGCCCATAATGGAAAGGAAGCCGCATACCCACAGTTATCTCCTTCACCTTCGGGAAAGCTAGAGAGACGATGAGAGCAAAAACTCTAGGATTTTGAACAGTTGTGTCCGCGAGTACGAGATTATAGAGATCGTTTTCGCCAACCTTCGATGCAGGATACTCATCTATTCCCTTCAACACGTTGGCGTTGATCGCTAGGTGAGCGCTCCTCAGAAGAGGGCACTTGTTCACTAGTAAGATGAGGCCGTGTAGAGTGATGTTGGATGGGGCCGCCTGTGCATAGCTGTCATTGAGGTTGATGACTTCAAGGCAAGGCCAAGATGCACCCATAGCAGTGAGCTCCTCGTCTGATAAACGAAAGGAGTTGGCCATCAACAGATGGAGCTCTCGTAGCTTGGAGAAGCAAAGCAGAGGCCTGATGGTATCTATATCAATAGATGCTGGGCGAGGTTCATGGGACTTGTATGACTGCACTCGAAGACTTTGAATAGATTCTTGTCTTTGTTGATTTGACAAGGCATTGAATAACTCCAGCAATCCTTCAGGTGACGACCCTTGCTTCATCGTAATACGCAGATGAGAAGGCGAGGGTTGGACCACCTGAATAAATGCAGTGATAACACTTAGACGAAAGGAATCGATCCCAAAGCTCTTGATCCGGGAAAAAGGTGGTATTCGAGGGAGAGTAGGATGCGGAAACTCTGAAAAGTCGTACGAATGGCCATTCGGGATACTGATGTCTAGTTTGGTTAACGATGGGTGCCATGCAACGAAAGTGATCGCCGCTTGGCTGAGTTGGTCGCAATGAAGCGTTTGAAGATGAGGGAGGCTCATAACCACATTTGACACGATGGCCTTGATGGATTCGTGCGACCCGTACCCGAAAAGACGGAAAGATGATAAATGAGGGCATAAAATGGGAAGAGGTGAGATGAACGAAAAATCAGGGATGTGAAAATAAGAAACCTGGATAGCAAGATCGGTCAGGGATGGCACAAAGAAAACGTCGAGGAGGGGATAGTCTTCGGGTGCCCAGTGACTGTAACATTGAAGACGCCGCAAGTTTGGGAGGGGCGGTTGAGCAACGGGCGGCTGTCGAAGAGCTTTCAAGAGGTAGCGACAAAAGGTTAACTCTGGATTGAATGTCAAAGACAGAACTCGCGGAACATATTTCTGTAGAACCTCCCAATCTCTAGCGGTCAAGGTGATTGTACGATTCTAGTACCCCATCGTTAGCACTCAATAAACAACTCTGACGTGATAAACCTACTATGTAGTGGATAGCGCCAGTGCCTGAATCCGACAAGCACTGTATCAAGCAAGGCGGAAAGTATAGATCTCTCCACAACACATCCAAGGCGGGTTCGTGGAATACTCGGCATGTCCTCGCAAGAGTCATCTGCCCGAGATTTCCTCCGAGTCCCGGTTCATCATGATAACTCAAAGAGGAGCCATTTAGGTGACGGAAGATCACGTAGATGATATCGTTCAACTGCAGAGCGGGATGCATCGTAAACCTGAATGATCACTTAAAAACTCAACGGAAAAGATTAAGAAAGGATGCGAATATCGATAGAAGCTGTTTACATTTGCACTGGGCTAGAATTATCAATATTCAAATAATCTTCTCGGATTCAATGGGTATGACTGCCGTACCCACGGGTATTTTAACTACTACGTCACGGTCAGGTGCGTTCCGGCATATCGCGTCTATATGATCATGAGCTTCAAGTTATTACATGTAAACTCCTTCCTTCCCACCCCACAGTCATCATGGTCGTACAAAGTAAGGCCTTATCAATGTCATGCCATTGTAACTGCTCAGCTAACTTTGAACGCAGGCAAGCATTTCCTGAACACAGCACCCTCTCTCGTGCTCGATTCCTTAGAAGGACTGTGTGCAATCAATACACATCTAGCTCTTGATCCGATCCATAGGGGTAACGTTGCAGACCGATGATTAGGATCTTTTACTAAAAAACTCGGATATGTAGTCGTGTACCTTGCTGATCAGGATCGCTCCAAAGTTGCCCTCCTCTGTGGAGGTGGCTCTGGTCATGAACCATCCCACTCAGGTTTCGTAGGTAAATAAGCCCTCGCATCACATTCTAGAACACGTTGACCTGGATGCAGGCCAGGGAGCTTTGACCGGTGAGCAGAATCACTATTCTTTATGTGGCCATGACTTAGTAACCGACATTCACGAAGCTGCTGTGTGTGGTAATGTCTTTGCCTCTCCAAGCGCTGGTCAAGTTCGTCGTGCAATAGATTTGATTGACAACGAAAAAGGGTGATTTCATTGTTACGGCTGCAATCTTATCTGCTGACAGTGACTGCGTTTAGCACCATCATCGTAGTCAAGTACGACTCACCGCGATGACTCTTGTGGTATGAGATTGCTCACGAATCTTATATGTAGGAATTACACTGGCGATGTCCTCAATTTTGGTCTAGCCAAAGAAGAATATGCGGCCCGTGACCCCGAAAAAGCTGACCGTGTCAAGTTTGTCATCGTAGGAGATGACGTTGCTGTAGGAAGAACCCAAGGCAATATTGTTGGAAGACGGTATGGACATTTCTCAAAATTCCATTATATCACCTGAACATTCTACAGTGGTCTCGCTGGTGTTTGTCTCGTGTATAAAATTGCAGGTGCTCTCGCACAAACAGGCGCCACTGTAGATGAGGTCTACGATGTCGCCCAGTACGTTTCCTCCAGGCTCGGTACTATAGGTGTTGGTCTGGACCACTGTCATGTACGAGTCACTGATCGAGTATTGAGGACATCGTTGTATTCACAATACTCTGTCACTTCATGCAGGTCCCCGGCACCGCTGTTCCCGATACACATTTAGGTGCGAATGAGCTCGAAATTGGTCTCGGAATTCACAACGAAAATGGCCACCGCCGCATCTCTCCTGTTCCACCTCTCAATGAGCTCATCCCCACTCTCCTCGGAATGATCACTTCCACAACAGACAGAGAACGATCTTTTGTTCCCTTCAAGAACGACGGCACAGACCGTGTTGTTCTCCTCGTCAATAACCTCGGCGGTCTCAGTGAACTCGAGCTCGGTGGAATAGTTGCTGAAGTGAGGCGTGCTCTAGACAAAACTGGAATTAAAATAATGCGCCTGCTTTCTGGTTCTTTCATGGTTTGTTGAACCCCTTTATGTTTGCAGAATTGATGATAACTCCTGCTAGACAAGTCTCAACATGCCCGGATTTTCAATTACTATGCTCCTTCTCCCCGCCGCAAATGACACAGGAATTCCGTCCGCTGATCTCATCCTTTCCTTACTCGATGACAGTACCAATACCCCAGGATGGAAGTGGTCCTCTAAGTCTGTCCCAAAGCCACCATCTGTCTCTTCATCCCTCCCGACTGCAACCCGCGCGAAAGCCTGGTCAGCCTCACTCAAAGCCCCCGATATCAATCAATTCAACAGCGCCGTAGAGCGTGCATGCCGAGCCCTCATTACTGCCGAGCCCGAGATTACTCGCATGGACAGCATAGCTGGTGATGGGGACTGCGGACTTACGCTCAAAGGTGGTGCTACAGGTACTTCACGTTGTAATCATGATATGCGTGTGTATACTCAATATTTATACAGCTGTGCTTGAGGCTCTGAGTAGAAACAGCATTTCCGGCAACGATGTACTTGGCAGCGTCATTACAATCTCTCGTATTGCTGGGGACGCGATGGGAGGAACTAGCGGAGCCCTCTATTCGTCAGTGAAGTTCCTTATGGTCTGATTCATATCTCATAATCCTTATGTGTCAGAATATTTTTCTCTGCACTCGCCCAAGCGCTCGCTAAAAGCTCCTCCTCGACCGCCACACAAGAAGTATGGTGCACGGGGCTAGAAGCTGCTCTAGGTCGTTTGTATACTTACACCCGGGCACGACCTCCTTCTCGTACACTGGTCGACCCTCTCGCTGCGTTCATCGGTGCACTGTCGTCCGGCCTTGCGGCAGCCGTGGAGGCCGCTAGAGAGGCCGCTGAAGGGACGAAAGACATGGAGGCGAAGGCTGGCAGGAGCGCATATGTCGATAGCATAAAGCTGAAGGCTGAGCGGGTCGCTGATCCTGGGGCATGGGGCGTGAAAGTTGTGGTGGAGGCGCTAGCTCAGTAATAGTATTTTAGGCATCTCACAGGATTGATTTTCTAAACATGTTACTGACGCGGTCACCATGGAGGTTGTTTATCGAGAGTGCCGTAGCGAGAAACTAAACGAATTCGAAACGCGAGGAAAGAAACGGTGACACTTTGTGGCCCGATTCGGTATTCGATGTGCTGAGCCGCTCTGTGTCATCCTCTTTATGTTGGATAACAATCATAGTTATCTCCCATGCCCAAATTGCCCTAGCAGCAACAACACGACCGGCCGCCTCCATGTTCTCCGGGGTCTACTTGAACTGCCACTGGTTGCTGTTGCTGTTGTAAATTGGGGTCCGGTGTAGGAGGTCCATGATAATCTTCATCGCGTATGAAGGAGTGATCACTCCCAGGAGCACCCGCTGCAGCATAACGCTGTAAATTTACGCATCAGACACCCAAGACACGGTTAAAAATCGACTAGTCATACCTGCAGACCCTGAGCAAAAGGGACATTGGCGACGGGTGGCGTTGCATGATGGGGCGGCCGGGTAAATAGGTGTCGTAGGTGGGTTCTCAAGGTGGTAGCGGCGGCAACTGGTGGTAGAGGTACAGGTGCTGATGGGGGAGCTGAACGAGGGGTTCTCATCATAGCGAGCCTGAGTCTTTTGAGACGCCCATGGCGCTGTTCAGGTCGTGGTCGGGAAATTTGAGAATGCTGTAATGAACAATGTAAGAAAGAACCTCAGAAGATACGCTGTTGCACGCACTTGACGCATTCCGTGGAAGAAATTGGGTTCTGTATCATAGCCATCTTGCTCTTGCCCTGGGATCTCCGCCTGCATAACGGTCAGTAGTGAAAGAGTTGAGGAAGGAGGTGCATACACCAAGAATACGGTCATGCTGCTCAGCGAGCACACTGCATTGTCCCTTAGATTCTGAGTGAAATGCGGGTGAGTATGGTAGCCTCGGGTGACGTCACTGAAAACTTGCCGTTAGACCAATCAAGGCAGCTGGCCTTTGCAGATTCGTCCATGGCGTCCATCATGTATTTGTGTGCTTCGAGGGCTTCATCAGGTTTACCTGCCGAAAGGAATGCCTGGCAACGTTTCTGGTGAGCAGTGAGACACAAAGACTCAAGATCCCAGCCAAAGAGCTGGACAAAGCAGTCAGTTATGAAAAGCACTATGTATACATCGTTTTGACGCACCACAATCAAGTCTTCGTATAGTTCATGAATGTATTTCGATGAGAACGCGCCCGAGTCGACAGCGACAGTGAAATTGTCAGCAGCTTCGTCGTGACGCGCGCCATCCAAGGCTTTGATTCCCAGCCGAACGCGTAGATGTGTCTGATGTGCGAATTGCAAAGATCAGCATCGATAACCAAGGCGAAGCTGCATGACACTTACTTCCACCACACCACGCGCGAGAGGATCGGTATTCGGACAAGCGGCAGCCAGCTCTTTGATGAGTAACATTGCCTCCTCGTGATCAAGATAAGAAACTGGTTGGTTTCTGAATCTTGGTTTGTGAACATGGATGCGACGTCGAATGCTATCCTGGCATCTCGGATGTGGCCTGTTCCGCAGAGGGCGATGCCTTTTGAGATGTAGCCTGTCAACGAGGGCTGAATGCTGATGGACTATGTTACGAATGAAAGTAAGCCTTTAGTGGGGGCCATGATAGTTCGGTATAGCTCACCTTGATTGCATCATCAAGTGCGAGGTCCCATGCGTGTTTTCGTGCGATAACGAATGAACGATGGGAATATGAAGTATAGTCATTGGCGTTGGTGTGGATGTCTTGGGTGAGTAGCTCTTCAGCGGTATCCAGGTCCCCAGCGATGCATGCATTGCGAGCTGTCGTGATATCCAGGATCTGCGTGAAGGATGGTCTCTTCGGTATTTCCCACGCTGAGGTCTTGTCATCTTGGCCTCCACTGAAGATGTGCTTGCCGTCCGCGGAGAAAGTGACAGATTTCTGCGGGGATGAGTGCTTAAAGATGGCGATGGTTCGTTGATCTGAGAGCCGCCAGAGACGGACATGGTTGTCATAAGATGCAGAAGCGACGAGAGTGCCAGAGGGATTAATGGCAATGTCGAAGATCTGGTTAGTGTGGCCTTTCCAGGGATGACCGACCTGCTCCCAGGTCAATGGATCCCACTCTTGTATGGTAAAATCGGAATAATTGCCTCCTGAAAGAAGGCGCGTGCCATCGGGCGTCCACGCGAGTGAAAAGGTATAATTCCCAAAAGATGCGATGCGTTCCTTGGTGCCTGGATTATAAATTTGGATATTGGAGGATGTTGCCACGGCAAGAAGATCACCAGAAGGCGAATAGCGAACGCAGAAGACAAAATAATCACACTTGATTAGTTCTCCTTGCATCTGCCACGTTTTGGTACACCAAAACTTTGTCGTTTCGTCCCGTGAACCAGTAGCCAGCATCGCACCATCCGGGGAAAAATCCACCGAGTGGATCCAATTGGAGTGGGCTTTGATGGGTTGGGTGAGAGATTCAGCAGTTTCACCGTGCCAGGGAATGATTTCTCCATATTGATCACCGCTTGCTATTATTTGACCATCTCGTGATACCGCCAATGCCCACACCTGACTGCGATGCCCCTCCATCTTCTTCAACACAACACCTGTCTCCAAGTCCCAAAGACGAAGTGTCTTGTCTGTCCGAGCCCGTAACCTATTCGTCGCTTATCGGGGAAAACTGCGACTGCCTTGACGGTATCCTCATGACCTTGAAAAGTTCGAATGAGTGTGGTGCTTGCGATGAGCTGTGGCATTTTACTGGGAGGTTGATCGTGTTGAGCACGATTGAGGGACTATGGGTGTCTTTCTTTAAGCTGCAGAGGTGCGTGTATTGTGCGTTTTTATGCTGCTTCACCACGCTAACTTCATTTCCATAGACGCCCAAGACACGAGGTAGTTCGCTCCCGTTGTAGCAACCAACCAACCAGTTATAACCGCCTTCCTCGACTGCACTGCGTACATGCGTCCGGTTCATGTCTCCACAGCTTCCAGAGTACATCCCCTCCCATCCAATGACGATAGTACAGATGTTACTTACCCGCACATCCATGGTGATACTTGCATCATGGTAAAGCGTTATAAGAGACGCCAAAATCGACGTTAGCTTTCGAAGCTGTATATACACGAAATCGATTGCCCTCTTACGAGCACCGGGAGGTCCGCTTTCCTGTCCAACCTGATTGCCTTCATCAGAGGACACATCAGTGATAGGCAGGGCTTCCACGATATACGACGGAGGCTTTTCAACCCACATATCATCATGTCCATCCCCCTCTCCATCCTTCCGTTTCTTCTTCCGAGGCCTCTCGCTATCCCAATCTCGGTGTTTTTGGCGCACGGCAGTGAGCGACAATGACTCTCCGCCATCCTCGTCCATATCAAAGAAAGCAAGCGGTCCACCCTTAGAACTCTTCTGTTTCTTGTTTTTCTTTTTCTCCTTCTCCGCGTCTTTCGGTTTGGATCCCCTGAGTATGAAGGTAGGCTTGAACGTAGCCAGGTCTACATCTTCCACGATACCATTCGCTGGCAGTGCCTTGACATCCTGGCCTCGTTTAGACGGCAGGGGGCTCGTCCACCTTATCGACATTGTTCATATAATCCTTCTCCTCGTCGCTCTCCTCATCATCACTTGTAAAAATTGCTTTAAAAATATCCATCCCAGGACGCTCATACGTGAGCACATCATCCCCCGCCCATCATCTTCCCCCATGCCGATATTCGCAACGTCGCGCTTGCTACTTCCGGAACCCTCACTCTCCACTTGCGTCGCTCCCGCCCTTGCACCAGCGAATTCGTCTGCTATCGCTGTGCCCGTGAACTCAGGTCCCGCAGTCTGCGCTGACAGCACAGAGGTATCGACAAGGACCTCCAGAACCGCGTCCGTGACGCCAAAGCACTCACACAGCAGCGCAGGCTGCCACGTACACACCCCGCGCGTCATAACACCATACATGCCCAATCGATCAGCATGCACCTTCGGGACTTCTCCTCCGCCACATCCATACTGTCCGTCCCCTCTTCTGGCTGTGCAGCAGGCGTGTGCGGGCCCGAGATCTAGAACAGCGGCACTTGTAAATTGCCCACCCATGGCTCTAGAAATGGGGCGGAATAACGCAGCTGACTTTGCATAGTCGCTCATCTCTTTTGTGAATTCCTCGGGTGTCTGCCCAGGCTTCTGTGGGGGCGCCTGAGCCAGGGTTTGCGTGTGCACGCAGATAGGCCACGCTAACCCACCTCGGTTTCATAGACGCCCAAGACACGGGGTAGTAGTTCCAGCAAGAATGCTCGCTAGCAGTCATAACTGCCTTCCTCGACTGCACTGTGTACATGCGTCTGACTCATGTCTCCACAGCTTCCAGAATATATCCCCTCCCATCCAACATATGGCGATGGTGCAGTTGCTACTTCCTGGCCCTGACTGAAAGCTAGATGATCTGTCCGTAGATTGCCCAGCATGGATATCATTGTTTCTCGTGTCCAGCAGTTTCTCCAACACTTTATCATGTAACTTGTGCTGGCGCGCATAGCTTACTGCAATACCATCTTCTTGTCTCATCGATTCCAAAAATCTGCGTGTGCCCCATATACAACCAAATTTCTCACTTCTCGCGTTTCAAACCCGCTCCTAATGGGGTAGTTTCCGTCTTTTAATGCGCGTTTTATCCAAATCATAGTTTTCAAAGGGTTAGCCTTGCTTCCAGCGTTTTGCCTCCTCGCTTCACAGTTTCTCAGCCACCCCCGGCCCAACTGGTTTCAGTTTTTCTCGTTTGCCAATAACCTTCCAATCCTGCACCACCGTGACACAAGTATGCGATATGATCATGATGGTCATCTCACTCTATTAACATCGGTGAGCTCCCACTAGAATCAAAGTTACGCGAGCCTGGATTTAATCATTGACATGTCGCTGCAGTGTTCAGCTACGTTATGTTATCAATCATGGAATACATGGACCCAATCCTCGGCCATACATCAAGTGAGTACCACAACTTTGAAACAATCTTTCACGGTACAAGAACTTTCATGTCCAAGGTCTCGCGATCCCTCACCTTACGACTCGCTGTAGACCAGTATAAAGAGTCTGTAAATCATGTCTTATCGTGCGTATTGAATTTTGATGCCTGTGCTCTCCAAGGTCTGAAAGGACGACGACGACAAGATCGATTATTTGCGCTGATAATTGTATTTTTGCCGTGCTTACTAGCAGCACCTTCATACAGCGCATTTCACCGTCTTTCTACGGTTCAACCTCTCGTCCTACGTACGTACTTGCGCTACACCGGGCTCAGTAACAGCGGCGAAGAGCTCTCACCCAGAATGTCTGTCCCTCTTTGCTGCGCGTCATTCCCGAAAAAGTGGACGTTCCAGGAAAATGATAGTACATGGCTATCTGTTTTGTTGGGGGGGTTGGGGAGGCGGGTAAGTGCATCTTTCTCTCATGACGTGTTCCCAACGACTGAATTACATATCCTGCGTCCTACTCGTCGAAGATGTCCCTTGAGTCCCGATCTGATATCCATCATTGTGGTAGTCATCCATGTTGTTTATTGGTCGACGACACCCTCGTGCCAATGTGCAATTTTTGGACAGCAAAGGATGGTAGGGACATGTGATATTTACTCATCGAAAGACAAGGTGATGCCAAGTTGTCCCACTCCCGAAAATTCTGACAGGACGAACTAAAGGTTGCAAGAAATGGTAAGTAGTGAAGTGACGAGACTTTAGTCCGATACACATGCATATATGATACGTATACTGTACGATGTGAAGCGCAAATGCAAACTGCTCAGAAATTCATAAACTTTGAAACAAAAAATATAAGACTACAATATTTCTATGGTCCTGATGTCCATCGAGTCTCCAACAGAAGCCACGTCGTCGACCTGCCCAATGATATTATGGTCTGACGCGATCCTCTTGTATTCTACACTGCCCTGCTGCGATAGCAAAAATGCGCAGAAAGGCTGCTCAAGGCGAACAAGTAACCGCAATGCGCGTGATTCTAGGTCAACCACCTTCTGATTTACAGGAGAACCACTGGACCAGGCGTCTGACGGAGAAGACGGTGGCGTCCCATAATCCTCCTCGCTCTCCGTATCGCTTCCAAAGTCAGACGGTTCCACAAATTCAGGCGGTCGTGCAAAGTCAGGTAGCTCGAGGAGAGACCGATCCCAGGGACGGACAAGGACAAATCTTTGCTCAGTGGGCCTTGCCGGCCAGAACTGAACCAGGGTCTCTTCGGTGGTGATAAGCAAGTCGCGAAGCCCGTCTGCCTTCACTCGATACCTGAACAGAGTGTCTGGGGCTGGACTACGCACCCGTCTGACTTCCCTGACATTGAATGCAATACAAGGCAGATGCAGTCTCTGTGCTGCGAAGCGAGGGGCGCTCACGTCGCAAAGCCGGGTATAAAGGTTCCAAGCGAAATCCACAGCCACCGTCTTTCGCAGCAATGAAACCGATGACTGAATTTCATCTTCGAGTAGGGGTGGTAGCTTGCATGGTGGAGCTTCGTATGAAGTGATGGAGGCTGGTAGACAGCTATTGAACTCTGATGGTTTTCCGACCCAATCGAGGCTGGTGATGTCACCCGACCGAGCCACGATCTCCTGCAGGAGCCGCCCGAGAGCCTTGTCCTGCTTCTCGCCATAATCTACTGCCAGGCGGACACCAAAGATGCCAAACAACGAGTATGCGATGTCTTCCTGACGCGTGGTAACGCGGGTTGACGCCCAATGGAGTTTCTCTCTGGCGTCACATTCATACTGGGACGGAAGGCTGCAACGGCTGGTGAGTCTATGCCCGTCGCATCCTTCAACTCCTGCATGATTGCGACGGACTCTTTGTGGTTGGGAGTGCGATCATTAAGATAAAGAGTCCAATTGTTCTGATAAAAGAGAATGATTTTGGGAGCGATGAATTCTTGAACCGTCCATCCGCGCGTGTTCCAAGCGCTTTTTTCCAGTGCGCCAGACTTTGACGATGGCGGAACATCCGACAGGTAGACGATCGTGAGCGCGGAGTGGAGATACCAGATGAACATGGAGTTGACCGATTCCTGGAGTTCGACGTTGTTGCTCTTATCGATGCAGCATGTATCGCTCCATGCCCAGTTATACCCGCATCATGAGCAGTGTTGCAGAAGGACCGCAACTTCGTCATGCCACCAACCGGATCCAACTCCGAGTCATACACGCTCCTGCCCTGGATATCCTGCAGAAACGGCTCCTTCCCTTCCCACCTGTGTGATAGCGCGGCATATTGGAGATAAGTCATCACCACGTCTTCGATGTGCTTCATGGGGAGGTCTAGATGCGTGATTGTTGATGACACAAGCTCCTTATACTCTGTGCTCATTTTGAAGGCGGCTTATCTGCGCCTCTCGATCGCATAAGAGACCGGTGATAGTGTCGAGTACACGGAGTGGAGCATTGTCGAGTCGGACGTCAATGACCCGTCGAATAGCACGTTCTACCTCAGAAGGTCTGAGATACTGCTGGCGCAGCTCTGGAGAAAGAATTAAACATGTTGGCGAATGTGTTATTCAAAGGCTCACTTCGTGTCTGAATGTCGGGTGCATCATCCAATTTGGACAGCATCGTCTCGAAGGTCAGGATCGCTTCATCATAACGTCGTGCACCATGAAGCGCTGAGTGCTTCAGATTGTATCCAACATAAGATACAGAGTTGAGTTCAATGACCTATGTATCGCCGCAATGAGCATGGATTATGAAATGATAGATGCCAACTCACCTTCTGCGCATCGAGAAGTGCTTCCATCCATAGCATCTTACCCAACTTTGCCTTACTACGATTTGCAAAGAGAGCATCAGACGCAGGATTCAGGTTGATTGCGGCCGAGTATAGGTCAATGGCCTTGTCATAATCGCTCGCAGCGAGGGCGGCATCTCCACCGGCAGCACAGGGCAGCGCTGCATTCTTTCTTGAAAGCTGAGTGAAATATGGGTGAGGATTGAAGTCTGATTATCACGGACTCCGGACTTGCCGTTGGACCAATCAAGACAGCTGGCCTTCGTAGATTCGTCGATGGCGTCCATCATGCATTTGTGTGCTTTGAGGGCTTCATCAGATTTACCTGCCGAAAGGAATGCCTGGCACCGTTTCTGGTGAGTAGTGAGACACAAAGATTCGAGATCCCAGCCGAAGAGCTGGACAAAGCACTCAGGTATGAAAAGCACTATGTATGTATCATCTTGACGCACCATGGTCAATTCCTCGTATACATCATGAATGTATTTCGTTGAGAAGCGTGCCTAAGTTAACAGCGACAGTGAAATGGTGAGCAGCTTCGTCATGACGCGCGTCATCCAAGGCTTTTATTCCCAGCTGAACGCGTAGATGTGTCTGATGTGCGAGTTGCAAAGATCAGCATCGATAACCAGGCGAAGCTGCATGACACTTACTTCCACGACACGACACGCGAGAGGATCGGTATTCGGACAAGCGGCAGCCAGCTCTTTGATGAGTAACATTGCTTCCTCGTGTTGATCTGCGCTGAAGAGGGCGAATGGCCTGGAACACGCAATGAAGCAGAGAACATGCGAAATGAATGCAATGCACCTTGATCAAGATAAGAAAATGGTTGGATTCTGAATCTTGGTTGGTGAACATGGATGCGACGTCGAATGCTGCCCTTGCCTCGCGAATGTGACCTTTTCCGCAGAGAGCGATGCCCTTGGAGATGTAGCCTATCAATGATGGCTGAATGCTGATGGACTATGTCACGAATGAAAGTGAGCCTTTAGTGAGGGGGCCATGATAAGTCAGTATAGCTCACCTTGATTGCATCATCAAGTGCGAGGTCCCATGCGTGTTTTCGTGCCATAACGAATGAGCGATGGGAATATGAAGTATAGATCATTGGCGTTCGGTGTGGAATGTCTTGGGTGAGTAGCTCTTCAGCAGGTGTCCAGGTCCCCAGCGATGCATGCAATTGCGGGCTGTTGTGACGGCCAGGATCTGCGTGAAGGATGCTCTGTTCGGTATTTCCCACGCTGAGATCTCTTTATCTTGCCTCCACTGAAGATGTGCTTGCCGTCCGCGGAGAAAGTGACAGATTGCTGCGGGGATGAGTGCTTGAAGATGGCGACGGTTCGTTGATCTGAGAGCCGCCAGAGACGGACATTGTTGTCATAAGATGCAGAAGCGACGAGAGTGCCAGAGGGATGAATGGCAATGGCGTAGATATGGCCAGTGTGGCCATCCCAGGGATGACCGACCTGCTTCCAGGTCGATGGATCCCACTCTTGTATGGTATGACCAACTGCTGAAAGAAGGCGTGTGCCATCGGGCGTCCATGCGAGTGACTTGCTATAGTCTCCAAAAGATGCGACCCGTTCCCTTGTGCCTGGATTATAAATTTGGATATCGTAACTTGTTGCGATGGCAAGAAGTTCACCAGAAGGCGAATATCGAACGCAGAAGACAGAAGCACCACACTTGATTGGTTCTCCTTGCATCTGCCACGTTTTGGTACACAAAACTTGATGGCGGACAATGAACTAGCAGCCAGCACCGCACCATCCGGGGAAAATCCACCGAGTGGATCCAATTGGAGTGGGCTTTGATGGGTTGGGTGAGAGATTCACCAGTGTTCACCGTGCCAGGGAATGATTTCTCCTTTTTCATCACCGCTTGCTATTATTTGACCATCTCGTGATACCGCCAATGCCGAAACACCCACTTGCTATCCCCTCCATCTCTTCAACACAACACCTGTCTCCAAGTCCCCAAAGACGAAGTGTCGTGTGTTCGAGCACGTAACCATCGTCGCTTATCGAGGAAAACTGCGACTGCCTTTGGCCGTCTCATGACTTCCAAAAGTTCTAATGGTGTGGTGCTTGGAATGACCTGTGGCATTTTACTTGAGGGTGATCGTGTTGAGCACGATTGAGGGACTGTGGGTGTCTTTCTCTAAGCTGCAGAGGTGCGTGTATTGTGCGTTTTTATGCTGCTCTCCACGCTAACTATCATTTCCATAGACGCCCAAGACACGAGGTGGTTCGCCTCCGTTGTAGCAAGCAGCCTCCCTACGACTCATAACTCCCTTCCTCGACTGCACTGCGTACATGCGTCCGACTCATGTCTCCACAGCTTCCAGAGTATATCCCCTCCCATCCAATGACAATAGTACAGATGTTACTTGCCCGCACGTTCATGGTGATACTTGCATCATGGTGAAGCATTGCAAGAGACGCCAAAATTGACGTTAGCTTTTGAACCTGTATATAACACTACATGAATCGATTGCCCTCTTACGAGCACCAGGAGGTCCGCTTTCCTATCCACTAACCTGATCGCCTTCATCAGAGGACATATCAGTGATAAGCAAAACTTTCATGATATACAGCAAAGGCTTTTCAACCCACATATCCTCATGTGCATCCCCCTCTCGATCCTTCCGTTTCTTCTTCCGAAGCCTCTCGCTATCCCGATCTCGGTATTTTTGGCGCGCAGCAGTGAGTGACAATGACTCTCCCCTACATCGAAGGAAACAAGCGCGCCACCCTCGGAACTCTTCTTTTTCTTGTTTTTCTTTTCCTTCTTCTCCGCGTCTTTCGGTTTGGATCCCCTGAGTATGAAGGTAGGCTTGAACGTAGCCAGGTCAACATCTTCCACGACACCATTCGCTGCTAGTGCTTTAACATCCAGGCCTCGTTTAGACGGCAGGGGGCTCGTCCACCTCATCGACATTGTCTATATAATCCTTCTCCTCGTCGCTCTCTTCATCATCACTTGTAAAATTTGCTTCAACAATATCCAACCCAGGACGCTCATACGTGAGCACATCATCCCCCCGCCCATCATCTTCCCCCATGCCGATATTCGCAACGTCGTGCTTACTACTTCTGGAACCCCCACTCTCCACTTGCATCGCTCCCGCCCTTGCACCAGCGAATTCGTCTGCTAACGCTATGCTTGTGAACTCAGGTCTCGCAGTCTGCGTTGACAGGCCAGAGGTATCGACAAGGATTTCCAGAACCGGGTCCTTGACGCCAAAGCGCTCGCACAGCAGCCGCGCAGGCTGCCACGTACACACCTCGCGCGTCATAACATCATACATACCCAATCGAGCAGCATGCACCTTCGGGGATTCTTCCTTGATTTCCTCCTTCAGCTTCTCCGCCACATTCACACTGTCCGTCAGGCTGCTTCCGTTTTGAAGACCGACAACGCCGTGAAATGAAGCAGAGGTCGCCATAGTAATCAGCAAAGAGCTACAAAAAGGAGACGGAGCATAGATACGCAACAACACAACATGACGCAGAAGACAGAAAGAGCTGTTGGAAAGAGACAGAACGCAACAGCACAACATGGCGTGGTGGACGCCATCGCCGGCGGGATCTCGTGCTTATACATGCTGTAGATAACGATCATAGTTATCTCCCGACATGATTTGGCCGCTCTACTGTTGTTGTATAAAAGAAGCTTGAACTCAACATAACAGATACATAGTAACTAAATAAATTTATCATGAAGTGTTCATGCCGCTCCCAGTCAGACCAGTCTAGGCTAAGTCCTTCTTTCTATGTACACTCATGTGTCTCGCAAGTTGGTCCGGCCTCGCAAAAGACTTTCCACAGCCACTCTCAGTACAGGGGTAAGGGCGTGCACCCGTATGTGTTCGTAACTAGAAACATAGTCTGATTCAGAAGTTAGACCTACAATAACCACAAAAGAGCCTACATGTTTTGACAGATTCGACGACTCAGCGAAGGCCCTGAATAAAGACAATGAATCAGCACACCAACACCAAAAGGAAGAAACCCATACTTCTCGCAATACTTGCACTTGAACGGTTTGAAGCCATTGTGCGTCCGCTTGTGAATCGTCAGTGCACCCGTGATAGCGAACGCCTTGCCGCACCCGGGGAAATCGCAGACGTATGGCTCTACAGTGCCCAATGAGCTGACTGTCGAACGCAAAAGGACAGAAAACGGAAAAATACGCACTCTCTTGGGTATGCCTCCGCATATGCTGCTGCAGCGTAGCCGTTTCCGAGAAATGTGCATTACAGATTTTACACTTAAATGGTCTATGTCCTGTGTGCGACTGCATATGCCGCGCGACTTTTTGTTTACTCGAAAATCCTTGCTTGCCATTCCGAGAGCAGCCCTCCCAGCAACACTCGTAGTGCGCTTTACCGCTGCCGATGTGGGCAAAGAGGATGTGGTTTGTAAGATCATCAGGAGAAGAGAATGATTGCGTGCACCCGCTCCATTTACAGGGTTTGATGGTGTCTGTGGACGGGAAGTCTGGCGAATAAGACTTGTGCCGAGGTGAAGGATAAGGAGTGGCGTCTGTGGGTGATTCGTCACGGGTAATATTTTCCATGCGAGTTGGAGGTGTTTTCGGTGGTGGTGTAGTGCGCACCGTCGTCGATTGCGGGAAGGAGGAGTAATTGATACCAAGATGATCTTGCATCAAATGCGTAGTAAGAACGTCAAGGACAGTATTCGTAAATGCAGTTGTCGAAGAGCTTGAAATCGATTCTGTACAGGGTAACATAGCGCAATCTCCCCAGTGACATGACAAAGCGTCGGGGTCGAATTGTTGATTCTGGAAAACGTTTGAGCATACCTGCTGAGGGGCTGATTCCTTCGTTAAATTTTGGGGGCGGAGATGGTCCAAGTTGACGTGCCCGACTAGCTCCATAAGTGACGGGAACGTAGACCTGCAGTCCGCCCACAAACAAGTAAACATATGTGGTGAGAACTGCGGTAGGTGTCGTGGCAGGCCAACAGGTGTAAATTGAGTCGCTGCCTGGGGGATGTGGGGTGAAGAAAACGCTGAGCTAGTAGATGACACTGTGCATTCGGGAGATGCGTCATACAAAGGCCGGGCTATGTCACTGTGTTCTGGCAAGAATTGGGACACATGTTGTCCGCTGTAGTCGCTCTCGTTGCATCCACACAAATCATTCGTTGACTGTGGGTTCCAATCCAACTGTGTGAGGCTTGGGTCAAGGGACTTTGGCTGGGACAGATAAGAATGATAGTCGGTGCAGCATTGCAGCTTAAATGAAAGCAATTAGAAAGCACATGCAGATACAAGATATAGCGTACCAGTTCTTCAAGACCAGAACAATTGCCGCAGTCCTCATCAGGGAGGCATGCGCTGTTGCAGATTATGTCACCATCAGCAACATGGCAACTGGGCTCAGGGTGGGTGGGATCGGTACAGGCGACGACGACACACTGATCAGTGCACTGCGAGGTCATCTCTGGTATGGGGCATGCCACTTCTTTGCATTGATTCATGGACTCTTGTGAACAGTCGGAGCACGGCGGGTGCATTGATGAATCTCCACGATCCATACCAATATCAAACCCTGGAAGGTCGTAAGGGCGGAATGAGCAATCATGGAGCTGCATGAACAAATAAGTGTTCTTCGTCCGCAGATCGGAAAGCTTGTGGTATGGTGGGTTGATCGTCGGCGATGCAGATGATGAGAAGTCAAGGGGATCTTTATGTGGTGAATACCTGGAAAAATGACGAGTTAGAGAAAGGTTCCCTTGATTGATTCGGTGTGTGATTGCAGTGTTTTCCATTGTGAGCTTTATTAACTTGGTGACTGTGGAGGTCCTCTTCAAACGTTAGTGGCAAGTAGTATACGGCATCAAGTCGGTCTCGTGACCAAATGCAGTCTGCAGGCTGCCGGACAGTTCGGGAATTAATGGCGTACGCCGGGCTGCACCCCGGCGGATTGACCTGATTAATCAGCGCTTTTTCGGAGTGCTCCTCCGGAAAAATCCCTGGCTAATCCTCGCAGCCTGCGTTTCTGCGAGCCAAAGTGAGACCAATTAGTCAGCGCTTCAGTAACTTTCTATCGGAACACGCCACAATTGGAGATTCAAAAGGATGCTCAATTCTAAAATGTCCTTTCTCGGTTCCTTCGAACGACTTCAAATTCAAACCTTGAGCAAACAAAGTCCGGACGCCCTTACGTTATTCACGATAAAAAGACCCCAGACTCTGCTCAACATCTTCGCTTCAAGTTAACCGCATCACCAGGTAGTATACAGTCCTCAACCAAACACATGTAGTGTACTAGTACTGCCGGCACGTGGCAATCGCTACCGTCTTTTCTTCACTATGTCTCTCCTTCGTTACTTGACATAGCGGCAGTTAAACTTCGTTGGGATGTTTTCGATTGCTGCGGCAATACCCGGGCACTGGCCAGGTTTGACCAACGCGAAACTCTGGAACACCCAAAGCTCAAGACACCGTGCAGGAGTGGCCCACCGAGGCATAATGCATCGCGGAAAAGGGGGCACAGCGAGAACTGAATGACAGACACAAAGACAACCTCTAACAAATAAGGTGTCAAACGATTGTAACTGAGATTCTAGGCCCGAACAGGGGTTAGTAGCCGGTGGAGGTTTTGAGATGAAAATCGACAAGAGCCCTCTTCCACTAACATTGGGAGTTTGGAAAGGGAAACTGTCAAGACGCGGTGCCTTATGGGCTCCTGCTATGCATGGAGCGCTGTGCACTGAGGATATTGTGACGAATATAAGGTGTAGGTCGCCCACTAGGTATAGGCGCAAGTGGAAACCATAGACCAGCTCAGGCTGTAGTCCCAAAAACAGATCAAAATTCCATGACAAGTCAAGTATAATACCCAGAAAAAAGCGTTGGACCATAGACATAAAGGACCAATATGACAAAGCAGCAAGAACAGCTAAATAACATAAGTAGCAACACAGCACAGGTGCAAAAGCCCGTCATAGTTACTGTGCGAACATCTCAATGCCCAAAGGCGCATCAGTTTCCCCGGTATCTACCCTCTGGCTGCTACCTCTGCTTTCGAGCGCACCTCTCCGCCAGCTCGTTCGACATGGCTTCTAGGGCTTCCATCGCCCCAAGGGCCTCGAGGCCACGAGTGTTGCTGTCGGCAGGCATGGGAGTAGAAGTTTTCAGAGGTGGGTGCGTAAATGTATTGTGACCGGGTTGTTCTAACACCATTTCGGCAAGTTCTCGGAATGGTGGGACGTCTTCCGGTGCATTATAAGAAACCAAAAGCGGGGCGGCAGTCAGTCCGGTAGTCCTTCGGGTGGGTAGTACTCGTCCTAAGTTCTTCAGTATGTGCCACTTGTGTGAGAAGGGATAGATTATACCTAGTCTCTTCACTAAGTCATATCCCTTGAGTCGTTCCTTATCAAATTCAGGGTTAACAGATGAGCCCTCCTCCAAAGCAAGATAGTCAATGCGCTTCTCGATAATAAAGCGATCGTTCACTGTCCACGGTGCGTCATGTAGCACTTCGTCTACCCAGCGACAGTGTCGCATAAGCTCGCAACGCTCGAGATGTGAGAAATGAGGCGTCGTATTGTGAGCTCGACATTGCTCATCCGAAAGCACCCCGACAATAAGATGCACGCAAGGGAATGAGAGCTTCGCTTGACGGAGCTGATGTGTATGCCTTGGATGAACTTTAGTGATCATGCAGCATCCACTGCCACTAGCGGCGTGCTTACCCAACAGTTAACACATCGAATACGCCGTCAACATACACTCTGAGAGTCCTGTTGTCTCGTGGGTATTTTCCTGCACTAGACACGTTAAGTGCATTCTGTACATATGCCTGTATATCCACGGAACTCAGCGCCACCGCGCTGAGTCGTTCTCTGGCTGCATCAGACGGGGGAAGCTCATAAGTAGTCAAGGATGGAATATGATGCAAGTCGGCAATGCTGGACTCCAAGGAGCGCTGACCAGGGTTAGAGATGACATCGTAGTCGTCGTCACTCAGGACAGACGAACTGTCCATGATGGAGCAAGTGGAATAGAAAATACGTCAAGACCGTACGTACGCGGTGGCGTTGAAGGCCCGTGCTGGCAAAAATGCGAGACACGACTCACACGAGGCCATTCCTTCTGCAAGGACCATCGAAGTACAACTTGACCTGCTTCGTGGGAACTTTTAAATTGGCTATAACCGGTAACCGGACCCTTAGCTAGTTCTAACCTGGTCTTGCCATGTAGCCTGTTGTCCTGACATCTCTCTTTCTCTGGGACTCTATTCTATCATCCAGAGCGACGTCCATCATATCTGATGGAAGAGGACAATTGCAAGTAAATTGATTACTGATATTCATGCAGTCAATGGCTGTATGATGCCAGGCAAGAAGGCCGCAGACCCCTTGTTCTCATACCACTTCGAATCATGAGCAATCAATACCTGCACTCTCGGGATTCCCAACAGTGACCGGATCCTTGCGATATTCTCCACCGCTTTTTCCTTATCTCCATGCATGCACCTGATGTGACCTGATGAACCAATACTATGTGCGACCTCTTCCTCGCCCGCAATCAATCTGTAGTCGTGAGCGGAATCTCCCCCAAGGAGAATCCACGCGCCATCTGAGGAGGTGCGCGCGAGTATGTTGGTATGTCCTCCTGTGTGCTCTATAACCCTGACTTGTTAGGTTATATGTTCTAAGGATCCCCATACCACAAACCTGGCGCAATGCGCATCAATCACATACGTGCTGCCATCGCCGAAAAAATCCAATGCAAGCGGAAACGGTCCAATGGGGAGACTGAAGTCGGATAGAGGAAGAAACTTGGTGCGCTCATGCGGAAGAGTGGTCGAAAAGGAGAAGGAGTTTGGGTCTATAGGATACCCTGAGGTCAGGAGCTCCCTGCACCCTTCTCCCACAACAAATGTAGCTCTGGTGAATGGCTCATGGTCTCCGGTGCTAATAAAGAGCAGTTAATTTTTTTGGACTTGTCAGCACTCCCAAACACTCACTGATCCTAGTGCAAGTGGCTAATGATGACGGTTTCAACCTGATCGGGGAAAACGCCTCCCTTAACCAGCGACTCCGTGACTGTCTGGTTCACAACAGGGGCCAACTTCATGGCCTTGATGAGCTCCTGGGAGAGAGGAGTGTATCCTTCGAGGTTGCGCCGTATACCTAAGTCGAAGACAACCCATGACTTGGTCTTGGAGTGTCGTAGTGAGAAGGCAAGAGATGGACACGAGATGGACTCTCCCTGTGAGTTGCCGTCCACAACCAAATCGCAGGGGATTCGAATATTTCCTCCCCCGAGTGCCGACACATACATGAAAGGCTGGTCTACACTGGGCGGAGGAAGCATCAGCCCAGTCGATGCCATTGTCCTGACTTGATTGACAGCGGAGTGGCAGAATGCTTACACGATTTTCCCGTTTATATACCCTCTCGCAACATGCGGATATTGACTTCAGGGTTCACCACCCAATTTCCACTGTGCTGAGTGCACGCAGTTGCAATGAATGTCCTTTGTAATCGCAACAAAGTTACCGCGGAGGGAGTGCGATTTCTTTCAGTAGAACAATGTTTACCATCTACTTAAGTAGCGACTGACAAAGTTGATTGTGGTATGTCATCTCTCCGACGATCATGTTTTTGCTGGAATAACTCCAGGATAGAAAGCTGGTCCGCCCCTGTTTTCTTCGTACCAAGCAACATCATGGGCAATCAGCACCTGGACCTTCGAATTGCTGAGCAATCCCCTGATCCTCTGAATATTCTCCAGTGCGAGTTCCTTGTTCGCGTGGATGCATCTAAAGCACCCATTGACGTCGGTGTAGTGTCCGATCTCTTTTTCTCCCGTGATCAATCTGAAGTCTCCTGCAGAATCACCCCCCAGGAGTATCCATGACCCTTCAGCAGATGTACGCGCCAGTATGTTCACGTGCCCCCCTATGTGTCCTGCGTATAGCAAGATGATGGGAATGTCAACGAAAGGGTATGCGAAAATGAACTAACCTGGAGCATCTACTATATACATGCTTCCGTCTCCGAAGTAGTCGATGGAATTTGGATATGGTCCAATGAATGAATTCATATCTGACTCAGAAAGAAATCTGGTTCTCTCGATGGGGATGGCAGTTGACGAAAATCCGGCGTCTTCTGTCACAGGATAACCTGTCGCGAGTATTTCCTTGCATTGTTCACCGACGACGAAAGTAGCATTCTTAAATGGCTCTGGATCACCGACACTGGTATGGTTGATCAGCTGAGTCTTCAAAGAAGGCCATACTCACTGGTCCCAGTGAAGATGACTGACGACGACGGTGTCAATCTGCTCTGGTGGTGTCCCACCTGCTTTCAATGACTCTGCCACGTCTTGTGGAACTTCCGGCTGGAAGCCAAAATGTTGGATGCGCCGCTGTACGGCGGGAGGCAGAGACATTATATCTCGGCGTATCCCCAGATCGAAAACAACTTGATGACCACTTTTTGAGTGGCGGAGCAAGAATGCAAGTGAGGGATTTCGAATGGCATCCGTTGGGGATGATCCAGCGACGACAATCTGTAGGGGCACACGTAAACTTCCCGCCTCGAGGGCGGAGACATTCATATAAGCTTGATCTGCTGCTGGAGAGGGGAGAGACATGGTCGTTATCTTGATAAACACCCTGAGCACTGGCAGCAGGAGATAAACTATTTTAGTAAGGATCGATGTACATATATGAGGCTCGAGGATTTACTTCCGTCTTATGGTTTATAACACGGGTCTCCGCCGTTCCATGTCATCATCTGCATCATCTGACTTTGATCTGCCGGCGGATGCTGTGGTGTGAGTATGAGAGTATATATGGCCTCGATTAGGCTAAGGAAGTTAATTTAATTGTCTGGCAGATCTGCACTCGCAAGCCGAGCCGAGAATCGGCGTCAGGTAGTAACACATTATCTGTCAGTGCTAGTGTTAGGCAGGAATCGAAGACCGTCGTTTTGAAGAAATACGATGACTCGGAAGCTAGTTGTTTCTTCCTTTTCGACGATGGATCGCGCACATCATGATGCATGATGCACGGGAAAATGCAAGCATGGTGACGCGAGCCTGACACGATGACTGTGACCCCTGAGTGGCAGTACTGAGGCAGGACGCGTCCGAGGTCACGTTCTTGCAAAATCAAGCCCTCGGTTCCGTACTATTTACTAGGTCAACAATAATTGAGTCAGTGATAGAGTCATTACTAATTACCGTTACGGAATGCATGGTAGCTTTACCTAGCAGACAACCACTCCGAGTCATAGCGACTCATTCAACTTTCCAAAGAGTCATCATATCCCGCATATGGCTCCCGCACAATCAGATTTATGTCGTCCCACTGGCAGAACATCGAGGAAGCACCGGCATGAAAGCGGCTGGTCTAGGTTGCTATTTGCATTTCGAGTGCTGATATGCAGCCTGGTAATCATTTCACTAGTGCTCTACAAGTTCTGCGACCCCGCTTTCTTGCCAATCTGCAATCTTCCTCGTTTTTGGCTTGCAGGTCCTTGTAACAGGCTTGCAGGTCCCCTACCTCCTGGCGTTAATTCTACTACATGCCCCCAATGGACGGCTTTACATCCAACCAAGCATCGTGGGCTCAGCGAAGACCTGGATGTAGCATACAGCTCAGAAGACTTCAAGCAAAGAGCAATTCAGGCCCTCGGAGACGCAGTCCGTGTACCGTAAGTTCTAATGTTGCATATCACTGTGGAAACATGGACGCGCTCTTAGGACCGAATCGTACGACGATAATGGACCGGTCGGCGAAGACAGCCGATGGGATACATTCGCAGAACTTCATCGAGTTCTTGAGGCCTCGTTTCCTCGCGTGTACGTCGGAATCTCCAAGTTTGAGTTGTCATTTCATAGCTCATTTTATATTTCTAGTTACGAGTCCCTCGATGTCACCAAAGTCAACACATATGGTCTGGTTTTTCACTGGCAGGGATCGACTTCGGCAAAGCCTTACATCTTGGCCGCTCATCAAGGTTATTCTCGTTTGAACGTCCTACTGAATCTCGGTTGATGTTGTTTCAGATGTTGTACCAGTTGAAGGTCAAACAGTTAAAGAGTGGAAACACGATCCGTATTCGGGGTACTATGACGGTAGGCGAACTTTCAACCCCGCGATGTGCTACTTATATCTGTATTATCACAGGCACGTGGATATGGGGTCGTGGTACTTGCGATGACAAAAGTGACTTGATACGACAATTGCTCGCCATCGATTCCTTATTAAAGGAAGGTTTCTCTCCTGCACGCACCCTTATACTTTCGTATGGATTCGACGAAGAGTCCAAAGGCATAGAGGTCAGGGAAACCTCTGCACACAAGCTCCATTATTGATAGGTCGCTTCAGGGTGCTGGTCATCTTGCTCGATACTTGGAGCAAACGTACGGGCGCGACTCTTTTGCCTTACTTCTTGACGAAGGAGGTACGTAGACTAAATGTTGCAAGTGGCACAACTAAATTCTGCGTTAGATCTTTACACGGACATGGGTGGCATTGTTTTTGCGACTCCCTCAATATCCGAGAAGGGATATCTTGATGTAAAAATCACAGTTTCAACTCTCGGTGGTCATTCGAGTGTACCACCTCCTCATACGGTGCGTGTTGGTCGTCACCTTCATACTGATAATTGATCAGTAGTACTATACAGAGCATTGGTCTCCTCTCCCGTTTCATAACAGTGGTGGAGGATAATTCGCACCAAGCCAGCCTTTCCCGAACAGGAACCCTGTTTGCGACGACGCAGTGCCTTGCGGCCTACAATCCAGTGTACCCCGAAGACTTGCGAAAGCTCGCAAGAAAAGCGGTTGCAGATGATACGGCTCTGAAGGTGCTTCAAGAGCGACTTTTGGCTTCGGATCCCCTGTACAAAGCGATGCTCGGGACCACGCAAGCAGTAGACCTCGTTGAAGGTGGCGTGAAAATTAACGCTCTCCCAGAGCGTGCTAGCGCAGTGGTCAATCACCGCATCGCAGAGCATAGGTCTTGCTTCTTTTATAGGATTTCTAGGACTTTGTTCACTTCTTACTTTTAGTTCTGTTGGCGAGCTGCAGCAGCACATGATCGACCTTTTGACCCCGTTGGCAACCAAGTATGACCTCGCACTCGTCGCGTTTGGCAGCAACGTGACTTGTGGTGGTGCTGGTCAAGTCGTTCTGTCCGACTTCCTCGGGACGGCCTTGGAACCTTCGCCTGTGACGCCTACTGAGTATGGTCCTTGGGCACTTTTGCAAGGAAGTATTAAAGCTGCTTTTGAGAGCTCCCCTACCCGCAACAGCAAGCAAGGTCGTGGTTATACCCTCTCTATCTATTGGTACGTTGGTTGTCGGGTTTGTACTGCACGATTCTAACGAATGGTATCAACCAGGCAACACTGGTAAGCAACTGTGATATACTCATAGCGAATTACCCTTTCACGTGGTCTCAGACACTCAATTCTACTGGAATTTGACCAAGCATATTTTCCGCTTCTCGCCATCCTTTGACACTGATCGTTTCAATGGAGAACACACTGTTAATGAAGGCAAGCGTTCCATAGTGTTACAGTGCTTTCCTAGCTCATGTAGTTCTTCAAACCAGCTTTCCGTGCAGACAGCTTGAATGAAGGTGTTCGTTTCTACACCAAGTTTATCTTGAATGTGGACGAAAGTGATTTACCGTGAACCAGTATCGTTTTCGTTTTGTTTTGTTTTGATGTTTTGCTGTACACAAATGTTTTCTTGTTTGACTACTTTTGCATACCCGCATTTGTTGGAAATGCTGCACAATTACAAGCTTATAGATACACGCAATTATATGATACACAACACTTCGCATTGTTATGTGTTATTATTCTGCCTCAGTCTCCGTCTCCGTGCCACTGGTCCTGCTATTGACCTCAGATCCCTCTTGTCCTGTCGAAACAACACGACCTCGTCCATCTGTCGCAGCTGCTCCAGTCTCAGGTGTCTGACGTCGAGCTTTGATGGCAGAATTTAAGCGGTGTCGCTCACGAGCCTCCACTTGAACCTGAGCGTGAGGTGGACCACGTACTGTCCTGCTCCATACTACTCTGCCTCTGCCATCAGTGACAAATGGGGGATCCGTATCGTGTTCGCATTGCGGCCGGGCAGCCGGCACCGTCTGCTCCCCTGTACTGCTTGCTGGTGCTTCAGCAGCTCCAGAAGACATTGCTAACGACTCGTTGCTCTCTGGTGGGTCAGGGACAGTAGATGTAGATGATAAACGAGAGTCGTTATCATTGTCACTGTCGCTGTCGGTGAGGGGACGTAACGAGGCATTCTCCTTCTGCTTCATCCTCTTCGTCTTCGTCCTCGATGTCGATAATCATAGTCTCTCGACTGCGGGAGTTCAGTACGGTACTGAACCTGGACGTATTTGATTGCTGAACGGTAGATGTCATGGAGGCTGGGGAAATAGATGAGGGGCGAGGGGACGGTGTGCGGGGCATTGCCCAGGGAAGGAAGCTGTGAGGAAGTGGTCCAGAAACCTCCGCAGAGGATGATGGCCTAAAAGGCACCGGAGGTGTCGTTGAGGGTCCCATGACTGGAGATGCACTCCTAGCCCTAGGTGGTATTGAAGCGGTGGGTACTGTTACGGGACTCTCGACAGGTGGATCCGGACTTTCCTCGACAACGAGGGATACGTGGGTAACAGGAGCCACAAAGTGCGTAGTTTCTAGTGACCGCTCTGTAGCTATACTCTCCGCCTATTGTAGAGTCAGAGCTACTAAACATACACATGTCATGCAACGAAGTGATCTAAAAAAGGCTCACCAGTAATTCGAAGGACTGATGGTCGTCGTCATCATCCATAAGAGTATCTGTGGCTGCACCAGACTCCGCATCCATGCCATTCAATAACGCTGGGAGATGTTGTCGGACGAAGCTGAGGGTGACATGGAGATTATTCGTTGGGTCTCCGAGGATGCTTTGCAGAAGCCTAAGGCGATCTGCGAGATCGGCATCTGAAGCAGACCCGGCAAACGTGTGGCCACGCTGCCGTTGTTGTCTCCTAAATACCTGAGAGGGCATAAATATAAAGGCACGACATGCAGATGACGCCATACTTTCATAAAGTGATTTGCTCCGTATAGGAACTTGTGTGGTGTACCATCAGGGTTGAGATGCTGGTAGAAACAATCGAGACCGAATGGGCAACAGGGCTTGCCAGAAGCTGATGTTTCGACGAAGTATCTACATGATTGCGATCAGGCCGGCGAGAGGAATATAAGGAGACCGTACTGACTTGCATGGAACACGAGCCATGCTATTCTTGTAACTATCTATCACTTCCTGCTTGCGTGGGTGATCCTGAGGAAAAAAATGGGTGGATGGTGTAATAAAACGCGATGCACTGCGGCAGTAAGGACAGCGTTTTATTACTCCTGACATAACCATGTCCGATGACTTTCCTTGTGGCTCTCGCCACTGGCGAATACACTGCTTGACAGTGTAAGTTTCTGCATAAAAAGACCAATAACGATAGATCGACCTGAAGACAAAATACGTGGCCGCAGCCAGCTAGGGGAGACAATGTCAGAAGACATTCGAAAGGCTAAGATGGCGACTCACTTAAAAGACCGTATGTCTGAGGTTTCTCCATGCATATATTACACATATTTTCATCGAAGTGCTTTAGCTCCTCATCAAGGGGGATTTTCACAAGCTCATGGCGAAACCAACACCGAGTACCTCGGGTGCAGTGTCCTGAAATCCGGTCAGTTACACCACGCTATCATCAAACTGCACCTTGCTTGCCTTGAATATAGTATCTGCACACCTTGGATTTGTCGTACGGGGTAAGGTTTTCCTCAGCACCGTGGAGGAACTTGCAATCGTCACCAGCGTAGCAGCCCCCGGGGGTTTTGTAGTACCGACAGATTCCTCGTGGTTTGGACGTCACCGGGCGATCCATGTGAACATCTGGTGTTTATCCTTCAAAACTACAGACGACAAGTATTAGAATATTCCACTGCTGGCAAATGATCAGTTGTAGTAAGACAGTCGTGGACGATGACAGAAAGGTGGTCCTGTTTCCCACGATGCCGTTTGAGTCTAATCGCCTGTTTAACAGAGCTGCTCAGTCTGGAGTCCGAGTTCGAATCTCTTCCTGACTTCTCGCCGCTGCGCACCCAAGTTCGAACCTCTACCTGGCTTTTATCAGAACCTAAATGTGACCCATTTCCAACCAGCTGATGTGGCTTCATCGGCCATGAAGCCTGTGGCTTTATTTCCACATTTCAATCCCCCGCTTCGTCCTCCACATCAATTTTCCTACCGCAGATGGTTCACCTGGGTCTTTTGTACCAGTAATATTAGTTCTATACCATCACTTTTCGACGTTGATGGAGAAAAACCACAAGTATCTATCTTTCGTGGGAGCTGCTTGGGTTCGTCATCTGAATGGTCCTCTATGGTCCTTTAGTGCTATTCCTTACATGCAACCACTGTCGACATTGGGTCCCCTTGATTTTCTCCTGGGGAAATTTCCAGATTGGTACGCTCAGCACCGTCATATCTGTCTGAGATCATGGTGTACAAGGTTTCCCCCGACACCATCGTCAAAGTGCGTAGAGGGAAAACTACTTGGCTTTAGTTTTGCCGGTTATAACTCTAGGCGTTATGTAGATTATGCGTACGACATTAATCCTCCCTCACCATTGCAATTAACCACCTCAACCTTATCTAGAACAGTCTGTGGTATTATTCCTTGTTTGAACCGATCCAACTCATCAAAATCAAAAGCATCTCCCTTGAGCACTTCAACTTCGTTAAGTTAAGACTCTGAACTTCTTCTGCCCTTTTCAACTCTTCAAGAGCTGCAAATTCAGCAGCAATGTCGTCAGGCGAGATACTCTCTGGACCACCAAGAAGGTGATCTGCACCGTGAGGCTCGGTCGAGAGCAGAGGTGCCCATACGAAGGACGCTTCACTGAGATCCTGTGCAGTCTCGATAGTAATGCCAACCTCTTCACGAGTGTGCATGTGAGCACGTCAATGGCGGGTGGACTTCCCAGCCTCCGCAACTTTTACAGCACTGGTGTCGAAGGTTTGCACAATCTTTACCGATTGTTTCACATGTGTCAACTGAGAGATTACACCGTCGTGTGGGTTGTGTTGTGCCGAGATCAGAGAATGTGCGCACTACTTCACCTGCATGCCCTACGATTGAGAGGATTGTCACAGAGAAGGCCTTGAGTGGGAGGATTTCGGAATTGATTGGAAGTTTTTTCCACCAAGAAAAGCACCTGATGAGTTATCAGTGTCGTCGCAATGTTTGCATTTCCAGTAGTAACGATGCGAGCTGTTGTCAACTCGTTCCAGAATCCAGGCACTGGAAATTGTCGTTGATCAATGACGCGAGGGGGCGCCCTCCAGCATGCAACATCTTACAAATTCTTACTTTAGGGATGTCATTTTTCATGTTCTCTTGAATTTAATGACTTAATAGTTTCGAGCGTGTAATAGCTCTATCATAGCATAAACTTTACGCGTACCAAAATACAGGTTAATTTCATTGAGCCATCAAATACTTGTCTACATAGAAACACTGGTGCATAGCGAAACTAAAATTACACAAGAAATGCGGTACGGAAAGCATGGGTAAAAATGAATGAGTTTCACTACAACGCCAAAGGAATCCTAAACCCGCCAGTTCTTCCCATCATGTCGTCAGGATCGTACTTTGCGCGGATTGTCATAAGCTTTGACAAATTGTTCTTGTAGATGTCCTTGACTGGAGTATCGGCGAGCGACAGGTTGCAATAGTTGGGCAAGTTTTCATTAGTGCACCCCTCTGCCTCTGCCACCTTTCGAATAGACCGCAGGATCTGCACCATAAGCCCGATCCAGTACTTATCGTTGCTTTCTCCTTCCCATTGGAAGGAGACGAACAACGGCCCATTCGGCTGACCTTTGTGGTGCGGCCAGGCAGGCGGAAAGTGCTTGTGTCAAACATGGACGGTAGGAATGGCCAAATATCAATGACGGCTGACTTTCCTTGGTTGTCCTTCATCTTGCTGGCAGCGAGCTGAGAATAAGAGCGATGAGAAAGATATTTACACATTTTTGACGCTAAGAATGGTTATACCTTTGATTGGTTCTCGATCTCATCCAATAGCTTTCGGGTGAAGTGCGAAACCATCACGGTCCCCCAACGCACCCTTCAGGAATAAGGGAGCCGAACGTAGAGAAATTTGTGTCATAACATACCTAACATTCTCTTCACCGACACCGGCTCCATGAGGATTCTTCGCGTATGTCTGTAAAGAGAGCGGCGTCCCATAAACTGGACAATGCAACGGCGCTGCGGTGATGCTGGACGGATTATGGATATTGGAAAAAAGCTGGTCCATGAATGCAAAGTTTTCAGAAAGCTTTTTGTCCGCTCCATCCTGGAACTCGTGATCAATCCATTTCTCGTCAGAGATTTCGAGGAGCTCCTCAAAAGGATTGTCGGAAGGAAGCGGCCCATCAAAGAAAAGGTCAACAGTGATCTTCTGCTGTGCCAACGATTAATGTCAGCGCACAACAAACTTCAGGGGTTGGACATACCACATCCTCCCCGCGGATGCAGAAATGTCTGTATGCAGCTCTGATCGCTGCCTTCTTGTCTTTGCACCTATTAATGTAGTTCATAATTGCCTCCTTCACCTTTGTGGCCTTATCCATTGGAAACGTCAACATGTTCCGCTGATTTTTTCATACAACACGAGATCAGCATGAAAGACACGGTATATATATATATATGGACACTGACGTATATAGGCCCCAGAGGATAGGTTTTGACAGTGAATGAAGTAACAATGCCGAAGTTGTTCCCGCCCCCCTATTTCCGTGAAGACTAGGATGAAACCTGAGCATTTGATAAACTCACTCTTATAGCAAAGAAAAGGTCACTATTGCGTTCAGCGGATGCCTTCACTGATTCTCCATTGCACAAGACGACTTGAACCTCGACTAGATTATCTATTCCAAGACCGTACTGGTTGGTCAAGAGAGAGTAACCACCGCCCAGCAGCCAACCAGCCACTCCGACACCAGCAGCGGTAGCCCCGCCGACGATGTTTCGCTTATACTGGGCTATTTCCTTGTAGACCTCATCGAAGAGGCATCCTGCTCCGATGCGTAGATTCTGGGTTTTGCTGTTATATTCGAGTTCGTTGAAATTGGCCATGGAGATCTGGATGCCTGTAGTAGAGCTGAAACCAGGATTGGTGGAATGTCCACCCCCTTTGACCTAGGTAAAGTCATGAAAATGGTGAGACGGACTGATAATAATATACGCACCGCAAATTTCACTTTATCATACGACTTGAAGACCTTCATCTAAATAGCGTTCAATTCGACAAAAATCTACTCAGAAATCGAGCACTGACGATCTTTTTCAAGTCATCGACATTACCAGGTTGAACTGCGCAGCGGGCTACTTCAGAGCTGCTCTCGAATTGGTGAGAGACACTGAATTTATAACCAGCGCCACCTTTGAGATAATACTTCAATGCTGTGGCGTAATGGTCAAGTGAACACCTTACCAAACCGCAAAAACTGCGAAACATGCTTCGAGTTTTTGCAAATCTTCTGAATTTCCTTGGTGGCTTCGACGTATTCTTCCTCGGTCCAAAAATCGGCGTCGTAGCTAGCGTCTGAGTCCCCGTTACTGTCGTCGTCCGACTGATCTAGCTTATCATTGTAGTCAATCGAGGCATGGATTCCTTGGGCTATGGAGCGTTTTCCAGTACTTCCCTAACCTTCTATTGGTGAAATAGACTGATAACACAGTAACAGCACGTACCACACTGCCAGCGTAGGTCACGCTATCCTCAGTACCCTATGATAGAGTGACTTGGGTTAGAGAAATCAAAACGCTGCTGCAATGAGCGACGCACAGACTCATCTGAACTGGCGCTGCCGTAGCCATCATCGTTAACCTGCCATAGAGTATAATGGGTTGGAAATTCCGAATCAAAGCTGGTGCGGTCAGGGACGTACTGAATCAGCTGGGTTCTTGTATCCTGCACCATGGGCAAGACGCTGCGATCACGCGATAATATTAGCGTCCCCAGTGGCGAATTAACTCAGCGAGAAGGAAAACCTACTTGTGCCATGATATGACTTGAAGTAAAAAAGTCGCTTTAAAATTTTGTGAATTGAAGGGGGATCTCTCGAGCGGGTGTTTTGTATAGACAAAATACAACTGGGCTTTTATGAGTGTGGTGACTCTGCCACCATTCGGTTGCCAAGCCATGGCGCAAACAAAGTAGGAGCAAAAACGGTGATGGATGGCCTATGACCTGCGGTGTCTGGTGACTTGTTATCATTCGTATCTTTCTCGGTTCCCTCGAATGTCATTTGAAACTTTGAGCAAAAAAGTCCGGACGCCTTCACGTCATTCAAAGTGAAAAGACCCCAGACTCTGTTCAGCATCTTCGCTTCAAGTTAATGTTGCAGCCATCACCGAGCAGTATGCAATCCTCACCTATGTATCCCCACTGCCGGCATGCCCTGCCCCAACCACTACCGTCTTTTCTTCGTTAATATCTCTCCTTTGTTACTTGACATGGCGCTTCCTGTCGCTGACGTGCCACACACTTAAACTGCATTAGGATGATAATGTTAGCATGTAGCGCATCAATGAATACAACTGTATGATGGATCATGATAGTCTTATATTGGCAAGTGCACCTGTCCAACTACCGTAAAATACAGCGCGCCTTGAGTCCTGGAGCGGGACGAGAGCAGCGAAAGTCACGGAAGAATAGAATTCCGTGCAAATACTCGATAAAATGGGGGGAACTTTACTTGTGAGTTAGAAGAAGGGGGTACTCCGAGTCTGGACAAGCAGAAAGATGGGTAATGAAGAGCACACAGCTGCGAAGCCTACTCATGGCCGTAAAATGGGTCAGAGTGTCTTGTTGTAGGTTGAGTAAATTGAGGTTTGGGTGACCCCTAGGCTATCGTCATCCATACAGTGCACGATAGAGAGTAGTGAACTGTGAGACGGGAACATCCGCGAGGTCGAGGGGAACGAGTGAGTTGTCAAACTCGCTAGTCACAAGTGCAGTGATATTTGGATTGTGTATAGTATGCCGCGGCCAATGTTCAGCAGTAGACCAGTGGTGCATCCCCAGCGAGGCGGTGCCGTCCATGATGCATGATGTTTCTATTCGTCGTTGTCGAGTCACAGGTACTAATCAATGATTAATGAAGCTAGAACTCTGTTACGTAACCCAAATGCTACCGCGCATGTGATTGGCATAGTAGCAGTTTACATCGCGTGTGTTTTGCAAGGGGCCCACATCCCAATATTCTGCTCGGAGAGTTGGATGTTTTATATATATTAACAATTAAGGAATTACAGTGTTAATAAAGGAGAGCGAATACACTAAAAATGCAAGAAGTTAACATGTCGAAGACCTGACGGGGAGAAGATCAAACCGACAAAGCTGAAGTGAAAAGTGGGGGAGGGAAGCATGCGGGGAAGTGAAGACATGTTGAGACCGTTGTATCTACGACATTAAGATGAAGTTGAACAGAGTCTGGGGTCTTTTCATTGTGAATGACGTGAGGTTTTGAAGTCGTTCGAAGGAACCGAGAGAGGTCCGAATGATAACAGGGTACTATGAACTCCTCGGTGATGGCTGCAACATTAACTTGAAACGAAAATGTTGAGCAGAGTCTGGGCCATGGCATGACGTGAGGGTGTCCACTAGGGTCATTGGATAGGCAGAATAGAATATCTTGGAATCTCAAAAATATTTCCAATAGCGATTCTATACTAGAATAATGCGGGGCCCGTACGCTCAGTCATTTATAGATTTAGTCCAGTCCTTGGCCTAGTAAGAATCGGGCATAGTCATTTCCACGCGCAACCACGCCATCAGACATCCAACGACGAAATTATACGTACGGGTGTATAAAGAATTACCATAAGTAAAAGCCCTACAATAAGCGCAGTCCGTGCCCGTTCCAGCGTCATTCTTGCTGACGATAAAGTGGAGTAGCAGTATGAGATGGTGTGCTGGCCACAGATGCAGTGGCGGTGATGGTAGCGGCAGCGAAGGTAACACCGGAGTCCATATTGATGGACACATAAATGCCAGCAGGAATGCGCTCAGAAGGGACCCGAAGATTCTTGCCGTTGATGACTGTAGATAGAGCGTGAGGATCATGAAACAAACACAAAGGTAGTATGGAGTGACCTACTTTCAAGTCTAATATATCATTCTCTTGATCTAATACGGTGGGACGACACAAACGACAAACGACACGCAGCATCGGAAATTGAGAGGGGTTCAGAATGAGTGGTAGGGGAAGGCTGAGGATAGGGGAAATAAGTGGGACTGTGGATGAAATTCGGCTCGGCACGATATATAGACCCTGGTATGACTGCACCAAGCACTGGGAATCGAGATCACTGACCAGGATAAGCGGAAGAATCTGTACAAAAGAGGTAGACAATGTCATGATCAGTCTTCAGTATTCAAAGGTGGCCCGCCAAGGTTGAAGGGGACAGGCGAGTCTCAGTGTCCTGTGTCGAGAGTCGTACTGCTCGGTTAGCACACAGAGGCAAAATGTAGAATCGAGTGTATTTCCTAAGGTAATGGCAATATTCAAACCATTGAAGACGGCGCACAGAGAAAAGCCGAGTGATTCTATACGACTCGTCCGACAGAGCTGACAGTGCCAGATGATCGAGAGCATTGTGAAGATGAGAGCTTCGTCGAAGTTGAAGTGCTCGAGGGAAATTCTTTTAATTTTGGCGAGTTGGATAGGGTCGAACGAGGAATAACTCTACAGGCTATTCTAGATGAGGTCGAGGTAGTCAATTACAAAATTATTAGTGGTGAAATGAGCTCGGATGTGACGAGGGCACCGTGGATAGCTAGCTGCTAGCGCAATGCGCATGAAGCCATCTGTGGAAAAATCACACAAAGCCGCGGCTTGAGCTTGACGCTGCCTTCGGCTTTTCAACACCTCAGGCCGGGCCCTAAGCCGTATGTAGTCAGGCCATGTCTTTGGCCCGGCTTGGCCCGGCCTAATCAGGCTCGGCCTGTGCCGGCTCACGGCTTGAAGCCGGGCCGCGCCCATCACTATCAATGCTTTGACCGGCATTCTTTTTGGAAGGCCCAGGCCCCAGGGCTCTCCGCCTACTACATCGACTACACCCTTTTTAATCAAATTTAATTGTTTTCGTGTATACGAGTTGGAAGTTGGAACTAAAGAACACATAAGGGACCGAAAATATTCACAACATTAACAGTAAGCAATATAATTTATGAAAAACTTGTAATTATCAAAAAGTTGACGGGCACCCAATACAGGGTGGGAGCCCTTCCATACATACATACATACAAATCAACAGTATACTTGGGTTATGGTATGTATCACTTCGAGTTGACAATGCTAGGGTCAAAGCACAGGTTAAGCAACTTCGATAAGCAATGCGGTGCGGAAAGCAGGTGGTAAAAATGAATGAGTTTCACTACGACGCCAAAGGAATCCTAAACCCGCCAGTTCTTCCCATCATGTCGTCAGGATCATATTTTGCACGGATTGTCATAAGCTTTGACAAATTGTTCTTGTAGATGTCCTTGACTGGAGTATCGGCGAGCGAGGTGTTGCAATATTTGGGCAAGTTTTCATTAGTGCACCCCTCTGCCTCTGCCACCTTTCGAATAGATCGCAGGATCTGCACTATAAGCCCGATCCAGTACTTATCGTTGCTCTCTCCTTCCCACTGGAAGCACACGAGCAACGGCCCATTCGGCTGACCTTTCTTGTGTGGCCAGGCGGTGGAAGTGCTTGTGTCAAACATGGACGGTAGGAATGGCCAAATATCAATGACGGCTGACTTTCCCTGGTGGTCCTTCATCTTGCTGGCAGCGAGCTGAGAATAAGAGCGATGAGAAGATATTTACACATTCTGACGCTAAGGATGGTTATACCTTTGATTGGTCCTCGATCTCATCCAAGAGCTTTCGGGTGAAGTGCGAAACCATCACGGTCCCCCAACGCACCCTTTAGGAGTGTGAGTGAACCGAACGTCGAGAAATTTGTTTTATAACATACCTAACATTCTCATCTCCAACACCGGCTTCAGGGGGATTCTTCGCGTATGTCTGTAGAGAGAGCCGCGTCCCATAAACTGGACAATGCAACGGCGCTGCGGTGATGCGGGACGGATTATGAATATGGGAAAGAAGCTGGTCCATGAATGCAAAGTTTTCAGAAAGCTTTTTGTCCGCTCCGCCCTGGAACTCGTGATCAATCCATTTTTCGTCAGAGATTTCGAGGAGCTCCTCAAAAGGATTGTCGGAAGGAAGCGGCCCATCATAGAAAAGGTCAACAGTGATCTTGTGCTGTGTCGACAATTAATGTGAGCGCACCGCCAACTTCAGGGGTTGGACATACCTCTTGCTCTCCGCCGATGCAGAAATGTCTGTATGCAGCAACGATTGCTGCCTTCTTGTCTTTGCACTTATCAACGTGGTTCATAATTGCCTCCTTCACCTTTGTGGCCTTATCCATTGGAAACGTCAACATGTTCCGCTGATTTTTTCATACAACACGAGATCAGCATGAAAGACACGGTATATATATATATATGGACACTGACGTATATAGGCCCCAGAGGATAGGTTTTGACAGTGAATGAAGTAACAATGCCGAAGTTGTTCCCGCCCCCCTATTTCCGTGAAGACTAGGATGAAACCTGAGCATTTGATAAACTCACTCTTATAGCAAAGAAAAGGTCACTATTGCGTTCAGCGGATGCCTTCACTGATTCTCCATTGCACAAGACGACTTGAACCTCGACTAGATTATCTATTCCAAGACCGTACTGGTTGGTCAAGAGAGAGTAACCACCGCCCAGCAGCCAACCAGCCACTCCGACACCAGCAGCGGTAGCCCCGCCGACGATGTTTCGCTTATACTGGGCTATTTCCTTGTAGACCTCATCGAAGAGGCATCCTGCTCCGATGCGTAGATTCTGGGTTTTGCTGTTATATTCGAGTTCGTTGAAATTGGCCATGGAGATCTGGATGCCTGTAGTAGAGCTGAAACCAGGATTGGTGGAATGTCCACCCCCTTTGACCTAGGTAAAGTCATGAAAATGGTGAGACGGACTGATAATAATATACGCACCGCAAATTTCACTTTATCATATGACTTGAAGACCTTCATCTAAACAATGTTCAAATCGACAAAAATCCACTCAGAAATCGAGCACTGACGATCTTTTTCAGGTCATCGACATTACCAGGTTGAACTGCGCAGCGGGCTACTTCAGAGCTGCTCTCGAATTGGTGAGAGACACTGAATTTATAACCAGCGCCACCTTTGAGATAATACTTCAATGCTGTGGCGTGATGGCCGAGTGAACACCTTACCAAACCGCAAAAACTGCGAAACATGCTTCGAGTTTTTGCAAATCTTCTGAATTTCCTTGGTGGCTTCGACGTATTCTTCCTCGGTCCAAAAATCGGCGTCGTAGCTAGCGTCTGAGTCTCCGTTACTGTCGTCGTCCAACTGATCTGGATTGTCATTGTAGTCAATCGAGGCATGGATTCCTTGGGCTATGGAGGGTCTGCCAGTACTTCCCTAAACCTTGTATTGGCGAGGCAGACTGATAGCACAGTAACAGTACGTACCATACTGCCAACGTAGGTCGTGCCATCCTCAGCACCCTAGATAGAATGCCTTGGGTTAGAAAAATCAAAAGCTGCTGCAGTGAGCGACACACAGAATCATCTGAATTGGCGCTGCCTGCATGGCCATCATCGTTAACCTGTCATAGAGTAAAATGGTTTATAAATTCCGAATTAAAGCTGGTGCAGTCAGGGACATACTAGATCAGCTGGACCGCAGGATCCTGCACCGTGGGCAAGATGCTGCAATCAGGCGACAATATCAGCGTCGCCGGTGGCAAATTCACTCGGCAAGAAGGAAAACCTACAGGTGCCATGATATAACTTGTTGCTTTATTTGTAAATTGAAGGAGGATCTCTCAAGCGGGGTGTGTTTTGTATGGACAAGATACAATTGGGCTTTTATGAGGTACACGTCACAGTGATGCAGTGATTGGGGTATTTCCCCCACTCTGGTGCTTCGCGCCCGTGCTGCGGAACCAGGCACGAATTCCGTTGAGTGAGGAGCTCTTTCAATTGTTCGTGCACTGCAAAGCGGGCCGCCCGTTCACTACGATATGCAGAAATCCGGTCACAATGAAGCTCCGGAACCATGCTACGTAACAGGTTCAGGCGTTACGTGCGCCCTGGCCTGTGCATTCCAGATCGAGATGGGATGACTGTAAAGTGACAACTTGGCCATCTAGCGGGTTCCAAATCCTGGATCTAGCCGCAGGCCCCGAAAATGGATCTTGAGAGCTGCGACATCAGAGCGCGGTCTAAAGACGAATACTGTCTACGGAAACAGACGCTCAGGACAGCCATCCGAGTGCTATACGTTGACCCGCGCCCATGAGATCGACTTAAGGACTGCTCAACCAAGTTGACAAGGCGGACGCCATAGAAGGCAGCCAGCTTCGAGATGCTGAGGAGCGATGACCCAGTACTAACCGGCCTGCATTAATCTGGATTAGCCTATGTACTGCAAAGAGTACAAGCACCATAGTTCAAAACAAAGTGAAGGGATCTTTAAGCTTGAGCTTGAATTCGGTGAGTTGATACGGTAATAGAGTATGTCGGAAAAAAGTACATGCCATTGTAATGCCGCCGGCTTACGACTTGGGTCATGTGCATTAAAAGGTACATTACAAGTGCCTTTCAAGGGCGGCTGAGGTCATCACAAGCGTGAGATTGTCTTATGAAATGATATCGATAAACAATAATGTTCATCGATTGTACAGTATCGCATCGTCGCTATCAGCATGGGTCCCTCTCGCACTCATCGAAGCAAATACAACTTCTCAGAAGAAACTCTGACAGGGCAGCTTTCATGCCCGCATTGTAGCAAGAAGTTCAAGACCCAAGGCTTCAAGAAGCACGAAGCAAGCTGCAAGAAGCAGAAGGACACCAAGGCGGAACGAGCAGAGTTTGCCCTTCAATATGCACGAGATCAGAGGAGAGGTGAGTCCTCTGCTACCCATTCTTGATGGTTTCCTTTGACAATATTGAGGTATGCAGCTCGGCAGCAGGCTTACACTGACATGGGCATGATAACGCCCAGCGCTGGCCCATCGCGATCAGTCGCTGGGATTCAGAACGCGCCCCCTGTGATCAAAGATCATGGTCCTCTAGGTATGTCTCGCATATTCTTTGCGTGTCCCTACAATGCCAACTGACACTAGCTGACTCTGTGTTGCCAGCAGATAACCCAAACACTGGTGATTTCGAAGCTTACGATGGCAACTTCGAAGGTGCTGGTAGCCTAGGTAAGTGTGCACCATATTCACCTGTATCGCTTACTGATTCTTTTGCATAGCCAACAGCCAGCGAGGTTCTGTTGAACCGCAACCTGTAATACCTCCTCCACAACCCATTGAATTCAAAACGGTCTATCATCCTTCTGCTCGTCGTGAACCGCTCCTTCAAACATTTGAGGAGTTTGACGTCAATACGCGCCCTGAGGAAGAGCTTCCCGTAGATGAAGAGCCCTGGCGTCCTTTCTGTTCCCGTGGTGACTTCGAGTTTGCGGAGATCGCACTCAATGCCGCCCTCAACAAGTCACACATTGACGGGCTCCTTGCGCTTATTGGCCGCATATCGAGAGGGGAGAGCCGAGTCACTTTTAAAAATGACATTGAGCTGCGCAAAGCTTGGGAACACGCAACGGCTCAGGTGACGCTGGTATGTCATTAATTAATCTCACATTTTGTATGATATATGTTGTGAATTAGTTTGTAAAACACGACATCACCGTTCCTTATAAGAAAGAACAACGAGTATATGAGACCCACGCGCTGCCTCTGTGGGACTGGGCCCTTGATTTGCTAGCTAATCCGCTGCTTGCTCCGCATTTTGTCTGGGACGCACAACAAGTTTTCAAGCATAACGGCAGGGGAGTTTGAACGCTTTTACAACGAGCCGTGGACGGGTGATCGATGGTGGGACATACAGGCATGTAATATCTATTTAATGTTACTATCCACTCTCACTCAGCATCAACAAACCAGAGTCGCCTTCCAAATGACATTAAGGCTGCTCCGTTCTGCTTCATCCTGTACATGGACAAGACAAGACTGTCGTCCCATGGTACAGTAAAGGGATATCCTGTCGTGGTCCGTTGCACGAATTTGCCAGTTGGCATACGAAACGGAGAGGGTATTGGTGGTGGCCGTGTTGTCGGGTGGTTGCCAATCGTACGTCAACATTCTGATTGAATCTTCTGACGTGACTCATTATAGTTGCAGGTATCTGAAGATGCAGACGAAGAAGGCAAGCCAGGGTTCATAAACCTCAAGCGCGTCGTATGGCATGAGGCATTCTTAAAGCTGTTGGAACTGGTTGCGCAATACTCAAAGTCTGGCTATTCACATACTTGCTATGACAAGATCGCGCGCTGGCTGTTTCCCATTATTCTGATACTATCTGCTGATTATGAAGAACAGTAAGTTCTGTATTCTTACACACAGTGTCCGCAATCTGATATCAGACTGTTTCTAGATGCATGATGTCTCTCATTCGCGGCCACCATAGCAAATGTCCCTGTCCGGTATGTCTTGTACCACTCGAGGAACTTAGCGAGCTATCAAAGACGTTTGCATTTAGATCAGTGGAAGAAGCAATAGCCGCACTCAATGTTTACAAGGTCAGCAAAGCTCAAGGCGAGGAACTTCTCAAGGCATTAGGATTGCGCGCTGTCACGGTAAGTCAGCAGTGATATTCACTCTCTCGTTTCGCCTCCGCTTGCTTGTAAATTACAGGTTCAAGCAGAGTAGCTTCCAGACTGCCACTCTTGCTGTTTTAAAGCAGAGGGATGCTCGCGCACTGGACCTCAATCCTTTTAGACTGCCGCTCTCGCTGTTTTAAAGCAGAGGGATGCTCGCGCACTGGACCTCCGGCAAGATTCCCCATAGTTCTGTGTTTTAGTTATCTGATAATTCTCCTCTTCCTGCCCATCTCCTTCATATCTCGTTATCCCATACAATTCTGATCTTCGCTAATACATCAACAGAATGTTTTCTGGCTCATTTCCCACTCTGATCCTCATCAAGCCATCAGTTTTGACCGCCTTCATGCCCTCCATCTTGGCATGTGGAGGCACCTACTCGAGGAGTTGAAGAAAATCCTCAAAGCACTTGGACGTGATGAAGAGTCAAAGGTTGAGAAACAGTAAGTCATTCACATCGCGATTCTCATCAACTCATGACCTTCGGTAGGGTTGCTAGTTTCCCTCGATGGCGCAATCTTAATCATTTCAGCACCGTCATCCACATTACCTTCAGTGATGGTAACAAGATGCAAGATCTATCCAAGGTACATATCATGAGGCTTTTGGCTTTCTAATACTGATTGCTGCGCAGCAAGTCTTTTATTCTGCGGTAAACGTCTTCAACCAGAGGACGAGCCCAGAAGGGTACAAACTTCTCCGCGTTATTAGCAGCTATCTGCAATTGGACAGCTATATCGGTCTCGACGTGCATACATCAAGCACGCTGGCAGCAATTGATGCTGAACTACTCGTTTTTGATAGCGCACTCAAGGTAAATGTCACAACCCTTATAACGAATTAACGCAGGGGCAGAGACTAGGACTCAAATGAAGGTATCACGACAAGAAGATAGAGGATAGCAGGTACGTCTTAGGATTGCTAGCAGTAAGCTAATACAAAAGAGGTTTGAACTGAAGAACTACTGACTACAATGAGCTACCTATATACATTTATTGAAGCGGAGACTGAATCTGAATCTGAACTAACTAGCCAATCATTAAATAGAAAAGGGAATCGTACGATGATCTAAATATAACTACACCTATGATGTCATGGAACGTGTGATGGCTGTGCAAGGGTTCTCGAAGGTTCTAGAGTCACGTGACTTGATCGCTTGAGTAAGGAAGTCGAAATCAGGGATGTCGGAGATAGAAGTAGTGGGCGCTAATGGAATAGAGAAGTTCGGATTAGGGTTTGTGAAGGTTATAGGTATAGACGTTGACTGAGCGCTAATGACAGGCGCTTGTGATGGGCGCTTAACAGGTGTTTTACGAGTGTTCAAGAAAGAGTAATGGTTTGTATTTGGAATTCGTGACATTACCCCCTCTCTAGGATGAGCGTCATCGCGAATGTAGGATGGTCGGATATTTTTCTCTCTCCATTGTTTGAATGCATCCGTATTAAGAATAGATCCTAGAATTCTTTTGGATTTGGCAGCCGTGGGATTTTTCTTATGAAATTCTGCAATTAGAATCGGGGAGTTTGTAACGTTTTCTTCTGGCTCCCATGTCGACTCTTCTATTGGATATCCTTCCCATTTTACTCGGTATTGCACTTTTCCTCGGAATTGTCGGCTATCTAGTACTTCTTCTACGACAAATTCTTCCTGATCGTCAACAATGTCTGGAGGTGGTCGGGTGGGTTGAGAGTGAGGGATCAATTGAGATGCATAATACGGAGTAAGCAATTCTACATGGAAAACCGGGTGAATCTTATAGCTCTCTGGCAACTTCAATTTATAGTTCACTTCGCCGGTCTTCTCTAGTATTTCAAAGGGCCCAAGACGACGATCTGACAACTTTTGACTTGGACGACGTTGTTTAATGTTCTTTGCGTCTAGCCAGACCTTGTCTCCCTTTTGATACTGAGGTGCGTCTTTAACTCCTTGGTCATAGAAGCGTTTCATGCGTTCATTAACCATCTTTAGAGTGTTTTCCGCATCATCTCGTGCTTCTCTCATTTGATCTGCCCTCTCATCGGCGGCGGGAATAAAGGATGTGGAGTTCGGAGATACAGTGAATTCGGGATTATATCCATAAAGGACTTTGAACAGACTATGACCGGTTACTGTGACTGCATTGTTATGTGAGAATTCTGCTATTGGCAGCCAAGATACCCAATCATTTTGTCTATACGAGGCAAACATGCGCAAGTATTGTTCAACTTCTTGATTTACACGTTCTGTCTGTCCATCTGTTCTGGGATGATAGGAGGTCGAAGCAGACCATTTCGTTCCTAATCTTTTCGATACTTGTCCCATAAACTTCGAAATGAACTGTGTTCCTCTATCTGAAATCACTTTCTTTGGTGTACCATGATGTTTCCATATGTTCTTTAGAAATAGCTCGGCAATTCCTTTCGAGTCTACATCTTTGGTGGTGGGAATGAAATGTGATTGTTTCGAAAATCGATCAACGACAATGAATATACTGTCACATCCTTCACTCTTCGGCAAGTCCACTATCAGGTCGCATGAGATCGTTTGCCAAGGTCCTTCTGGGACTTCATTTGGCTGTAAAGGTCCCGTTGGTCTACTTGGGAACACTTTTGTCTGCTTGCATCGATTGCAACCGTCTACGTAATCATGGACATACTTCGTCATTGAAGGCCACCAATAGTTTCTGGAAATCAATTCTAGGGTTTTGGCACGTCCAGGGTGTCCAGCCGGTGGAGAGTCGTGAAACAACTCCAATATCTCTCGGCGGATCTCTTTATCATTTGGAACGTATACCAATCCTCAGAATAACACCAATCCGTCCTCAACATTCTATTCTTCGATTCCTCTGCGCAATTGTACCGGTGCTGCTTTTAGCGTCTCTAGCGCTTTCATTACTTCGGGCTCTCGTTCTGTGCTCTTTCTTATTTTCTTCATGAGCGAACTTTCTCCTTCTATGAGAATTTGGCCTCTTTTAGCAGCATTGATTTTGAAAAATTCCGGTTTCAACAAAATGCGGTTAGAGTTATCGTTTTCTACCCCCCCTCTGTGGTCTTCTCTCCGAGATAGACGGTCGGCTTTGTCATTGACTACACCAGGCTTATGTTGGAGCGTAAATTCGTACTCCGCCAGGAACAAACTCCATCTGGCTTGCCTTCTTGTCAACTTTTGACTCGTCATGAAATATTCGAGATTCTTATGATCCGTCCAGATCTCCACATGTTGGGGTTTTCCCTGCACATAGTGCCTCCACTCTTCCAACGCACGAATGATTGCTAATAACTCTTTATCATGAATGTCGTAATTTCTCTCTGCATCATTCATCGATTTCGAGTAATAAGCTACTGGGTGCCATAGGTTATCTTCCATTAGTTGAGATAGAACTGCTCCTGTTGCATAATCGGAAGCATCGGTTTCTATTTTCATTTTTTTCTCAACGTCCAGCATTACTAAGACGGGAGCTTCTGTAAAACGCTTCTTTAACTCATCGAAGGTGTTCTGCTGTCTCTCTGTCCAATCCCATTTGGCATCTTTCCTCAGCAAATCATTCATTGGTCTAGCAATGTCTGAGAACCCAAGTATAAATCTTCGATAGAAGTTGGCAAAACCCATGAATGCTTGTATTTCTTTTACGCATTTGGGAACAGGCCATTTCAATACTCCTTCTACCTTGACGGGGTCCATAGACACACTGCCTTTTTCCACAAGCAACCCAAGGAACTCGACTTTAGACTGCTCGAAGCTACATTTCTCAGGCTTCAAGAACAGGTCGTTCTCTTTTAATCGTTTGAGTACTTCTCGCACAACCTTCTGGTGTTGCTCTCTATTTCCATACGTAAAGACCAAGATGTCATCGATATAAACGACCACTGTTTTGCCGTCTATTAAATCTCTGAATATCTCATTCATCATGGTCTGGAAAGTTGCTGGAGAGTTCGTCAACCCAAAATACATTACGGTTGGTTCGTGGTGACCAAAAGGCGTTTTGAAAGCTGCCTTCCATTCATCTCCTTCTTTCATCCGAATATTATTATACCCCCATCGTACATCCATCTTGGAGTACATCGTGGCACCGGTAAGGGCATCAATTAGGTCTTGAGATCTCAGTAGCGGATACGCATTTTTAACCGTTTTCTCATTAAGCCTTCTATAGTCCATAACAGGTCTCAGTTTGCCATCTTTTTTGGCCACAAAGAAGAAAGGTGCTGCAACTGGAGATTGTGAGTCTCTAATACGTCCTAGTGCAGTCTCGGCTTTTAACCAATCTTTCAAAGTGTCCATCTCCTTCGGTGACAAGGGATAAGGTTTCGCATTCGGAGGAAGATCATTGTCATCCTTAAGATCCACAGCATGATCCCATTTCTTTCTTTCAGGGAATCGTTTGGACTCTTCTTCTGAGAACACTCCCAGGTAATCGTGAAGCCAGTCTGGAACCATCTCTTCTACAGACTTCTTCTTCTTTGTAGCTTCTTCTGCTACTTTCTGCTCCGTGGCAACCGAGGCTTTATATCTAATCCATCTTTCAGGACTATCCTCGTCTTCTACCTCTTCACAGGTCGCCTTCTTCATCTCCATGTCTTCATCGTCATCCTCTTCTGTGGGAATCAGATCCGGAATCACATCTGTCTGTTTTTGTGCTTTTTCTGTTTTCTCTATTTTTTTTGCCTTTGTTCCTTTTTCGTAATACATTTAAGCGGACACCTAGATAACGAAAACTGTCCTGCATTCCAGTCTATTTCTGGATTGTGATATCTTAACCAGTCAATGCCGATAATAACATCATCGCTTCCTAAGTCTGTAACCATGAAGGCTGCTTTGTCTTCTACATGGTCACCGACTTTTAGACTTAGTTCGGCGAAATGGGTCATTGATCCAGCGGCATTTAAAGAACCATCTATGTTCTTTACCGGAATAGGCCTTAATAATTTACGGCATATTACATCATTCTTTTTCACAAACTTCTCGTTGATAAATAATGTTGATGCACCACAGTCCACAAGTGCTTTCACGTCTGCTTGTCGGTTCTTTCCTTTCAAGGTAATCGGAATGTAAAAATGCTCTGATTTCGATCGCAAATATACTTCTGTTACATCCGAGAACGTAGATAAGATGGAGAAACGATTGTTCGGGTCTAAGTCCGCAGACTCTAACTCAGACCTCTCTAAAAACCCTTATCTCCTTTGGCTTTGATATAGTCTTTAAACCATTGGGGCATCGAGTCTTCCTTTGGCACTTCAGTAGCCTTCACTTGCGCTTTTGGAGCGCCCTTGCAGTTTCTCGCCATATGTCCTTCTTTACCACAACAATAGCAGTTGAAAGAACCAGTCTTTCCTTGAGGTTTGGGAGTTCCTCTCTGTTTGTTGGCGTCGACGTCCATGGCGTTACTGTCTCTGTTGGGACCAGCCCTTGGTTCGAAGTTTCTCGCAGCCCTGTTAGGGGTCCAGAAAGAAGTCTTCTTCTTTTCCGCATCTAACTCCTCGAAGTTTCGTCCTATTTGGATTGCATGCTCTATTAATTTCTGCATGTTGTCCTTGTCCTTGTAGGCGATGTGAGCGAGTTGTAACTTGACACGGTCTTGAAGTCCTGCTCTATACTTCTGTACGTAAGTCATAGTCGGAGAACCTGGTGTGTGCAGCTTTTTGTTTGAAAGTAGCTGTATACTCTGGGACGGTAGAGGAATCCTTGTCTTAAGGAATCCAATTCCCGAACTGCCTTGCCTTCAAGGTCTTCTTGTGCCCACATAGCGGTGAAGTCTTCATCCAACTTCTTCATAGTGAGAGTTCCAGTAGCATGTTCTTCAATGTAGAACTGCGCCCATTTAGCAGCAGATCCTTTCATGAACGAAAGCATGATTGAAATTCTTTGCCTTTCTGTGATGCTGGGCCATTGCGTCATATAGAGCGCTATTTGTGTTGCCCACATCTTGGCATCGATGGAATCTTTGTCTCCTGTGAATTCTGTGGGTTTAGCCATTTTGATTGAGGATCGCGGATATTCGCAAGATGCTCAGATCAAAGAGAAAGAGGTGCAAGCGGTAATGCGTAGAGTCGGAGTCCCCTATAGTTCAAACCTAATGTCACAACCCTTATAACGAATTAACGCAGGGGCAGAGACTAGGACTCAAATGAAGGTATCACGACAAGAAGATAGAGGATAGCAGGTACGTCTTAGGATTGCTAGCAGTAAGCTAATACAAAAGAGGTTTGAACTGAAGAACTACTGACTACAATGAGCTACCTATATACATTTATTGAAGCGGAGACTGAATCTGAATCTGAACTAACTAGCCAATCATTAAATAGAAAAGGGAATCGTACGATGATCTAAATATAACTACACCTATGATGTCATGGAACGTGTGATGGCTGTGCAAGGGTTCTCGAAGGTTCTAGAGTCACGTGACTTGATCGCTTGAGTAAGGAAGTCGAAATCAGGGATGTCGGAGATAGAAGTAGTGGGCGCTAATGGAATAGAGAAGTTCGGATTAGGGTTTGTGAAGGTTATAGGTATAGACGTTGACTGAGCGCTAATGACAGGCGCTTGTGATGGGCGCTTAACAGGTGTTTTACGAGTGTTCAAGAAAGAGCAATGGTTTGTATTTGGAATTCGTGACAGTAAATGTTTTGTTCATTCACTTTTTAAATAGATTGTTGATCACACATTCTAGGACTACATTGAATGCGTTCTCAATTCTCCCATCGAGGGTCTTAAGCTTGACTGGGACTTTCCAAAGGCGCATCTCTGGAAGCACGCAACTAGGGACATCCGAATGAAGGGTGTAGTACGCAACTACAGCACCCGTCCGAATGAGAAGCTTCATGGCCCCCTCAAAGAGGCCTACGAGCGCCAGTCGAATGGAAAGGATGTCGCTGACCAGGTATGTTTCTAACATCATAGTATCTGATGTTCGCTCATGTAAAGACCTCGTTAGATACTCCGTGTTGACAAGCGCAAATTCGCAGTCAAAATGTTGAGAGCGCACGTGGACGTACTTGACGACCGGCGCACATTGGCAGAAGAGGGCAATGATGACGATGAAGTCCCGAATCCCGTTGCTTTCGAGGGGCACATCAAACTTGGTTCGACACAACAGCCCGTAGCCATCCAAGACATCGAGAACCACAGCGGCCAATTGGATCGGGCGTTTCAAGGCTTTCATAAGAAGTTTTCTGACTTTATCAACAACTCATTACCGACGTACGGATATCAACTGGAGAGATGGGTTACCATACCCACAAACTTCTTGGTGAGTTGATCTTGTTTTGTAAATGTCTTGTACTGATTTATGTATTTCTGAACTAGATTCACGAACATCGATATCTCAAAGTTCACTACGAGTCTTCCGTCGACTGGAAGCAAACTACCGACTACCTCCGATGCACTCCAAGCTTCCATGGGCACCCGCGCTATGACTGTGCACTTATAAAACTCACTCAGGAAGTATCGGTCTTTGTTCGCCTTGTTTTTATATTCAGTTGTCAGCTTCTGGATGTTGGTTCCTTCGAGTTTGCACTGGTTCAGCCATTCACTGCTGGCATTGGTGCTTCTCGCAGGTTGGACCGTGATCTACGACTTACTCGTGTCAAAGCCGTCCCAAGGGCAAGTTCAATCTTCATTCCAGTCCAGTCTTTCATTCGTGGCGCTGTTTGTTTCCCTGATCCTGATCACCGAGATGAATTCCTCGTGGTCGACCACATCGATAGTGACATGTTTGTGCGCATGAAGTCACGTCCAGCACGCCAGTGACGAGCTCCAATGTCTCGTCCATTTCACTTCCACCTCTAGCACCCTGAATCAGAACTACAATGTCCAGATATGTACGTGGATCTCTCTTTTCTTAACATCACCTCGTCTGACTGCACTCTGATTCAGCTCCACTCTCCCATATCTCCAATGACACAGCCATCTCCTCTTCCCGCACCATGACATCAGGCAGCGTTCTACAAACAGCGCTCTGTTATCTGGAAGCTATCCGCACCAAGGTCCCAGAGTTGGTCTCATGGGAGAAGGGTTGCCCTGGGTCCACTTGCGAAAGGGAATCAGCTGAACGTATTGTCCAGGGTGAGGTCAGCACATTTTGCGCTGGCCTTGATGGATCTACCTCTTCTTCGCAAATGTCGGCAGGCAATCAATGGCTTGCTGGACACTATTCGTGTCAACCCTCTTACACTTGAGGCCGAATCCACATTCGTAGAGCCGGTATTCGACGCAGAAAAAGTGTCTCTGCACCAATACTCAGCTCCGCTCTCCCATATCTCCAACGACACAGCCATCTCCTCTGCCCACACCATGCACTGCTCAGCTCCGCTCTCCCACATCTATGAGTTGATGCAGGGTCTGGAGCTCGCCAAAACACTCCTTTGTCGAGAAAATCTTAAGCGCAACTACACACAGCAAACGCTACAGGTTTGGGACAAGCACTTTGAGTTTGCCGAGCTCAAGCGCAAATTTCCCTCGTTGGGTACTAACTGCTACTGCGAACGCAAGCATGGGCTTAGGCACAGGCAGGGGCAAAATCATCGAAATCATCGGCAAAGTTCGATGTGCCGTTCCTCGCTAACCGACCCTCCAAACACCTCCAACACCCCTCCCCCCCCCGAAATGCCTTCTCAGAGGACGAAGAGCTTTCATTCGACAAAGAAAGAGTAGCAAAGAAGCCCAAAAGGAACGTGACCACGGGTATGAGGACGTGGTGGAGGTGTCATATACCATATATCCGGTTACAGATCCGATGATCTGGATCTCAGATCCGATCCAGATCCGATGAACATATCCGTCGTCCGGTCCACAGATCCGCTTCGATTCTTATTTCATTTCCTGTTCATATAACTCTAACTATCGTTCATCTCCTTTCGGTATTCCTGTACACCAGTATACCGGTTATCCTTTACTTCCGCTTTGCTTACTGATCCGCTATGCTTACTGATCCGCTACACTTACGAATCCGCTTTTACTTGTACTTCATTCCCGGTTCATGATTCGTGATCCATCCAACTTACCAATACGCTCCACTTAGACTTTGCTTATACTTTCGTACATAGCCTCGCACCTTTGCTTATGGATCATTCCGTTAGCTATCCGTAGTATATAAACCTTTGTATATGCGCTGTAGTAGATCAGTTCGAATATCATCTTAGATTGCACTCATTCCGTCTGGACTCTAAGTCCCTCCGTTATCCGTCCGGACTTGAGTACGCTACTCTTGTCTACTCCGAGACTTAGGATAGATTCCTATAGTCTACATATCCGCCTCTGTCTTCGGACAGTCCTCACCCGTTAGTTTCTAGTCCGGATCCGATCCGGATTGGCCGTTACTCTATATACGCGATACTTTAGCTCTCTGAAATAAGGGGCAAGACTCGGGAAAGGGGCACAGCGCACGAGCTGAGGCCGAAGCCCTTCGGATCCGATACTACTTGAGTACGGTCTTAACAGTATATTCGAACTCATACCTTTCCGAGTTACTTAACATCTATCATGCCTCCTACCAAGACACAAACAACTCTGCACGCGGTCGGACTAACCTCCCTCCGTCGTGATCCGACACCTATAGTCAACACCTTCACCAGTTTCTCTCAGCGCCGTGTTAGCACCCACGGAACTGCTCAAACCATATCCGAACTCCTTAATCGTCGACACCCCGGAAACCCCAACACGCACTCCCACCGTAGGACCTCCGGACGATGATGATCCCGATGATGGTGATGATGATTTCCCTGGTAATCCACCCGATGATAACGGTGGTGATCCGGATGATGATCCGGATGTTGAGGATGATGAAAATGACGGTCTAAACCCACAAGACCGCGTTATGCTTCGACTCTCAGAAGCCATCGATAACCTTGCTCGCAATAATCGTCGCGCGCCCGCATCCGAAGATTCTAGAGTCAAGGTCTGAGAACCGGATACCTTCGACGGATCCGAACCACGGAAGCTCCGTGCGTTCTTCGTCCAGTGTGAGCTTAACTTCCAGAGCAAGCCTAAGGCTTTCCGTACCGGAAGGGCTAAAGTCAACTTCGCCCAATCCTACCTTAAGGGTATGGCCCTTGAATGGTTTGAACCGGATCTCCTGTCCGATGATTTGGACGACCATCCGGATTGGATGGATGACTATTCCGTGTTCATGCTTGAACTCCAAGCCAACTTCGGGCCTCATGACCCATCCGGTGATGCAGAAATGCAGCTCGAACAGCTCCACATGTGCGATGGACAGCGCATCAACAAGTACGTTGTGGAATTCCAGCGTCTTGCTTCACAGGTTCGTGGCTGGGGCGACGGAGCCTTACGACGCCAATTCTACAACGGACTCCCGGCCCGTATCAAGGATGAAATCAGTCGCATGGGTAAACCCTCTACTCTTTCCGAATACAAAGTCCTCGCTCAGACTATCGACGCCCGATACTGGGAACGGAAGGGAGAGATCTCTCGAGAAGCTAAACCCACTTCATCCACTACCCCTAAGCAATCTGCTTCTGACCGGACGAACTCCAATACGTCCGGATCCGGAAATCACAAATCCGGAAACTCCAATGATCAGAAGTCTACAAAGCCATCCGCGTCCTCGAACTCGTCCGCTCCTAAGGTTCCGGATCTTACTTCCAAGCTGGGTAAGGACGGAAAGTTAACGTCCGAAGAGCGGCAGAGAAGGATGAACAAGAAACTCTGCTTATTCTGTGGTGGACCCGGTCATACTGCTCGGGAATGCACCAAGTCTACTTCGCGTGCTGCCAAAGGCCGCGCTGCAGTAGTCGCTCCGGAAGTCAAACCGGATGTCTCTACTGAGACAAAAAAATAGTCCACGACTCTCCTAGCTCCGTGCAGGAAGAGGGTCGCGTTGACTCTGCCTGCACAAAGGAGTTAAGACTCAACGCTGTCGCGCTCTCGGATCCGACTTCCCTCTGTCCATATGTTTCACTTCCGTTACTTCCATCCGTATCCGAATTTCCAGCTCTTGTAGATTGTGGTTCTTCTCATTGTTTCATAGATACTGCGTTCATCCGAAAACACAAAATCCTTACATATCCGATACCTACGATTCCGCTCCGCTTGTTTGATGGTACTTGTAATAATACTATTTCCGAAGCTATAGATTTGTCCGTCCGCTTTCCGTCCGGTGTAGTCACCTCTGATACGTTCTACGTTACCCCTTTGGATTCATCTTGTTTTAATCGTTCTTGGATATAGCTGGCTCACCCGACACAATCCGTTGATTGACTGGGTTTTGGGCAGCATCGAATTCCGGACGACATCTCATGGAATGCCATCGACCCCTCCGACGTCACTTCCGTCCTCGGATATCCCTCCTCCGACGGAAACCATACCTCCTCCGACTACATCCGTACCCTCCGCTGATAACACTGTTCCTAATATATCCCTAATCAATGCAGTTGCCTTTGCCGGGCCTGCAAGTTAGAAGGATCGGTCCAGTTCAGTATATACCTTCGACCATCCGGTGTCGATCTCCGATCCGCTTCTCTATCGTCCGATCCTCCGGATCTATCCCAAATTCCTTCGGACTATCACGAGTTTGCGGATGTCTTCGACAAGGGAAAGGCTGGTCAGCTTCCTCCACATCGTCCTTATGATCTGAACATAGATCTGGAAGAAGGAACTAGTCCTCCCCTCGGAACTATCTATTCGCTATCTCCCCGGTCGAGCTTGCAGCCCTCCGGAAGTTTCTTGATGAAAATATTGCCTCTGGACTTCTCCGCTCCTCATCCTCTCCTCACGGAGCTCCGGTCCTATTTGTCAAGAAAAAGGACGGATCCCTCCGCCTTTGTGTGGATTTCCGTGGACTCAACCAGATCACTAAGAAAGACCGATATCCATTACCCCTCATTGCCGACCTATTAGACTCTCCGAGCCGTGCTAAAGTTTATACCAAAATCGACCTCCGATCCGCTTATCATCTTGTCCGGATAGCGGAAGGGGACGAATGGAAGACTGCCTTCCGAACGCGCTATGGCTCCTATGAATGGTTGGTGATGCTGGAAGGTCTCACTAACGCTCCAGCAGCATTCCAGCGCTTTGTCAATAGCGTGTTGCTGATATGCTGGATGTTATGCGTTTATCGTATATCTGGACGACATCCTCATCTATTCCATGACCTTGCGTCCCACAGGCACACGTCCGAGAAGTACTCCGTCGACTCCGTAAACATCGTCTCTATGCCAAACCCGAAAAATGCGAATTCCATTCCACCTCCGTTGAATATCTCGGATATCTCCTATCTCCGGACGGCTTAACTATGTCGTCCGTAAGATCCAGCTATTACTGACTGGCCGGAACCTCGGAAAGTCAAGGATATCCAATCCTTCCTCGGATTCGCAAATTTCTATAGACGGTTTATATTCAACTACTCGATATCGTGGTTCCGTTAACACGGCTTACACGCAAGGATGCTCCGTGGAACTTTTCCGATGAATGTCGGAAATCCTTCGAAGAACTCAAGAAGCCTTCACTACGGCTCCGGTGCTTACGCACTGGATGCCGGATGTTCCTATAGTTGTGGAAACCGATGCCTCTGACTACGGCTATAGCTGGAATACTATCCATAGTATGTCCGGACTCAGAGCTTCGTCCGGTAGCGTTCTACTCTCGAACGCTAACCGCTTCCGGAACTTAACTATGACCACCCACGATAAGGAACTCCTAGCTATATACGAAGCTTTCCGGACCTGGCGACATTATCTAGAAGGCTCGGCCGAGCCTGTAGATGTTGTCACGGACCACAAGAACCTTGAGTACTTCGCCACTACCAAACTCCTCTCTCTCGCCGTCAGGCCCGCTGGTCGGAATTCCTCCATCAGTTCAATCTTGTCATCCGCTTCCGTCCCGGAAAACTCGGAGTTAAACCGGATTCCCTTACTAGACGCTGGGACGTCTATCCCAAAGAGGGGGATAAGGACTACGCTCGAGTTAACCCTCATAACTTCCGTCCGGTATTCACGTCCGAACAGTTAGCTTCGTCCCTACGAGCCTCAACCTTAGCAACTCCGGTTCTTAGAGCAGCTGTTCTAATGGATATTGATGACCTTCGGAAAGACATCCTGACCGCACTTCCTAATGACCCTATTGCAACCAACCATCTTCCGGTACCTTCAGATCCGAGATGGACAGTGGACGATAGGGGTTTCCTCCGTTGCGACAACCGTATATATGTCCCAGAATCCGATAACCTTCGACTTCGCGTCCTCCGTAATACTCATGATCACCCCTTATCCGGACATTTTGGTCAAAACCGAACCCTAGACCTCATCCGACGCGAGTATACATGGCCGGGTATACGCACCTATGTTAAGGACTACGTCCGGTCCTGCACTACCTGCGCCCGAGCCAAGGTTCCGAGACATAAACCCTACGGATTGCTCAAGCAACTACCCATACCGGAAAAGCCTTGGAATTCCATATCCATGGATTTCATAGAGCAACTTCCGGACTCATCAGGCTTTACAGCCATCCTCGTTATCATAGATCGTTTATCCAAACAAGCAATATTTGTTCCGACTCACGATACCATTACCTCTCCGGATCTCGCTCGTCTATTCCTACTTCATGTGTTTTCCAAGCACGGAGTTCCGTCCCATGTCACCTCGGATCGCGGTACAGAGTTTGTATCCCACTTCTTCTGATCCTTAGGAAAAGCATTGGATATGGTCCTCCACTTCACATCCGGATATCATCCGGAAGGGGATGGACAAACCGAGCGTGCCAACCAAACCCTGGAACAATACCTTCGGATATATTGCAATTATCAACAGGACAACTGGTCGGAACTACTTCCCTTAGCAGAATTTGCCTACAATAACGCTCCAAGTGCTACTACCGGAGTATCGCCTTTCTTTGCTAATAAGGGTTATCATCCGAACATATCCGTCCATCCGGAACGCGATCTATCCTCCATCCGCGCTCGCGACTATGCTATAGACCTCGATGACCTTCACCAATTCCTTAGAGAAGAAATGGCTCAAGTACTTCCGGTCCACTCGTCCGTCTAAGAAACTCTCGGAAAAGAACCTAGGTCCGTTTGAAGTCATATCCCGTCCGGGTACCCATTCCTTTACCATCCGACTTCCCGAATCCATGAAATCCGTCCACCCCGTCTTCCATGTCTCACAGCTAGAACCATCCGTTCCGAACACAATTCCCAATCGGATCCAGCCTCCTCCACCTCCGGTCGAAGTCGACGGAGAACCAGAATATGAGATATCCGAAATCCTAGACTCTAAGCTGGACCGTCGTAGAAGACAATGCCAACTCTTATACCTCGTCCGATGGTCCGGATACGAAGGAACAGACGAAGAGACTTCATGGCTACTAGCCACGGAACTCGGAAACGCGTCCAATCTAGTCTCGGATTTCCACACTGCATATCCAGACAAACCCGGTCCTATTGCTATACAATGAATATACAAAGCGGATATACAAGTACATTAGTAGCAGAGAAGGCAGATCCGAAAATCCTCAGCCATCCATCTCCATGTCCCCACCCGATCCGGATCCGGATTCTTCAACGTCCTTGTCAGTGGCCTCAGAACGAGCCGCCTCTGTAATCCGGATTCCATTCCGGATCCCCTCAAGAAGGATGGTCTGGAACTCCCTCTGCTGCTCCAAAAACGCCTCCAAGTTAGTATTCATCCGCTCTATAGCAGTCCTACTCCCTTCCGCCGCTCCGATGCTCTGCTGGAGCAATCCGTTGGTCCGAGCCAGTTCCGCTACAATGCTATTAGCGGCCGCGACCCAGGCCTGATCATCATACTCCACTTCCACCTCATCCGCTACTACCGTCTTCATATCCGGATCCGGAGTCGGACTCTGCTGGCGCTTCTTACCCTTGCCTCTCGGAGATGGGTTCTCAGCAGCGCGCTGCCTCTTCTTAGACTTGGAATCCGTAGCGGTTCCAGGTCGTCCGGGACAAGGAGCCTTGTCCTTCCGGCACGCGTTACAAGCCTTGATCTATCCGAATGTTAAGAGTCACGGATCCGAAGATTCAAGGATGACTTACCAAGGAATTGCTATCCGCATCGGACCACAGACAGGCCCGACCCTTCTTAGCGCAGCGGGTACAAGCCCCATCCTTATCCGCTGAGATGGCGCGAGACTACGGATCCGATAAGGGACGGATCCGATAGAACAAGTCATAACTCACCATTTCCGCCACTATAGCCCTGCGCCTAGCCTCCTCCGCTTCCCTTCGGGCCTCAGCCCGTTCAATCTTCTTAATCCCTGCCAAGCGCTTCCGTTCCGCCTCTTCCGCTTGTTGCTTCAGCTTTTCAGCCTCTTCCTCCTTCTGAACCTCGGCCTCAGCAGCAGCCAGCGCGGCCTGGATATCCGCCAGAGTCTGCTTAGCGGTCTTCTTAGAGCCGGATCCGTTATCAGTCATGGTTGAGATAAGCTAGTGGTAGTGAAAAAAGTAGGGAAAGGAAGGAACACCCTGCGACGCTTTGGCATCCGTATATCTGTCAGAAATCCGAACTCAGCAACTTCTCCCATCAGCTTCTCCATTGTCTCGCACTCATACCATCCGTTCCGGATCGCTGATTCTTGTGCCTCTAGGGATCGGCCCTAAGGGGGGGATACTGTCATATACCATATATCCGGTTACAGATCCGATGATCTGGATCTCAGATCCAATCCAGGTCCGATGAACATATCCGTCGTCCGGTCCACAGATCCGCTTCGATTCTTATTTCATTTCCTGTTCATATAACTCTAACTATCGTTCATCTCCTTTCGGTATTCCTGTACACCGGTATACCGGTTATCCTTTACTTCCGCTTTGCTTACTGATCCGCTATGCTTACTGATCCGCTACACTTACGAATCCGCTTTTACTTGTACTTCATTCCCGGTTCATGATTCGTGATCCATCCAACTTACCAATACGCTCCACTTAGACTTTGCTTATACTTTCGTACATAGCCTCGCACCTTTGCTTATGGATCATTCCGTTAGCTATCCGTAGTATATAAACCTTTGTATATGCGCTGTAGTAGATCAGTTCGAATATCATCTTAGATTGCACTCATTCCGTCTGGACTCTAAGTCCCTCCGTTATCCGTCCGGACTTGAGTACGCTACTCTTGTCTACTCCGAGACTTAGGATAGATTCCTATAGTCTACATATCCGCCTCTGTCTTCGGACAGTCCTCACCCGTTAGTTTCTAGTCCGGATCCGATCCGGATTGGCCGTTACTCTATATACGCGATACTTTAGCTCTCTGAAATAAGGGGCAAGACTCGGGAAAGGGGCACAGCGCACGAGCTGAGGCCGAAGCCCTTCGGATCCGATACTACTTGAGTACGGTCTTAACAGGAGGTAGGACTACATGCAGTACATTCTTCAAGCGCTTACCTGTTTGTTTTAGAATGCTTATCAACACCCAACATTTCCTTTCCACGACGTCACCAGTCTATGTACCAATATTCATGCAGGCGCATGTCAAAGCGATGCAACTGCCATCTGCCATTCCGCAAATGTGCATCTCATCAAACGGTGCCATGTGTCCTCCGGTTGTTGGGAATATTGCATCCCCGAGTTCGCCTACTGTAGTGCAGCAGCAGCCCTCACCCCCTTGCGCCGCTTCCACGAACGGAGTCAATGGAAACCATGCTGGCACTCCTACGTCAGATGGCGATTCAGTCAGGCTGATCGCTGCACCAAACGGCATTGCTGCCAATAATACTGCAACACTTAATGGCACAGCACATCAATCCACAGACGTGCAGATGTCTCCCCTGCTGATCCTTCCCAGTCCAATCAGGCCAGCTCACCAGCGCGTCCCAAGGCCGAATCCCAGCATGTTCCGGTATCTGTCCCACTGTAAGTCCAAATTGTCGTGTTTTTCTATCTTAACTACACTAATAATACATGTCATAATAGCCATGGTATGGACACTGCCCTCGTGGTAGACTGACTCCTAGTTGGACCGATATCAGGGTGAGTCATTAGTCATTTGATAGTAATCGGTACTTAAGTCAAACGACCTGCAGCTTTTATTACATGTCAACTTTGCCAAGGCTGAACTAAACATGCCGCATGTCAACAGCAAGGACGGCAAGACGCTGCGGAGCAACTGGCCCTGTGCAGGGTCACGTCTTTATAACATGGAACCAGGCAAGTGAAATTGTTGTGCCTCATCTCCACTGTTCAGACTTAACTTTCTTGTGTCTTAGTTTCATTGTCATGCCCCAGGCTGGAGATTCCTCAGACGACTTCGCAGCAGAACTTGACGCTATTGAGGATACTGAGTCCGAATCTGGAAATGATGAGCAAGACAACAAGTTTGATGCACGGAGCGAACTCGACACCCTGAGGACAGTCTTGACAATTCCTCAGCCTGACGCGCCCATGCACGAAGTCCACAAGGTGAGTTTACTCATGCTGCCATTCTCTTGGTTCGGTTGATGTAGCAGTTGAATCTCTAGGCACTAGAACTGGCGCAACAAGCTTATACTGCAGTTCGGTCTGAGTTGCGCGCTCTCAAGAAAGACCATGCGATGCTTCAGGCTGCTATCCCTGCACGCAGCCGAAACCGAGTCCTTAAGAAGACATCAACCATCGACAATGACATTACCCGTGCGGGCAAGATGTACGCCATGCTCAACTACTTTTGGGTCATGAGCGGGCTCTTTCCGACAAAACCCCAGCCAGACGTTGATCCACGCAGTGATACGCGTTGGTCTTCGCCTGAAGCGAAGCTCAATGGTGCAATGGCCGAGCTATATCAGTGCATTCCCAAGGCTTTGCATAAACCGATGGAGACCTACCCACAGTTTGGATCAGTGATATGTCCGATTCTCCCTCTGTCTGCGCATCAACCCTTACGCATGAGATACTCTAGTTTCGCGCTGCGGTTAGTTCCGAGAGGTCAAACATACTGCATAGTCTCAAGGACTGCGCTGGTCTTATCTTCTCTACTTTAAAACTCGACCCGACTGTCTTCACTGACGAGCCTGCCAAAAAGAAGGAGAATGCGCAACTTCTCACTCTTTTAAAGAAGGATGTCAGTGCAGAAAAGTATACACGTCTAGCCCCCGTTCTGTTCATGGATCCTTCTGCTCTCGTTCCAGACGACTTCCTCAAAACACCAGTCATGGCCAAGGTGCGCGACGTTTTCAGCTGCTGTCGAGCAGTACATTAATACTAACTCCATCCCTCAGATCATCCGAGTCGAAATCTTCGGGAAGGCTTCACTGTCTGGGAAGACCAAAGGACATCCGAAGGCCAGGGGTCAGCGTTGGTCTACGCAGTGTGTCACGGAAGGTCTGATTGCAGGTGCTGCTATTGTGGTGAGTGCATTAGTATAATCTTCGAACTTTTGCATGCATGCTGATCTCGTCTCGTTCTCAGGCGCGTTTTTTGTTAACACATGATCAAGAGCTCACCGCAACCGGACTAGCCACGAAAATTGACTATGCACAAGACTTTGATTTTTACTTGAAGCGACTATTCAAGCGCAGCCCATGGGCTACGAGTGTGATCAACTATTACAACCAGGAGGTTTTCGGCACGAGCTCAGTCCTAGCTACTAGTGGTACTGCTACTCTACCCTCTGCTTCCCAACCTCACACCTGGGAAGACGACTTCTTACAGCAGTTAGAAGATCCTGCCTCCGCACCACAACTTCCGTCATCGACATCTTCACACATTACTTATGCTCCAACATCTATGTCTATCAGCAATCCAGGAGGGCCTGCCACCACCACGCAACTCCAACTCGAAGTTGACATTGGTCAGCTGTCGCTCGATGCCGCTAGAACTGACTTGCCACCATCCGCATCTTCTGGCAAGGGTGGTAGGGTGTCTGCAGCTCAACGTCGAGCTATTGCTCAGGCTGCTCAGACTCCCGTGGACTCAGACGTGGTCCCTGTCATTCCTTTGGCTCCTCCTCCAGTAGTCAAGCGTGTTACACGCAATGGTGGTGCCAAAACGACAGCGAGGAAGGCGTCAGGGAGAAAGTAGTTACTTAAATTTGTTGATCTTGTCACCCTCTGATTTGTTTACCTACACAACGGAGTTTTTTGCACCATGCAAGTTGATTTACCTGACTACCATATTGCACGCTGATGCGTCTCACAGCTATTAATTCTCGGATGCCCCGCCCAACGGCACATTGCGCACCTCTTGATTCAGCCGCATTCTAAGTCATCCCAATTAGGGTAGTATAATCACAAGGCCAAACAAGTTGAGCTTTTTTTCTTATCAATGCTTCCATTAAGACTTCTTTCATTTCAACCATTTCCTCCTTTGAACAGACGTCGTCATCAGCTCCGAAAATTCCTTCGTCGACTACTGTAACATGCATCCGCTCGCACTGCATCAATTAATGCCACCCTTCAACATCATGGTAAGTTTTACTACTATTCTTATTATGCTGGATACCAACATAATTCTATCTTCCTTAGGACCGTCTTCCCAATAATACTCCCATTCACCTCACACATCCGCTCACACTCAGCTTCACCACTCTCGCACTGGTCCAGGATACCAACATAATTCTACCTTCCTTAGGACCGTCTTCCTACTCCCATTCACCTCACACATCCGCTCGCACTCAGCTTCACCACTCTGCTGGATACCATTGGCAACATAATTCTATCTTCCTTACCACTCGCACTCAGCTTCACTAATAATCTTGCACTGGATAGTACCAACATCGTTCTATTACCTTCCTTACCGCTGAATACTCTTTCCGCTCGCACTTGTTTTTTTTTTGTTATTATTATTACTATTACCATTATTAATATTAATATTAATTGGGAATTCCAGCGAGAGCATCGAAATACAAGCGACGAGTCTTGAAATTGTCTGAATTTGCCTTGCTACCCTTTACAATGCTTACACTATCATTTCATGGCCTTAAAATGTAAGGCTCATCCCGCATTACCCAGGATCATTACAATGCCTTAACATAATTTGGACAGGCATTATAAGTGCCTTGAAATTTTATCGTACACCATTAACATGCATTGTAAGTGTGCCGTGTGAAAAGGTCCCTTAAAATGTCTTAAATTGAATTCGAAGGCACGCGGGAAATTTCCGACATAGGAAGCTCAAATTCGGCCCTCCGACAAAATTGAAATGTATCTCAACAATGCTGCCTGCGTCAGCTGCCAGTGAAACTCAATTGCATGACCTTCGCAACGCTGGCCTTTACTAGGCATTGTAGGGTACCAAATCGTCAATAGTGTCTACAAGTTGAACGTATTGTTCTGCTGCTTCAAGGCCTTAAATTCTTCGTGGGAAATCCTCTGGCGTAGCAATATCCACACTAATTTAGTAACTGAGATCCTCCACACCAAGCCGAGACTCGAGTTGGCTCTAGCTAGTCATTAGTTACTAATGTCACTATCCTCGACATCGACAATCAAGAACCAGCTCAATGCCGCTCTGGGGCAGAAGGCCCCAGCCTATTTTGAAACCCTCAGCCAGTTTGTTTCTGGCAAGGTATCCAGGATAGAATTTGACGAATCCGTTCGCCAGGCGCTGGATGCTCCGAATTTAGGTAAGTGCAATTATTTCTGGTGTTTCGTAGTGACACTAACATTACCATAGTCCAGCTACACAACTCCCTTATCATCTCGTTGTTTGACTTCACCGTGCACCGTCGACTACCCACACCCCCTCCTGATGTATCGAAGCCGCCACCACGTAAACGTCGTCGAACGTTGCCTTACCAAGGTCCGGATGACAATGATGATACTTTGCGATCATCGAGACTTAAGCGGTGGACTGTGTCTCTGGGAAAGCGCGAACGCGACCGCATACGAACACTGCAATCTGTTCCCAGTGAACGTCCGAGACCTCGGAAAGACACTGATGAGATAGCGCGCGATAGAGGGGTGTTCTTGTTAGGCGAGCGTGGAGGTGCGCATAATGGTTCATTACATTTCTACGACCACCTGAAGTTCTAGTTCATTAAAGATGCGCCTGGCAGTCGCATGCCCTTGCATCTTGCATCGGTCTCAAGAGCTCCGACATTACAACATATTTCGGATAGAGTTAATCTCATAGCAGCACAACATAACCTCGGCGCGCCATCACGAGCTGTAGCATCGCTATTGATGCTTGCATTTGAGGTCCGTCATCCTTGAAAGTATTGGCATGCGATCCTCACATATTTTACGCAGGCCAAACTGAAGCAACTCATAACACATGCGCTTTCTCTTACTTCGACGTCACATGCTATCGCTTCCATAACTCCATCCACACGCCACTCACATAGCCGTGTCCTCACTGCATCGTCTTTTGATACCCTATTCACACTTTCACCTGCCGTGCTGCCGAATAAATCAGCCGCGGCTATGCGCCTAGCTATTGGCGACAACGACATTATGGATGATGAAGATGTTATCTTACTAAAGGATCGAGAGGTCCGAGATCAGCGATGGCAGATACTTGCTCTGCTTGCCGAACGAAGCACAGTCAACGAAGCCCTTAGGAATCTCAGATGACAGCCGCCTTTCTCTGTCATTTAATTGCTGCACGTTACTTGCCACCCAGTCATTCCACTAGTACACCAAGGATTCGAAGGCTAAACTTCTTTTATGTATTATACGGTAGCATAATTTACCAAATAATGGTCTTGACTAGGGTGCAGTCAGACTATGATATCCTGATGAATTACATTCAGTAGACCATCTACAAAATATAAGCTTTGATACAATGTTCCAATTTTTAAGTGCCACAAGTTTGGAACATTTCCTCTCAGAATCCACTGACACTAATTTCTATGTCACAGTAGTACGAGCGGTTCAAACAGCTTCAGTTATTTCTGTGGCTCATTAAACAATGAAATTATTGGTTGGTTGAACATATGTTGTCTATGAAAGATCCAGATCACTCTTAGGCTTGCATTTCTTGCCATCCGGGTTAGCAACGTATTTAGAATAGAATTTTTAGATGCCCAGGCGAAATAGAGGACCGTCACGCATCGCGGAAGCCCGAGTCTGGCAAGTACTTCCGAGTTAGACAAAAAATATGGCCAACGTGGGGATCGAACCCAAGACCTTCGCGTACCAGGACTTGGTATTAGCACGACGCTCTAACCAACTGAGCTAGTCGGCCATGGTAAAACGGGAAAAATATGTTGTCAAATCGCTGCGCGTCTCCTGTCATCACTCCAGTTTGCGACCGCGAATCATTAATCATTAATGGGACCTCGAGTCCTTGTAGCTGGTAACAATGACATGCGCTCCTTCGGCCTGGTACACTTGGAGAAGGCCTCGAAGTATACCGATCCATAATGAAAATGAGTATGTATTATATGTATTCTTCGGACACTTGCCGCACGGCGCAGCCAGTCGCCGACGAGTGATCGCACGACGCATATATGCAGCTGTGTCCAAGTCCAACACTCGTTTCAGCGGCATATGTGAAACCTTGGTCAATGTATAAGATTGGTACATATGAGCGCCGTAGATAATGCATCTGTGAACTGCCTATTGGGACATCTCCAGGTCCTCTTTCCTTCTCTTCCTACTGCTTTCACGATCAATATATTCCAGCTTCTCTTCCCAGCATGCAATGGACCGTTGTCTCTTGAGCTCTCTTCTTTGCTCTTCGACAGTTTCGTCTCCCAGCTTCCCCCACAGCCTTCTTCCCCATTCATCCAGGTCCTTATACTTCGCGGCATTATGGGCCTCTCGCCCAACCGCCTCAAGAGCTATAGTTCGCAGGCCTCGGAGGGTAAGGCATTCCATATAGGACCTCTCAGATGGACGGAAGAGCTTCGTGATGCGTGGAAAGCGGAGCTCGTAGTACTGGATTATCTGTAAATGTGAACTACAACTGCAAGGTGTGGACAGAACGTACCTTACTCTGTGGCGCCTTGGTGAACCCCGCGCCACATAATTCTACCAGAATCGGGTTCCGAACGAACACAGATGGCCTTGGTAGTGTTTGGAATACCGTGTACGTGTAGCACAATTCATTAATAGGCAGCTGGGTGTTCAGTGTTCAGTATGATTCTAAGCCCTGGCACAAATAGATCACCTTGGGTCCATCAACCGCGTCTGCGCGTATCCAGAAATTGAATTCCTCAAGCTGCTCACGGGATAAACCATACGAGACAGTAAAGTATGCAACAAAGTGAGGTTTGCAACCAGGCTAAAAGAGGCATATTAAACCGCATGACAATGATGATTTCTGCACTTACATCGATGTTCATTTGCGACGAGTTGCTTAGGACGGCAATGTAGAAAGTAGTTAGAGTCGATGTTGGTACTAAACAGCCGTGGTTCATCATAACCTCAAGGTCTCGTGGATAAAACACACCTCTCAGCTCTCTACCCCTGTCTTTCTCCCAAGCAGCAGCAATTACGACGAGGTCTATAGTATCGCCATACCCAGGGATGTAGTCCTTTTTCAGCTGTATGCATGTGTTTCAGAAAATCTAGAGGCTATAGGTCAATAAATTATTGGCGTACCTTAACCCAGGGGAGTTTCCAATCTCCATAGGTGCTATCTGATGCCTTGAGTACCAGCCCTTCCTCGCATTCCGTAATACGCTTGGCCCATGTTTTCCTGAGTCTCTTTTGCCCTTCAGCCTCTTGCACTTCCCCGCCTATGATAACTGCCCGCGCAGCCAATATAGAACGCCCTGGAACTGGGGTGATGATACTCTCAAGTAGCGACCGGCGCATATAATATGGTGCGTTCATCATGGAGGCTGCGCCCACCTGCAAGACATCAAAGAAAACGAGCGCGAGGTGCAAGGTGAGGGCCGTTGACGAATTCGAATGGAGTGAAGGGCAAGAGTCTCTGTGGGTGTGGGTGAATTGAGGGTCACGAGCATGAAAGAAATACATGCTGTGTGCGCGAATCATGCTGGGTCTCACCCCTTCGATATCCGCCCGCCCGGGCACCCACAGCAGTGCGCGCTATTAAGCCACGTATGTGCCAAAACTCTGGAATGAATTCAGGTAGTGTAGATGCCACAGTCATGTGGCGAGTAGAACTACCTTCTATTTTGTGCTGCTCATCAGAATACGCAACCATCTCCGCATCGAGTATGATGTCTCCCATACTATACCCAGCAAGGGCCTCTATGATTATGCTTTCCAAGACGTGCTCAGCGCATGAATTGGGAGTATGGCGAGATGAAAACATACGGGTGTACTGCAATGCGGTCCAGCGTCGAGTCTCTCTTGCTCTTGCTGAAAATTATGATTTGTGGATCACCTTGGCCACGAAATCGCACATGGATCTGTGCACGCTCGCCATCATACTTGGTTTCCGCCCAGATAGCGCTACTTGACCTGAGAATGTTGAGTGCATGCATCGGGCTCCGGCCCTTTGCAGATTTCGGTATCTTCAGATGATGTAAGTTAGCTGACGGGTTACTACATACTTCAAAGAGCGCACCTCGACGGGGACACCCCAGCACGGCCTCGGGTGTGAAATTGCACGTCCAGCCTCAAAGCACAGGGCCGCTTCGGTTATGTTAGCACGTGTTCGGTACATTTTCAACATGGAGCCACTTGGGTCCCAAGTCTTCATGAACTGCTCCTTTGTTAACACCGACTTGCTATTCGTGTTGTATTCAAGAAGAGCGCGACTGGTGGATGCGACAGGGGGAGCATATAGGATGGGTCTCAGATCTTTCAGAATAATCTGCGTGAGGTATGCAGCATCGAGGGCAGGAAGAGATTCAAATAAAGACCGCAGAATAGCAGATTTAGACCGAGGTGGAGACAGCGAATGATCCGCGTGGAGAGTCTTGTCAGAAAATGCGGAGGTAGATGCCAATTCGTCCAACAATACGTTGATATCCTGGAGATTCTTTGGCCCAATGAATGGCTACGTTTCGGTTAACTGCAGCCCGCAGATCAAATATTCAGTAAGATACCTCGGCATTTGATGATTGTAAAGCAAAAATTTCCTGGCCGAGGCACCCTGAGTTCTGTTGCTTACTCCACTGTTTCAAACGGGCAGTAGAGATAGGCGGAAAGATAGAAGTATCTAGGCAGTCTGGCAGGAGCTGTGATAACCTTGCTTCTTGCAGGTCATACTTCCTGTGTGAGTCCTCTTCAGGAAATAGGAGACGGAGAACGTGTGTAGTAGTATCCCGAGGTAAGGGTGAATAGTTATTCTGAAGGTTTTCGACCCATTTTGCAAGAATGCCGGCGGGAGAACGGCAAGAAGGAGCCTGTTTGTTGATCCTGGACGATGTATTATGTGCCGGAACATTGGCAATTTGGTGCAGCAGAAAAACAAACCTGGAGTCAGGGGTTTCATAAGTTGAAACAATTGGAATGGTAACAACTTCTGAACGCACAAGGAAAATGGAATTTGTTTTGCTTGCTCGTCAGCCATCCTGCTCGAAAACACGTTTAGTGCGAATCATGGTTATGCTCAGAGAATCACGGTGTACATCACACAGTAGATTTGACGGCTGAGAAGGTAGAGTGAGAGTCGAACGCGTCGCGTAACTTAAACTCGAGGTTATCACGGTCATGTGCTGACATGCCACAAATAATGGCAAATAGCCGAGACTACATGATACATTTGACATTTCAGCAGGTCCGTCGCTATTTCGAAGCAGGGTATCTACGAAAAAATCAACGAGGCTGGCAGACCAGCAACATATGAGACAGGTATAGATGAAAACAGATGACCACGATCGAGATAGGTAAATAGAGTACAAGCCTTGATCTCGAACACAGGGTAAAGTAACAAGGGTAAGAATGTCATCAACTCTGTCTTGCCGTATGCATTGGTGAGGGTATAGGGGATGATGGTGCGTCAACTGGTAATCGGGCCGACGCGGGAAGGCCTATCATACGACTGTGTCTGTTGCCTTTCTTGCCAACCGCGATGTTCAGGCCACGACTGGCGGCAAGATTAGATGCTCGTGACCGTTGCTCCACCGTAGCTCCTTCGGATCGGGAGAGCGAGAGATGATCAACACTTTGTTGTGAGTCTTGTGGATGGTGGTGACTCGAAGATAGGTGAGCACTCGATTGAGTTAAGTTCGACTCGACGGTTGCATCCTCGGTGGTATCATTTCCACTTTCAGAATGAAGGGAAATGCTGTCGCCGTCTTCAGAGGGTGTTTCGTCGGAAGGAGCTGAAATAATTGTAAGGAGCGGAAGATGAACCAGGATAGATACATACCGTTCAAGCTCCTTCCAGACAAGCCCAGCAACTGATCAGCAGCAGCGTCCGAATACTGTCGACTGTTCCTGCGACTCAGCTCCTCAACGTTGTCCTCATCACCCTGTCCAGAGTCAACATTGAAGACTCGGTTGAACTCGCCTAACATGAGACTAAACACGCCAGCGGGAATCCCAAGAGTAGGGCTGAAGACAATGCCGACGTTGCGCATCGTCATTTTGTTCGCCGACGAATTTTGAACGATGAGTATGAGATGGGCTGTGAGAGCGCGCAACAGGCTATAGTTGGCAATCGGCAAGGAGGCGATGAGGTCAGATAATTCTCGAATGCGCTCCTGTGCGTCGACAAAGTCTGCTACAGATGTCAGCACAGGCAGGCTGACAAGCTGTAAGTGCACTCACCGATCACTGCCAGGAACTTCAGATGCAACTCGCGTGTCAATATACTGGCGGGCAACTCGCGCAAAAAACTCTTTAAGAGTCCAGCGATGGCGTGAGGATCCCAATATTCATCTGATGCAAGAAGATCCACGTCCCCCTCTACGAACAACAAG